CTTCTTTGGAAGCTTTTAAACAGAGGCTGGATGGCCATCTGTCAGGGGTGATTTGAATGCAACATTCCTGCTTCTTGGCAGGGGGTTGCCCATGAGGTCTCTTCCAACTCTAGGATTCTATGATTCTATGTTGTTTTCCTGTTTGAAATGTCACCTCCCACCTTCAACATGGATTTTCAGTGGCAAATTTGCTCAGTTTCTGAGAAACATAGTAAATTTGCCACCAGATGTTCCCAACTTTTTTCCTGGCAAGTCTGATTCTAGGTCTTGTGCAGCTGGAAGTCAAGCATCCTTTGCTGTTCAAACACTGGAGCTATAGTTTCTGCACTTTGTACTGTTAAATAGCTCACTTCTCCCTGCTCTGCCCTTGTTTCAATACAGTCATGCAACAGCCACAAAAAGGGGCATCCACTCCTGTTGTGTGTTTACTGTACTATTGAGAAGTACAACGGATAGCCTGCCTGGAAATGTTTTCTATTGTCTGAGACCTTTGGAGTTCACCCAGGAAAAGGAATACAAGAGCAAAGTAGACCATACACCTGATTGGCTAATGGAGGAACACCCCCAGCTCTCCGCCAGGGAGATGTTAGTTGAAGTGGGGGAGGAGGGGGGGGGGCAACCACAGAAGAGTTGCAGCTGTGAAAACAGTAACAAAAAAAGACTGCTGAGAAGGTGCCAGACACTCCCCGCTATCTCTGGCGACTGCATCCTGAGATTTATGAGGCTCGAGATCTACTTTAAAAGGTTTTTCAAAAACTCAAGTCTAGACAGAAAAGAATCTCCACAATCTAAATCTGGAAAAGTCATTGCTTAAAATAAGCACTTGTATTTTAAAGGGGAAATTTGCCAAGAAGGGAACATTGAAAACCTTTATAAATTTGCAATTACATGATCAAGGTGTCAATACATTTTGAAGAAGTTTTGATGTTTCTAATTGTGGTTATAGGATAGTGTCAAGATAGAATTGCAAGCTGGGTAGATGCGGGGAATGCCGTGGATGTAGCGTACCTGGATTTCAGTAAGGCCTTCGACAAGGTCCCCCATGACCTTCTGGCAAGGAAACTAGTCCAATGTGGGGTAGGCAAAACTACGGTGAGGTGGATCTGTAATTGGTTAAGTGGACGAACCCAGAGGGTGATTCTCCCCAATGCTTCCTCTTCATCTTGAAAAGAAGTGACAAGTGGAGTGCCACAAGCAGGGTCCCGTCCTGGGCCCAGTCCTATTCAGGATCTTTATTAATGACTTAGACGAAGGCTTAGAAAGCATGATCATCAAGTTTGCAGACGACACCAAATTGGGAGGGATAGCCAATACTCCAGAGCAGGGGTCCACAAACTTTTTAAACAGAGGACCTGGTCACAGTCCCTCAAACTGTTGGAGGGCCGGATTATAATTTGAAAAAAACAAACAAACCATGAATGAATTCCTATACCACTGCACATAACTTATTTGTAATGCAAAACCCACTTAAAAACAATACAATAATTAAAATGAAGAACAATGTTAACAAATATAAACTTATTAGTATTTCAATGGGAAGTGTGGGTCTGCTTTTGGCTGAGATAGGATTGTTGTTGTTGTTGTTGTGTGCTTTCAAGTCATTTCAGACTTCGGTTGACCCTAAGCGAGGGCCAGGTAAATGACCTTGGAGAGCCGCATTTGGCCCCCGGACCTTAGTTTCGGGACGCCTGCTCCAGAGGATAGGAGCAGGATTCAAAACGATCTTGACAGATTAGAGAGATGGGCCAAAAACTAACAAAATGAAGTTCAAAAGCAAGATACTCCACTTAGGCAGAAAAACTAAATGCAAAGATACAGAATGGGGGATGCATGGCTCGAGGGCAGTATGTGTGAAAAAGATCTTGGGGTCCTCGTGGACAACAAGTTAAACATGAGCCAACAATGTCATGTAGCGGCAAAAAAAGCCAATGGGATTTTGGCCTGCATCGATAGGAGTCTAGTGTCTAGGCCTAGGGAAGTAATGCTACCCCTTTATTCCGCCTTGGTTAGACCACACCTGGAATATTGTGTCCAATTCTGGGCACCACAATTCAAGAGAGATATTGACAAACTGGAATGTGTCCAGAGGAGGGTCTGGAGAACAAGCCCTATGAAGAGCGGCTTAAAGAGCTGGGCATGTTTAGCCTGAAGAAGAGAAGGCTGAGAGGAGATATGATAGCCATGTATAAATATGTGAGAGGAAGTCACAGGGAGGAGGGAGCAACTTTTTTTTTTTGCTTCCCTGGAGACTAGGATGCAATGGAACCTTGACTTCAAATAGCCTCTGTGTATGTCTGTATATGTTTGTATGTCAAAAAATGGCATTTAATGTTTGTCAAATATGTGTACACTGTAATCCGCCCTGAGTCCCCTGCGGGGTAAGAAGGGCGGAATATAAAAGCTGTAAATAAATAAATAGTAATACAAGAAAGGAGATTCCATCTGAACATGAGGAAGAACTTCCTGACTGTGAGAGCCGTTCAGCAGTGGAACTCTCTGCCCCGGAGTGTGGTGGAGGCTCCTTCTTTGGAGGCTTTTAAACAGAGGCTGGATGGCCATCTGTCAGGGGTGATTTGAATGCAATATTCCTGCTTCTTGGCAGAATGGGGTTGGACTGGATGGCCCATGAGGTCTCTTCCAACTCTATGATTCCATGAAATGTTCATGCCTCCAAGGGTGCATCTACATTACAGAGTAAATGCAGTTTGGCAACACTCTTAACTGCTATGGCTCAATGGTATGGAATCATGGAGGTTGTAGTTTTACAAGGTCTTTAGTGTCAGAGATTGACGATACCCAGCGGAAGGAATGCTAGATCAAACAGACACTGAGTTGCAAATAAGGACTCTGCAAAAGTAAAATTCCCAGGTTTCCATTGTATTGAGCCATGGCAGATACAGTAGTATTATAATGCACTAATTCTGCACTCTATTTTATTTGTAGCAATATTACATTTGTAGTGTAGATGAAGAATAGTTTTTAAAATGACTGTTAATATAACAGATAAAGAATATAAATTTGGATTAATAGCTTTAGAAATATATAAGCTGTTGTTCTAATGGGAGGAGACAAAAGAGATAAGAAATTGTATTACCAATAGCAATGTCAACACCAAGTCGTAGATGGAAGTCAATTTGTGTGTGTGTGTGTTCTGTTTTTGTCTTCTTGTTGGTTTGTTTTATCTGTTTTGGTTTTTTTCGTTCCTTTTTTATTAGTATAAATCTTACTATATAGCCAGGGGTCCTCAAACTTTTTAAACAGAGGGCCAGGTCACAGTCCCTCAAACTGTTGGAGGGCCGGATTATAATTTGAAAAAAAAAACATGAATGAATTCCTATGCACACTGCACATATCTTATTTGTAGTGCAAAAAACTTAAAAACAATACAATAATTAAAATGAAGAACAATTTTAACAAATATAAACTTATTAGTATTTTAATGGGAAGTGTGGGCCTGCTTTTGGCTGATGAGATAGGATTGTTGTTGTTGTTGTGTGCTTTCAAGTAGTTTCAGACTTAGGTTGACCCTGAGCGAGGGCCGGGTAAATGACCTTGGGCCTTAGTTTGAGGACCTGATATAGTTGATATACTATATTGTGTTCTTGTTTTGTTATATCCATGCCTTAACCTCAAATCCCTTCCCCATTTCCCACTATGTGTGTTTTCTCGAAGTCTTAAGGAAAATGTTCAATAAAAAGTATGATAAAAAATGTATTTAAAAAACTAGCTGTACCTGTCACGTGTTGCTGTGGCCAACCTTCCTTCCCTCCCTCCCTCTTTCCTTCCTTCCCTCTTTTTCTTTCCCTTCTTCTTCCTTCCTTCTCTACCTGTTTCTTTTCTCGCTTACTTTACTCTTTTGTTCCATCCTTTCTTGTCTCTTTCTTTCCTCCCTTCCCTCCCTCCCTCTTTTTCTCTTTCGTCCCTTCTCTCCTTCACTTTTTTATTTCCTTCTCTCCTCTCCTTCCTTCCTTCCTTCCTTCCTTCCTTCCTTCCTTCCTTCCTTCCTTCCTTCCTTCCTTCCTTCCTTCCTTCTCTGCCTCTTTTCTTCCTTCTCTGCCTCTTTTCTTCCTTCCCTCCTTCTCTACCCTTCTTTCTCTCCTTCCCTCCTTCTTCTTTTCCTCTTTCTCTCCCTCCTCTCCTTCCTTCTCTACCCTTCTTTCTTTCCTTCTTTCTCTCCTTCCCTCCTTCTTTCCCTCTTTCTCTACCTCCTCTCCTTCCTTCTCTACTCTTCTTTCTTTCCTTCTTTCTCTCCTTCCCTCCTTCTTTCCCTCTTTCTCTACCTCCTCTCCTTCCTTCTCTACTCTTCTTTCTTTCCTTCTTTCTCTCCTTCCCTCCTTCTTTCCCTTCTTTTCCTCTTTCTCTCCCTCCTCTCCTTCCTTCTCTACCCTTTTTCTTTCCTTCCTTCTCTGCTTCCTTCCTTCCCCCTTTCTGTGTATGTGTTGTGTGTGTGTGTGTGTGTATGCATATATGTGTGTATATATATTTGTTTGTGTGTATATATGTGGTTTTGCACATATGTTGTAATGTATTTTTTGGTTTGGGGAGGGGGTGTTTAAGTCTCTTCTGATGTGTTTTTCAGTGTTTTTCAGAGTGATGGTCACTCGTTGGCCTGAGAGGTGTCTTGTGTCCAAATTTGGTGTCAATTCGTCAGTGGTTTTTGAGTTATGTTAATCCCACAAACGAACATTATATTTTTATTTATATATATAAATGAAATGTGATCTTCAGTTTATCCCAAGGCACCTCCCCGCACTCCACCAGAATTCAGGTCACCTTTGCTGCTGGTTTCCATCCTGCCTGCTGAAAGCATTTGCAACTGGGTTTCCAAAGATGATTGGAAAGAATTTCCCTCTCACATATACCTCAGCTTGAAGAAAACCATTCTGTGATTCTATTACTGAGAATAGTGGCTAGAAATCAATTGGGGAAGAACAGGGAGGAATTTTTCAAGATCCCTTTGAGCCAGAGGCACCAAACTCTCGGTGCTCTATGTGTCTTACCTTCAGATCTGCTCCTTTTTCCATGTTCCTGGGGCAGCCGCAAAACCAAAGGGAGATCTTTTGCCCAGTATAAAACCAGTGGTCTTCAGAGATTATTCTGGAGACAAAGAAGCCAGTGGGATCACAAACTCTTTGTCCAGCAAGTGAGAAAGTCCAAGAGACCTTGCTATCTGTTTGCTCAAGAGGGAGTCAGGGTTTAATCAGCAACAAGATAGTTTGCGGGAACCTATTGAAGGGTTGATGAACAACCAAAAGAAAGAAGGGGGGAGACCTGGGTTGCTGTGAGTTTTCCTGGCTTATGGCCATGTTCCAGAAGCATTCTCTCCTGACATTTCACATCTATGGCAAGCATCCTCAGGGGTTGGGAGGTCTGTTAGAAACTAGGCAAGTGAGGTTTATATATCTGTGGAACGTCCGGGGTGGGAGAAAGAACTCTTGTCTGTTGGAGGCAAGTATTTCTTCAGCAATTCTAAGCCCCATGTTGGATAAAAGCTCTGGTTTTAGATAAATGGTTTTTACTAGTATTTAAAAATGTGAGCATTTATTTAGAATTATGCTAAATGTACAGAAAATCATAATTTGCCTCAGTTTTATAGGATACATCCAGTTTTCTTACTAAATATTAAAAAGAGCATTTTGTTTACTGAGACAACTTTTCCTCCAATCTGGGCTGAATAGGCAACACTGTGTAAACAAGCTGACACATGATCTGTTCTAACCAGAAATTGGATGTAATGACTGTGTTACTTGTAATGAGTTTCTTTTAGGAAGCAGCAATATTGCAAAGAAGCTTCATTTCTAAAGTAGAATAATGTGCAGGAAAGAAAGGACATTACTAAGGCAATGAGAAATGTGTTCTAGTAATGTTACATGTCCCACAGGCACTAGATCCCAGCTGATTTTGGGAGCTAAGCAGATTTTGGGAGCTTGGAGCCCCAGGTCTCGGCGGTGACCAGGGGAGCATTTGCACAGCTTAGGCTCGTGCGCCTGCTGCGCCCGTACCTCGGGAAGTCTGACTTGGCCACGGTAGTCCATGCTCTGGTTACATCCCGTTTAGACTACTGCAACGCTCTCTACGTGGGGTTGCCTTTGAAGACGGCCCGGAAGCTCCAACTGGTCCAACGGGCGGCAGCCATGATACTAACAGGAGCGGGACGCAGGGAGCATACAACCCCCCTGCTGTACCAGCTCCACTGGCTGCCGATCTGCTACCGGGCTCAATTCAAGGTGCTGGCATTGGCCTATAAAGCCCTAAACGGTTCCGGCCCAAGATACCTAACTGACCGCCTCTCGGCCTATGAGCCCACGAGGACTTTGAGATCTTCCAGGGAGGCCCTGCTCTCGATCCCGCCTGCGTCACAGGCACGGCTGGCGGGGACGAGAGATAGGGCCTTCTCGGTGGTGGCGCCTCGGCTGTGGAACACCCTTCCTGTGGACATCAGGCTAGCTCCCTCCCTGTTGATATTCCGCAGGAAATTAAAGACCTGGCTGTTTAAGAAGGCATTTGAACAAGAAGTGCAATGATTGATAATTTGACCATAGGAATGGAACAACGGAAATGATATCGGATTGTGGGTTTGACGATGAGACGACATGGAATGGCTTTTGTAGTAATGTTGATATTTTGATTAGGATGTTTTTGATAATGATTAATTGTGGATTATTTTTTACACTATGTCTTGTATTTTGCACCTGTTTTTTATGTTGTACACCGCAATGAGTCGCCCCTGGGCTGAGAATTGCGGTATATAAACGCAGTAAATAAATAAATAAAATATTTATTTATCGTGTCAGGAGCAAGCCAAACAGTTGTATTGCATTTTTTACCAAACAAACAAACAAAACACAAAGTTTGCAAGCTTGGTAGTTGATTAAATGTCCTTTGACCAGTATCTGGCCACTTGGAGTGCCTCTGGTGTTACTATAAGAAGGTCCTCCATTGTGCATGTGGCAGGGCTCAGGTTGCATTGCAGCAGGTGGTCAGTGGTTTGCTCTTCTCCCCACTCACATGTCGTGGATTCCACTTTGTGGCCCCATTTCTGAAGGTTGGCTCTGCATCTCGTGGTGCCCGAGCGCAGTCTGTTCAGTGCCTTCCAAGTCGCCCAGTTTTTTTTACTTCTTCTTCTTCTTTTATGTCATGTCTAATTTTATGTGCTAATAGATATTCCTCAAATAGCTTCCAGTCTGTTTTTTTCATTGGTCTTCCATATGAGTCTTTTAGTGCAAAGGTCAGTTTATCCATGTCTTTAATTTCCTTCACTTTACTTATCCATTCTTCCTTTGTAGCTACTTCTCTCTGTTTCCATTTTTTTGCCAAAACTATTCTTGCAGCAGTAATACAATGTTGTTGTTCATTCGTTCAGTCGTCTCCGACTCTTCGTGACCTCATGGACCAGCCCACGCCAGAGCTCCCTGTCGGCCGTCACCACCCCCAGCTCCTTCAAGGTCATTCCAGTCACTTCAAGGATGCCATCCATCCATCTTGCCCTTGGTCGGCCCCTCTTCCTTTTGCCTTCCACTTTCCCCAGCATAATTGTCTTCTCTAGGCTTTGCTGTCTCCTCATGATGTGGCCAAAGTACTTCAACTTTGTCTCTAGTATCCTTCCCTCCAATGAGCAGTCGGACTTTATTTCCTGGAGGATGGACTGGTTGGATCTTCTCGCAGTCCAAGGCACTCTCAGAACTCTCAGAACACCACAGTTCAAAAGCATCGATCTCTGATCTAATTCCATTTCTACATCTATTACCCCCAATAGGAAATACTCCGGTTTCATCTGGATTTTTATTTTTAAAATCTTCTCACATTCTTGTTTTATCATTTTCCAGTATGTATTGATAACTGGGCATGTCCACCATGCATGATAAAAAGTTCCAATGTGCGTTTCACATTTCCAACACTTATTTTTAGTATTGCAGCTCTCAATAGATCCCCCCCCCCCATTTTAAACTAAAAGCTTGTCCCCACTTTTTCATTTTCTCGCTTCCCCCCACTCATTTGCTATTTCCTACTCCTCCCTCACCCAGGGTTTTATCTTTTTATCTTGTCCTCTTGGCCTGCCCATCCTATTTGTTTTTTGGGTTTTTTTGTGAATTTGTTGTATCATTTCATTTCATTCTTGTATTGTATTTTGTTTTGTATTTTGTATTCTACTATGTTGTATTGTATTTTAGAAGGGCTTGGCCTCATGTCAGTCACCCCAAGTCCCCATTCGGGAGATGGGGTGTGTGTGTTTATTATTATTTGAAACACAACAAGATAAGTCCACAGCAGACACTCTGCTGGCTGTTGAATTGGATCACATGTTGGACACTTCCGAAATGTTTAGGATTGTGTGATGTACTGGCAAATAATGTGTGCAGATCCCAGTAAGGTGGCCTTCTGCTGCTGGAAGATGGTAATTTTTGTCAGCGCCGATTGTGTTTAAGTGCAGGCCAAGGTCTTTAGGCACTGCACCTAGTGTAACCATCACTACTGGGACCACCTTTACTGGCTTGTGCCAGAGTCTTTGCAGTTCGATCTTTTAATCCTCATATTGTGTCAGCTTTTCCAGTTGTTTCTCTTCAATCCTGCTGTCACCCAGGATTGCAACATCAACAATCCATACTTTGTTTTTTAACATGATTGTGAGGTCAGGAGTATTGTGCTCCAAAACTCTGTCTGAATTCGGAAGTCCCAGAGGAGTTTGGCGTGTTCATTTTCTGTAACTTTTTCCAGCTTGTGATCCCACCAGTTCTTTGTTGCAGGCGGGTGGTATTTGTGGCACAAGTTCTAATGAATCATCTGAGCAACGGTGTTATGCCTCTGCTTGTAGTCTGTTTGCGCAATCTTCTTGCAGCAGCTGAGGATGTGATCTATTGTTTCATCTGCTCCCTTGCAGAATCTATATTTGGGATCTGTCGTCGACTTTTCACATTACTCCATTCATTTCCTCCATTCAGCAATCAGAATTTGGTGGTCATTAAGCTTGTGCTGTTCATGTTGGCCTGTGTTTTGTGGATCAGGGCGTGGGTCTCCTTCACTGCAGACCCCCTCTTGTGCTGCCTTGGTTACAAAAGTGTACAAATGACTGAATAGGATTCAATGTGACCAGTGGCCTTTATTTACAATTTCCCCTACCCATTCCTTTCTTGTTCACAAATATTTACAACCAGAGGTTACATGGAAATCGATTTCAAACAATGACACAGGACCTGCTGGAATGTTTGACAAACTGAAGTGCTGTTATTTCAATTAATTGTGTGTCTTCGAATTCTGAATTATTTTTGGAGACCCCTTCAGCATCCCTATTATGTGAGGGGCCACATTATGGGTTTATAGATCTTTAAAATGTATGTTGCGATGAGACAGTGCATCCCAAAGTGATATTCAAAACATAATTAAATAATTCTGCAGTTTCCAAAAGAGTCTTGCCAAAGAAACCTAGAAAGATGTGCTCCTGTATACATTCCAACACGTCTGTATTCCAAGTGTCCATTGTTGGTTTATCCTGATCAGCAGAACAGGAACACTGCAATAAAGGAAGGTGATTTCTCGTTGCTTTTCGATCAGAAATGGTCAGTCATAGTGGAGATTTTTGACAAAGCCACCGCCAACCCTCTTTCTCTCTGAGAAGCTGGGAGTCTATGGACCAAAACACAAACAAACAAACAAACAAACAAAAGCTCTATTAGAATTGGTTTATATGTTTTTTTCAAGTCAGGGACAACCTGACACCTTCATTTTCACATGATTCTGTTCTACTAAGCTGATCTCTTCAATTCTGATATTCTGTAGCTCATTCCAGAAGCATTCATCGCCTCTTCCTGTTTAATAAGTACACAGCATTGCATGTTTTCCAAAATCTCTTTCCTCATCATTGTTTCTATGATAACAAGCCACACCATAACAGCAGAAGGCTGACTAGGATCTTGGCAACCTTTTGATATTTATGCCATTGGTAGAAATAGTAATAATAATAATAATAATAATAAACTTTATTCATATCCTGCCCTATCTCCCTGTGGTTGTGAGACACAGAACTGAGATCCCATACAAGTATCAGGAAGGCTACCATTGGTTTTATTCTCTCCCAGGTCAGAGAGAGATTTTGCCTCCCCCCATTTCCCGATGCAGGAAAATCTATATATATATACTAGCCGTCCCCTGCCACGCGTTGCTGTGGCCCACATGGGAGTTCTGTGTGGGAGGTTTGGCCCAATGCTATCGTTGGTGGGGTTCAGTATGCTCTTTGATTGTAGGTGAACTATAAATCCCAGCAACTACAACTCCCAAATGTCAAGATTCTATTTTCCCCAAACTCCACCAGGGTTCACATTTGGGCATATTGAGTATTCGTGTAGAGTTTGGTCCAGATCCATCATTGTTTGAGTCCACAGTGATCTCTGGATGTAGGTGAACTACAACTCCAAAACCAAAGGAAACTGCCCGCCAAACCCTTCCAGTATTTTCCTTTGGTCTTGGGAGAACTGTGTGCCAAGTTTGGTTCAATTGCATCGTTGGTGGGGTTCAGAATGCTCTGTGATTGTAGGTGAACTATAAATCCCAGCAACTTGTTGTTGTTCATTCGTTCAGTCGTCTCCGACTCTTCGTGACCTCATGGACCAGCCCACGCCAGAGCTCCCTGTCGGCCATCACCATCCCCAGCTCCTTCAAGGTCAGTCCAGTCACTTCAAGGATGCCATCCATCCATCTTGCCCTTGGTCGGCCCCTCTTCCTTTTGCCTTCCACCTTCCCCAACATAATTGTCTTCTCCAGCCTTTGCTGTCTCCTCATGATGTGGCCAAAGTACTTCAACTTTGTCTCTAGTATCCTTCCCTCCAGTGAGCAGTCGGGCTTTATTCCTTGAAGTATGGACTGGTTGGATCTTCTCGCAGTCCAAGGCACTCTCAGCAGTTCCCTCCAACACCACAGTTCAAAAGCATCTATCTTCCTTCGCTCAGCCTTCCCTAAGGTCCAGCTCTCACATCCGTAGGTTACTACAGGGAATACCATGGCTTTGACTAGGCAGATCTTGGTTGCCAGTCTGATGTCTCTACTCTTGACTATTTTATCGAGACTGGACATTGCTCTCCTCCCAAGAAGTAAGCGTCTCCTGATTTCCTGGCCACAGTCTGCACCTGCAGTAATCTTTGCACCTAGAAATACAAAGTCTGTCACGCCCTCCACATTTTCTCCCTCTATTTCCCAGTTGTCAATCATTCTTGTTGCCATCCCAGCAACTACAACTCCCAAATGACAAAATCATTTTTCTTGATTGAAGGATATACATTGAGTTGTTAGGTGTCTTGTGTCCAAATTTGGTGTCAATTCGCCAAGTGGTTTTTGAGTTCTGTTAATCCCACAAACGGATGTGAGAGCTGGACCTTAGGGAAGGCTGAGCGAAGGAAGATCGATGCTTTTGAGCTGTGGTGTTGGAGGAAAGTGCTGAGAGTGGCTTGGACTGCGAGAAGATCCAACCAGTCCATCCTCCAGGAAATAAAGCCCGACTGCTCACTGGAGGGAAAGATACTAGAGACAAAGTTGAAGTACTTTGGTCACATCATGAGGAGACGGGAAAGCCTAGAGAAGACAATTATGCTGGGGAAAGTGGAAGGCAAAAGGAAGAGAGGCCGACCAAGGGCAAGATGGATGGATGGCATCCTTGAAGTGACTGGACTGACCTTGAGGGAGCTGGGGGTGGTAACGGCCGACAGGGAGCTCTGGCGTGAGGTCACGAAGAGTCGGAGACGACTGAACGAATGAACAACAACAACAATCCCACAAACGAACATTACATTTTTATTTATATAGAGAAATGCTCTGTGCATAATGAGTGCCTTAAAAACAAAAGAACCAATTAGCAAAATCACACCAAATTTGGCAACAAAACATCTCACAACACAAGGAGTGACCATCACTCAAAAAATTATGATTTTGTCATTTAGTTGTAGTTGCTGAGATTTATAGTTCACCTACAATCAAAGAGCATTCTGAACTCCATCAACGATGGAATTGAACCAAACTTGGCACATAGAACTCCCATGACCAACAGAAAATACTGGAAGGGTTTGGTGGCATTGACCTTGAGTTTGGGAGTTGTAGTTCACCTACATCCAGAGAGCACTGTGGACTCAAACAATGATGGATCTGGACCAAACTTGGCACAAGCACTCAATACGCCCAAATATGAACACAGATGGAGTTTGGAGGAAATAGACCTTGACATTTGGGAGTTGTAGTCACTGGGATTCACAGTTCACCTACAATCAAAAAGCATTCTGAACCTCACGAACGACAGAATCGGGGCAAACTTCCCACACAGAGCCCCCACGACCAACAGAAAATACTAAAGGCCATCCAGCCCAACTCCCTTCATCAGGGCAAGAAAACGTAATCAAAGCCCTCCTGACAGAGAGCCATCCAGACATAGATAGATATAGATAGATATGATTTACACACACACAAATATAGCATTATAGATGTGAAAGGGACCCCTAAAGAAGGACAATTCTATGTTGCATGTTCCAGAGTGGGCAAACCAGACACTCTCCACATCAACACTGACAAAGAAACAGCAAGAAATACTGTTTACCCACAAGCATCAAGATATTACATAGATTAGAAACCAACACTTTCTCATTACTTTATTTTCCATATCAAACAGACTGGGCCACAGCAACGCGTGGTAGGGGACAAATGAAAACAAAACCGAAAATCTTTTAAATCTATCGAAGAGGCTTATTTTAAGGGCTTTTCAATGCACACCCAACTTAGTTTGTCCTAGTTATTTTTTAAAAATTGACACATACCTGATTACCATCTCTTAAGTAGTATCTCTTCTCTATAACCTAGAAAAAAGGGAAGCTCATGGTAAGTCTGATACATATGTAATTCTTGTTTTTAAGCAACAGGTCCACAAATCGCCACCAGTTAACACAGCAATTTCGTCTTAGAGATACAGCTTCTTGGAACAAATCTATTGCTGTTTGAAACAATATGCTTGCTTGAAAACCACTTTGCAGAGAAGGCTGAGAGAGAGAGAAGGCATGATTGCCATGTTTAAATATTGGAAAGGATTGTTATAATAATAATAATAATAATAATAACAACAACAACACTTTATTTCTACCCCGCTACCATCTCCCCAAGGAACTCGGTGCGGCTTACATGAGGCCGAGCCCAAATACAACAATACAACCAATAAAACAACAATACAAGTAATTAAAATAAAAAACATAGACAATAAAATATACAACATTATCAATAATGTAAAATTAAATTTGGAAGTAATGCTGGGACATGGACGAAAAGGTGATAGTGGTGTTTGTGGAAGGGCATACGAGCAGACCTAAAGAAATGTAAAGTGCTTTAGAGGACAAAGTGCTATGGGATCATTATTCCGGGAAGGCACACTGGAACAGCCACGTCTTCAAGCTCCTCCTGAAGACTGCCAGAGTTGGGGCCTGTCTGATGTCTTTAGGGAGTGAGTTCCAGAGTTGAGGGGCCACCACCGAAAAGGCCCTCTCTCTCGTCCCCACCAAACGTGCCTGCGAGGCTGGTGGGATCGAGAGCAGGGCCTCTCCGGATGATTGAAGGGATCGTGTGGAGATGCGGTCACGCAGGTTGGCAGGTCCCAAACCGTTCAGGGCTTTGTAGGTAAGAACCTGCACCTTGAATTGGGTCCGGTAAATGAATGGCAGCCAGTGGAGCTCCCTGAACAGGAGGGATGACCGCTCCCTGTAAGGCGCCCCAGTTAACAACCTGGCTGCCGAAAGAAGGAGGGAAGGAAAGAAAGAAAGCAGGGTAGAGAAGGAAGGAAGGGGAGAGGAGGGAAAGAAGGAGAGAAGGAAAGAAAGAAAGGAAGTAGAGAAGGAAGGAAAGAGAGAAGGAAGAAGAGGAAGGAAAGAAAGGTAGAGAAGGAAGGAAAGAGAGAAGGGAAAGAGAGAAAGAGGAAAGAAGGAGGGAAGGAAAGAGAAAGGAAAAAAAGGGTAGAAGGAAGGAGGAAGGAACAAAGAGGGAAGGAGGGAAAGAAGAAGAAAGGGAGAGAGAAAAAGAAAGAAAGGAAGATAGAGAAGGAAGGAAAGAAGGAAGATAAAGAAAAGGGAGGGAAAGAAAGGGGAGGGAAGGAAGGGGAAAAAAAGAAGAGGAGAAAAAAAGGAGGAAGGTTTGTCCAAGCTACTGGTTGCTGATTACTTGATAAACAAATGATGTTACTATTATATATTACTATATTAAATAGACGCACAGAATAGAGTTCGAAGGGACTCTACCATGGTATTGGGGGAGAACAGACAGGAGGGAGGGAAAAGGGGAAGGAATGAAGGAGGGAAAGGGGGAAGAAAGGAAGGAGAAAGGGAAAGAAGGAGGGAGGGAAGGAAGGAGAGAAGGAAGGAAAGCAAGAGGTACCGAAGGAAGGAAGAAGAGAAAGTAGAAAGGAAAGAAAAATGGATGGAAATGCATTTGGATGCATTTCATGGAAAAATTGAGGGAAAAGAAGTAAAGAAAGAAGGAAGGAGAAAAGGAAATAAAAAAGTGAAAGAAGGAAGGAAACAGGGAGGGAAGAAAGGAGACAAAGAAAGAAGTAGAGAAAGGGGGAGGGAAGGAAGGAAAGAGAGAAGGAAGGATGAAACCAAAGAGAGAAAGAAGGAATGAAAGAAAGAGGAGAGAAAGGGGAAGAAAAGGGGGAAGGAATAGGTAGGTACCTCTCTTTCATAATAGTCCAGATATCTACCTCTACTTCGAAAATTCTTACTATAGGCCACAGCAACGCGTGGCAGGGCACAGCTAGTAGAGGATATAAATGTGCTTGTGTGTAACAATGTACCCAGACGCTAAAGGGACTTGATTTGACTTTAACATTCACTTCTTGGTTTGTTTCTAATTTTGGGGGAATGACAGGAGGGAGCATGATGCTGCCAGTGAAACAATGAGAAAGCACAGCATGTTCTTCAGTGCCTCCTACGTACAGCTGTCACATAGCCACACAGATGGAATAATCTCAGCCTGAACTGAAATCAAGGAGCAGATTTAAACAGAACCGGTCTCTGACTTCTTGTACATATAACATCTCTCTTCTGTCCCTCCCTCTATTTATTTATTTATTTTTATTTTTATTTGGTACACTTGTATACCGCTAATTTCTCAGCCTAGAACGGCGACTCAATTGCGGTTTACAGCATTTTAAAAACAATCTCAGTTTAAAAAACATATACAAATACAATAACAAATTATTGGGCCACCAATAATAATCCCATATATCTCAAGTTGAAATCACAGTCCAGAATTCGTTGTCCATATTTCCTGTCCATAGTCACCAAGATTCGATTGCCACAGATTAGCCGAATGCTTGTTTGAATAACCATGTTTTAAGTCTCTTCCTAAACACCATCAGCGAAGAGGCTGATCGTACCTCTATAGGGAGGGCGTTCCAAAGCCGAGGGGCCACCACCGAGAAGGCCCTATCTCTCGTTCCCGCCAGCCGCACTTCTGAAGCTGGAGGGATAGAGAGAAGGGACTCTCCGGAAGATCTTAGGGTCCTGGTGGGCTGATAGGCTGAGATACGTTCGGATAGATAAGTTGGGCCAGAACCGTTTAGGGCTTTAAAGGCCAACGCCAGCACCTTGAATTGAGCCCGGTAGCATATCGGCAGCCAGTGGAGCTGGTTCAGCAAGGGAGTTGTATGCTCCCTGCGCCCCGCTCCTGTTAGAATCATGGCTGCCGCCCGTTGGACTAACTGGAGCTTCCGGACTGTCTTCAAAGGCAACCCCACGTAGAGAGCGTTGCAGTAATCAAGGCGGGATGTAACCAGAGCGTGGACTACCGTGGCTAAGTCAGACTTCCCAAGGTACGGTCGCAGTTGGCGCACGAGTTTTAACTGTGCGAATGCTCCCCTGGTCACCGCCGAACCTGGGGTTCCAGGCTCAGCGATGAGTCCAGGATCACACCCAAACTGCGAACCTGTGTCTTCAGGGGGAGTGCGACCCCGTCTAACACAGGCTGTAACCCTATACCCTGTTCGACCTTGCGACTAACCAGGAGTACCTCTGTCTTGTCTGGATTCAATTTCAATTTGTTCGCCCCCATCCAGACCGTCACAGCGGCCAAGCACCGGTTCAGGACCTCGACAGCCTCCTTAGTAGCTCCTGATTCTGTGACACAATGCTATGATCTGTACTGAACTGTATTCATTTTCTCTTGCTTAATTTTCAGACACTGCTGGAGTGCTCTTCCTCTCCAGGCCTTCCAAACCTGTCTATTCATGTCCTAGTCATCCGCAAACCAGATCAACAATTGGGTCACACCGTCTACAGAAAACCCACACAGACAGATAGATATCTACATCAAAACTCCAACCATCACCCAAGTCAAAAAAGAAGCACCATTAAAGCCTTGGCAGACCGTGCAAAAAGAATCTGCGAACCCCACCTCCTCCAAGATGAACTGAACCACCTCAACTGGGCTCTCCAGGCCAATGGATACTCCACCTCAGACATCAGAAGAGCTTCAAGACCAAGAACAAGCCACGAGAGTAAAGATGAAGATCCACCCAGAGGAAAAGTGTTCCTGCCATACATCAAGGGAACCACTGACCGCATAGGGAAGCTGATGAGGAAACACAACATACAAACAATCTACAAACCCACCAAGAAAATCCAACAAATGCTACGTTCAGCAAAGGACAAGAGGGATCCTCGCACCTCTGCAGGAGTCTACCGTATACCATGCAGCTGTGGACAAGTCTACATAGGGACCACCAAACGCAGCGCCCAAACACGAATCAAGGAACATGAAAGGCACTGCAGACTACTTCAACCAGAGAAGTCAGCCATAGCAGAGCACCTGATGAACCAGCCTGGACACAGCATATTATTTGAGAACACAGAAATGCTGGACCACACCAACAACCACCATTTCAGACTACACAGAGAAGCCATTGAAATCCACAAGCATGTGGACAATTTCAACAGAAAGGAGGAGACCATGAAAATGAACAAAATCTGGCTACCAGTATTAAAAAACTCTAAAATTACAACAGCAAAACAGCAGAGAGGAAACAACCAGGCACATCTTAACACCTCTCAACAGAACATTTTCCCAGGCTCAGCCAGGCCTTCAAATGCTAATGAAGGTGGTCAGCTGAAACATTCACACCTAGCTTCAGCAGAGAGCTCTTTGCCCCACCCCAGTCATTCCACAGATATATAAACCCATTTTCCTATTTCCAACAGACCTCACTACCTCTGAGGATGCTTGCCATTGATGCAGGCGAAACGTCAGGAGAAATGCCTCTAGAACATGGCCCTATAGCCCGAAAAAACCTACAAGAACCTACTGTCTATATATCCTTTACCCAGGGTTTGTTTGGGGTTTTATCATGGGGGGCTCTAATCCCGCCATAAAAACCCCCAAACAAACCCTGTTCTCTGTCTACAGGCAATCCCCTCAGAAAGGAACTCTCTCCTGTAAGAGTTATCATGGGGAAAAGGTGTCTCCACTGAAGCTTTCTCACTAATCCTTGTTTCCACAACAAGCCAAAATTTTCAAAATCCAGTTCTCACAGGGACTGAAAGTGAGGTGAAATTTTAAGTGGCTTGGGCAATTCAGGCCAAACAGCCTTCAGTTTCTATCATTCAATGTCCCTAATAATCAGATTTTTTAAAAAAACAAATAAATGAAAAACTCACCTTATCGAAGAATCTACTCAGTTTGACAGCATTGGAGGAGCCAGCACCAAGGTAGCGAGGACTGGTGCAATCCTGAAATACCAAAATGTAATATAACCATATTTCCTAAGAAATGGCCCAAAGGGTAAACCAGGTGCAATGGCTGACTAGTAGGCCAATTCAAAGAAAGAAGGCTTTCTATATGAGCCTCCACTGCCAGATATTCAAACAACAATACTGTCAGTTAGACCTTGGTTAGACCAAACCTGGAATATTGTGTCCAATTCTGGGCACCACAATTGAAGAGAGATATTGATAAGCTGGAATGTGTCCAGAGGAGGGCGACTAAAATGATCACGGGTCTGGAGAACAAGCCCTATGAGGAGCAGCTTAAAGAGCTGGGCATACTTAATAAAAGAAAAGAATATGAAAATAATTACTTAAAGAAATGTGACGGAGAACACAGAAATAGGGGAGAGCAAGACACAAAAGAAGGAGAAAGAAGAAAAAAGAAAGAAGAAGGAAAAGGATAAGAAATCTCCAAAGGATACCAGGAAGTCAATGCAACACCTACAAAATCACACATACCCCATCCCCCACTACTCATTTCTGAATTTCTTTTCTTACACTCTACACACAACAGGATACCAGCGTCCCTCAACACAGTGAGACCCTGGATAACAGGAAACCGAATTGGCTTAAGGACAAACTGGACACTCTTTACTATATCTTTATCTCTATCCCCTTCTTCCCCCCCCCCCCCCCTTATTCTTTCCCCGAACAGTGAGAAACTTTATAAGTCAAAAAGTTTCAAGCACTATCTATCTGTATATCTGTATTTTTTAGGAAATGCAATAAAGATTATTTTAAAAAAGGAGCTGGGCATGTTTAGCCTGAAGAAGAGAAGGCTGAGAGGAGATATGATAGCCATGTATAAATATGTGAGAGGAAGCCACAAGGAGGAGGGAGCAAGCTTGTTTTCTGCTTCCCTGGAGACTAGGACGCGGAACAATGGCTTCAAACTACAAGAAAGGAGATTCCATCTGAACATGAGGAAGAACTTCCTGACTGTGAGAGCCATTCAGCAGTGGAACTCTCTGCCCCAGAGTGTGGTGGAGGCTCCTTTTTTGGAAGCTTTTAAACAGAGGCTGAATGGCCATCTGTCGGGGTGCTTTGAATGCAATTTTCCTGCTTCTTGGCAGGTTGGACTGGATGGCCCATGAGGTCTCTTCCAACTCTATGATGCTATATAAAAGAGGTCAAAACATTGTATCTATTTTATTAAAGGTTTTCCCCTGACATGAAGTCCAGTCGTGTCCGACTCTGGGATGTGGTGCTCATATTTATTTATTTACTTACTTTACTTGTATACCGCACTCTCTCAGCCCGTAGGCGACTCAGTGCGGTTTACAGCCAGGACAATATACAAAGTGCACACATTAGCATTTAAAACAGTACTAAAGCAACTACATCGATATAGCAATACAACAGTACATCAATATAACATCTATACATCTATATAACTAATCCATCACGTCTCATCAGTAAAGTCATAATCCGATCTCCTCGTCCATTATTCCAAGTTCCAAGATCAATCAGTTGGTTGCACTGCTTAATTAAACGCCTGTTCAAAGAGCCAGGTCTTTACTCTTCTCCTGAATGCCAGCAGGGAGGGGGCCGATCTAATGTCTGGGAAGGGCGTTCCACAGCCGAGGGGCCACCACTGAGAAGGCCCTGTCTCTCGTCCCCGCCAGCCGTGCTTGTGAGGCTGGCGGGATCAAGAGCAGGGCCTCCCCGGACGATTTTAATGTCATATCCATTTCTAAGCTGAAGAGCCGGCATTGTCCGTAGACATCTCCAAGGTCATGTGGCTGGCATGACTGCATGGAGCGCCTGCACCTTCCCGCCTGAGCAGTACCTATTGATCTACTCACATTTGCATGTTTTTGAACCGCTAGGTTGGCAGAAGTTGGAGCTGACAGCGGAAGCTCATACCACTGCCTGGATTCAAACCTACGACTTTTTGGTCAACAAGCTCAGCAGTTCAGCGCTTTAACCCACTGCGCCACTGGGGGCTCCTATTTTACTAGTCTATTATTCTTTTTACAAGTCAAAAGAAATACAGGGAAAAGATGCCTGCAAACTGGTACATTCAATATGCCTTTTAAAATGTGTACTGAAAAAACATAACCCACCAAGGGGAAGAACTATTATAAAAGGTCATATTAGTTTCCCAAGTCTGAATATATATTTTAGAAATCAAACTCTTCTCACATCTCCTTTTCATCTAAACATCCAGTCATGGTGACCTACCATGCTTTCTAGTTTTCTCTAGTTTTCTATCTACAGAGACACTCAATGGAACACCTCAGCAAGCGAGAGTCCAAAAGTGGCAGGCTCAAACCCAGAACCTCAATCAATGGCTGAGACCAAATGAATCCCTCCTGGGCACACAGAAGACTGGGCGACTTGGAAGGCGCTGAACAGACTGCGCTCTGGCACCATGAGATGCAGAGCCAATCTTAAGAAATGGGGCTACAAAGTGGAATCCACGACATGCGAGTGTGGAGAAGAGCAAACTACTGACCACCTGCTGCAATGAACCTGAGCCCTGCACATGCACAATGGAGGACCTTCTTGCGGCAACACCAGAGGCACTCCAAGTGCCCAGATACTGGTCAAAGGACATTTAATCAACTACCAAGCTTGCAAACTTTGTATTTTGTCTGTTTGTTAAAAAATGCAACGCAATTGTTCAGTCTGCTCCTGACACGATAAATAAAAAATAACCATGTTGAGCAGAGAGGGATGAAAGGGGATGATGATCATTTGAATAAAAACCTTTGGATCTCAAAACAGGCCTCCCAGTTGCCCAGAAAGAATGTAAGTAGATGCCCCCTTTAGACCAGCTGTCTCAACAGGAAACCAGAGACTGGTGGGAAGACACTGCTTCACTTTGATACATCTAAACCAACAAAATAAGGAATCAAGTACATACAAGATTAATTTCTTCTGCACCAAAATCTTCTGCAAGAAAAGCAGTTCTGGTCAAGACATCACTGCGTTTCATCTCTGGGATCTGGTCCAGTTTGGTCCCAATGACAAGCAGTGGAATCTGGTTATCCGCAAACTGTTCACGATCATAGTCCCTATGAAGGAAAAGAGGTCATTTGTGTCAGAAACTAATGTTCTCCATGTATTTACTCCGACATTAACATTATCTTGAAAGAAATTTCCCAAAAGCCATTTGGAATTTATGCAAACCTATCTCTGGAAATAACAGTAGGTGTTCTGGAGAACTTAAAGAACCCATGATGAAAAAAGAAAAGATGAAGGAGTAAAGATCGAAATAATGGATTGACTAAAATTTGGATTCAAAACTCTGCTGAACTCATATGGCGTTCTTTGGATAGCACCGGGATTGTGGCACAGCTGGCTGAGTGTCAGCTGCATTAAGATCACTCTGACCAAAAAGGTCATGAGTTCGAAGCCAGCCCGGGTTGGAGTGGGTTTCCAACCAATTGTGTGTAGCCTGTTGTCGACCTTTGCAACCCGAAAGACATTTGCATCTGTCAAGTAGCAAAATAAGGTACCACCTTAAAGTGTGGGGAGGCTACATTAACTGATTTACGAGGCCATAAAGAAGACTCCAGCAAAGCATTCCAGCGGGAAAGCATGCGGGGAATGTGGAAGTGCTTCATCAGCGTCGCAGATGGACGATGAAAGCGACGGCTCCCCTGGTGGCCAGAAAAAAGTTAAATAGCCTCTGTCTATGTCTGCATATGTTTGTATGTCAAAAATTGGCATTGAATGTTTGCCATATATGTGTACACTGTAATCCGCCCAGAGTCCCCTGCGAGGTGAGAAGGCGGAATATAAAAGCTGTAAATAAATAAATAAATAAATAAATAAAATAATCTTAGGCCAGGCATTCTCTCTTACGAGTACTCTATCTGACAATAGAGGCAGTGGGCTGCAGTCCAGGAAAGCCCTGAACGGTTTGGGACCCGCCTACCTGCGTGACTGCATTTCTGTGTACGAACCCACGCGATCTCTTTGATCATCTGGAGAGGCCCTGCTCTCGCTTCCGCCCCCTTCACAGGTGCGATTGGTGGGGATGAGGGAGAGGGCCTTCTCTGTGGTGACCCCCGACTCTGGAACTCATTTCCCAAGGATGTCAGACAAGCCCCCACATTGGCAGTCTTTAGGAGGAACCTGAAAACGTGGCTGTTCCCATGTGCCTTCCCTGAATAAAGGAAACAATACCCTGCTCTGATTAATTCTCTGCAATTGTCCTCAGAAGCACTTTACTACCCGTTGGGTTGGTCTCCCTACATTATCCTTTAAAACCCTCCTGCTTAGAAACATCCTACCTCTGTTCATGCCCAGTGTTTATTTTAAATTTTTTAATTTATTACATCTGTCCCGGCCATACGTTTTTAAACTCTGTGTGTTATTGTTTATATGTAAGTTATATTAATTGTACTGTTATTTGCTTGCAGTTTTGTTTTTACGGATGTGTTGTTGGGCTTGGCCTCATGTAAGTCTCCCCGAGTCCCCTTAGGGAGATGGTGGAGGGGTATAAATAAAGTTATTATTATTATTATTATTATTATTATTATTATTATTATTATTATTATATTATAGAGAGCAAGTTGGCAGTGTTGGGGGATACTGCATCCTTTGCTTTCTTCTGTTATTACTCAAATTAGGGAGCAACTGTGGGAACACTCTCTACCTGACAGTATTGTTGTTTGAATAAATAAAATGTGGAGGGGGGCAAGGACAATGTATGTTGTTCACAACTGCTTGAAAGAATGGAGAGATCTGAAAAGTAATAACTACAATTGGCTGGGAGTAAAAAGAAACAATAAATAGTTGATCTAGTATCAGAAGCCACCAGAAGGAAGAAAACATCCTGGAACACACATTATATCTCAAAAAGGAAGGTGTACAAATAGGACAATCCTCTCAAGTAAGGCCATGGATGAGAAAACTGTAGTTCATGGGCTGAATTCAACCTGTCAGGTTCCTTACCTGGCTAATAGAGTCCTTCTGTTCTCCATATTTTGGTCTTTACAGATACAAGAAATTGATGAAAAGATCAGAACATTGAATGAACTGACTCAAGGAGCTACTCAGATGGCTTCCTCCCCATAGTCTTTCCATGCAAATACTCATAAGGTATATAATAATAATAATAATAATAATAATAATAATAATAATAATAATAAGGCTTTATTTGTACCCCGCTACCATCTCCTGAGGGACTCGGTGCGGCTTACATGAGGCCGAGCCCACAATACAACAATAACAATAACAGCAATAATACAATAGGATATAATGGAATGCTCTTGAGTATACATTGAGTATGAATGAATGCATTTTATTGTGAAGGTCACAGATCAGGAGTACAAAGCATTAAAACATTAAAATTGGAGGGTTTTTAAAAAAATAATTACATTAAGATAATTGATTCAAAACATTAAAAGCAGAAAGTCCCCAACATGGAATTGTCTGAATTGGCTGCTATGAAATATGTGGGTATAGATACTAAAATGAGTAGGTTAAAACATTATCCTGTAAAATCATCCACCATCAGCCTCCTTATTTTTATAGTGGCAGCACAAAACTTAGCCACCCTAAGAGTTATCAATGGTTCCCTATAGTCTAAGACAGGGGTCCTCAATGTTGTAGTTCAGTGTGATGGTAACGTTGCTACTACTGGTAGAAGGGAGAAGAGGGCTGCGCAGGTGTTGGAAGAGGAGCAGCAGCGAAAGCGGATTAGAGAGATAATCATGGCTCCGAGTGATTCCGAAACCTTTGAGGGCTTCTCCAACTGTGAAATGGGGGATGGGGAGGAAAGCAGGGGAGTCAAGCGGGCTACTCGCAATCAAGAGGACTTCATGGGGTTTGAGGGGAGTGATGGGTCTGGGAGTGACACGGGGGTGGAGGATGAGCTTGATTGGACCCGTGTACAAGAAATTAGGGATATCTGTAACCGACCCACCTCCAGCGATGACTTCGAGGGGTTTACAGGAGAATGGCAACCAGGAAGCACTTGGCAAGATCTAAGTCTGTGTATGTCTGTATATGTTGTATGTCAAAATTGGCACTGAATGTTTGCCATATATGTGTACACTGTAATCCGCCCTGAGTCCCCTGAGGGGTGAGAAGGGCGGAATATATTATTTATTTATTTATTTACTACTCTTATATACCGCAATTCTCAGCCTACTGGCGACTCATTGCGGTGGAATATAAATGCTGTAAATAAATAAATAAATAAATAAATAAATACTTCCTTCTGCAGTCTAAAGAAGGCATAGCAGTTCAAGAAAGTTCTAAATATTATGGGTTTTGCTCTCCTTGTTTCATTAATCATGAATGAACCATGTCTTGTGGATATTGCTCATCCTTTAAGTGCAGATCCTTATCTAGGGAGTCTCCCCAATAACAACTTCACTAGTTTTTTGCTGACTTTGAGGGATGAAGAATTTACAGATCAACAATGCAGAACATAAAAGTGCTTCGCTTTAGTGGTAACAATACATTCCTTCCTCCCATTCCTTTGTTTCTCACCTGCTTTTGTTTCAGCATTCTCTCAGTGCCACGGAAACCAAATGATAAAAGGCAAAGAGCTGCTAGAAAGGCAGAGATCCACTGGGTCCTCTGTACACTCACCCATTTGTCACTAAGACGCCAGATGGAGCCGCATCCCGGTTGAGAACTTCCAAAGACCATCTATACAAGTTCTGGGAGGACTTCTTGTTGGTTAGGTCATGCACTAAAATGATGCCTAGGTAAGCAAAAAGACCACTCATGAATAAAATGGTTCCTTTTTAGTATCACCAACACCAAATGGAAAGATGCTTTTGAAATTAAGGGCATTTAAAAAAAAAACTGTGGCATGGCAGATGAAGTGGTGATGTTCTAAGAACAAATTCAAGAAAGGCACACATGAAGTAGTTTCTTGCATTCCAGATCATGGGACTTCATTCTCAACATTCTTAAAGCAGAGTCACATTTAAGTATTCAGTTTTGTTTTGTTTTTTGGTCATGTCAGGAGCAACTTGAGAAACTGCAAGTCGCTTCTGGTGTGAGAGAATTGGCCGTCTGCAAGGATGTTGCCCAGGGGATGCCTAGATGATTTGATGTTTTTATCATCCTTGTGGGAGGCTTCTCCCCGCATGAGGAGCTGGAGCTGATAGAGGGAGCTCATCCGCCTCTCCCCGGATTCGAACCTGCGACCTGTCGGTCTTCAGTCCTGCCGGCACAGGGGTTTAACCCACTGCGCCACCAGGGGCTCCTAAGTATTCAGTGATCTGTCAAGTAAATCTATTTTCGTTGTATAGAAAAGCTATCATTCCCTTCCTATTGCATTATTAGAAGGCAGTAAATTTTGTGTGCTTGAAGCATGTCTTTGCAAAAGCTTAAGCCACCTAAAAGTATCACCCAGAACTATATATGACATGATTTACTTCATTATCTTTTTTAACATGGAGACTCCCACCAAAGGTTCAGATCTGCAAAGCTCAAGCAGTGTTGCAATTTCAAAGGTTACAAAATTATTCACTGCAAGTCAGATTTTACTTCCATGAGGAATAGATGATTGCAGTGCCTTAAAAAAAACCGTGACTTTTTCAAAAGAGAAACTTTATGCTAGCTTTTTGGAATTCAATTTATTGGAATGACAGATAAGCCAGCCAGCTTTGCAAACAGCAAAGTGAACTATAAACTGCCTGGCTTCTGCAAGATTGGAGTTTTGCCATGCTGTACAAATTACGAAGTGTGCCAACAACCCCCAACTGATTTTTGACTGATGCAAGATCTTCTGCTAAGGCAACATGCCTGCCAAGCTGCATTGCAGAAAAGCAAGGACTGTCCCCTGCTGACAGGAGGCCATCCACCCAGACTCTTCTCCTGAAACCAGGATTAGGGTTGTAGGCCAAGACAGGTGTAACTGTAATCCAGATACTACAGAAGTCTTTGTTCTTTCTGGCAAACAATGCAACACAATACTATCTATGGCAAAAATGACACTTTTGGGACTAAATTTTTTAGATCACCTCTTCTTATTAGCACAGGTTTTCAAATACTACGAATGCATTCGGGATACTAGGAATAAACTTAACAGGAGGCCTAAGAATATCTTTTGGTTTAAATTATAAAAAAGAGACACTCATAAAACAGGATGCAGTGAAAACTTTAAAAATTAGTGTTACTAAAGAAACTCTGACACGATGAAAGAAAAATACAGCAAACCTTCTTCACAGACTAGGAGAGTTGGCAAAATAAATCAGAGAAAACACAACCGTATTTCATAGAATCTAGAACACCATCAATTCCAAGACACAACTCTCTTTTTTGATCTTCAATTTTAGAAAAAAAAGAAAATTTCTGTTCCAAGACACACACCCCTTTTTGGAACTCTGATTTCAGATAAAGGGAACCTGAACCACTTTAAATCCCTTTTTTCAAGGAGACCAGCACACTTCTTAAACCTCTATGTACCATCACGGAGATTAAGATCCTCCAGGGAGGCCCTGCTTTCCGTCCTGCCACAGGTGCGATTGGTGGGGACGAGAGACAGGGCCTTCTCTGTGATTGCTCCCCGGCTATGGAACTCCCTTCCTTGTGAGATCAGGTCGGCCTCCTCCCTCCTGTCCTTTAGAAGGATGGTAAAAACTTGGCTGCAGGATCAAGCTTTTGGGACAGGGCAATGAGGCAACAATGGGAAAGATGACAGGGCCAATTGGATTTTATGCGGATGGCTAGGACGGTTTTAAATTGTGTTATTTAAATGGTATATTTTAATATTTAGATAAATGTTTTTTTAATGTTTATGTATTGTACCCAGGCATTGAATGTTTGCCATGTATATGTTGTGCTCCGCTCTGAGTCCCCTTCGGGGTGAGAAGGGCGGAATATAAGTGTTTCAAATAAATAAATAAATAAATAAATATGGAGAATGAGTTTCACGCATGAACTGAAATGGTCATGCCATCAGCAAAGTGTGCAAACTTCAAAAAACCTCAGAGTTCCAGGGTGACATTGATTCCAAGATGACTCACCCTTTTGAAGCATCTGGGGACGGGGGGGGGGGGGGGAGAGAGAATTGTGTCCTAGATTCGGTGTAATACGGTAATTTGGAATTCTAGAATGGAATTTCCATCTGGTTCAGGTCTGGTGTTGACACTAAGTTGGTCCTTCTGCCCCAGAGCAATGGTGTCTACCAGGGAAGCCATCATGGGAGTCCAACCCACTCGATTCTTTTTGTTTGTATAGTTACATTTGACAGCATCAACCATGGCATCCTTCTGGATCCAGACTTTCAAAAAATGATATTACTGCCTAGTTATACAAACATTTCTGAGTAGAAGCTGGTTGACTTCTTAAACATTATTCTGGCACATCAATTCAAGGTGCAGGTGCTTACTTACAAAGCCCTAAACGGTTTGGGACCCACCTACCTTCGTGACTGCATCTCCGTACATGAACCCACACGATCTCTCCGATCATCTGGAGAGGCCCTGCTCACGATCCCACCTGCGTCGCAAGCGCGGTTGGTGGGACGAGGGACAGGGCCTTCTCTGTGGTAGCCCCCCGACTCTGGAACTCTCTCCCCAAGGACATCAGACAAGCCCCAACATTGGCAGTCTTTAGGAAGAGCTTGAAGACGTGGCTGTTCCAGTGTGCCTTTCCAGAATAGGAAACTCCTAGCATCATGTCCCAAATGCACTTTACTAGAGATTTAAGATTGTCTGCACACCGCACCTACCTCTAAAAACCTATACATTTCACCTGTCATGTCCAGCACTTTTAAATTTTATTCATTACATTTGGCCCGGCCTTAGTTTTAAATGTGTCATGGTGTTATTGTTTTATTGTTTTACTGTTATTGCTTTAATGTTTATTGTTTTGCTTTATGAGTTTTATTGTTGTATTTGTTATACTGTTGTTTTATTGAGGGCCTTGGCCTTTTGTAAGCCGCACCGAGTCCTTCGGGAGATGTTAGCGGGGTATAAATAAAGTTAATAATAATAAATAATCTATTTCAAATCTGCTGTATTTCAGACCCTTTGCTCTGAGAATGTCCACGTTTCAGGGAGCAGAACGTCTGAACTATGAGCCTAGTCCAGCCCACTCATTTCCACCACTCCCACATGAACATTATTGTCTCCTACACCAGATTGGAGTAAACAATGAGAATTCTCCCTATGCAACTCTCATCTCACTCCTCCCATCTGGGAAGACGAGTGATATACAATGGATTCACTACTTAGCTCTAAATTCTAATTGGAAATAACAGTATGAAGCTTCACCCCTTCTACATTCTCTCTGATAAGAAAGGAGTGCAGAAAAGACAAAATGTCCTTGGTAGTTGTAGGAAAAGTTCTGCAACTGCTGTCTGAGTCTGGGAACTCATTTCCCCCACAAAGTATCTGGAGAATTAAATAGAAATAGGCCTTACTACACGCATACATTACCATTAACTGCATTGTAGAACATAACACGTGTGCTTTTCACGCTGCTGGCACTGCCCACTGAGCCCCCAACATCCCATAGTTCAATGTAATACATTTTTTCTTCTGGGGTTCCTTCCTTGTAGTCATGAATCTGACAAAAAAAAAATCCAAAGTAGCAAGTAAACCAAATAAGTACCTACTTGAAAGCAATACTTTTTAATAGACAACTCATACTGTGTTATGCCTCTTCACTTGTAGAGTTCCATGTATTATATATAGCACAAAGTACTATCCCAGGGAGTGCCACAGAAAAAAAGAGAAAAACTGAACTGAAGAGAAAAACTTCAGGGTGCAAGTCCTAGGACTCCAGAGGATGTCACCATGACAGCTAGAGTGGAATAAAAATCCTATAACTGGGTGGTGTCAAAAGAACCTGGCACTTGTATGCAGATCACCCAAGGATATTTATTGAGCTGGTTAGTTCCACAGAGGAATATATGACATTAAATTTAGTAAACTTTGTATTTACATGGACTGTGAAGATAAAAGACTGACTTAAAGCCATGGTAAATGGGCCCAGAGCTTTCTCCCATGAAAAGGTCCTTTGATGAATGCTTTTGTTTCAAAAGCAACTATTGGTTTCTGAATTTGTGTCTTCAACTCTTCAATCTTTACACTAAAGAGCTGGAAATGTTTAATCCCCTTGGGTCATGTTTTCTTGATGCATTGTATGGCATTATCCAATACACAATTATAAATACTGTGCTCAAGTCTCAGCCACTTGCCATTTGAATTTTTCCATATAAGAATAAAAAATAGCTTACCTCACCAAACAAACCACGAATGCCTCAGACAGAGATGTATCAATAAATATGACTTTTGCCAATGGGGTATTTCTCTGTTTGAGTCTGCATGATATACTGAAATAAAATCTGCCTATGCCACTTCCTGGCAAACCTTGACATAGTGACGCAAAAATGACACACCAAGATTGTGTTGGATTTACATTTGTGCATATTAAAAATTATTCTGCTGAATTCTTTGGAGCCAGGAAACAATCACAATCTCAGGAGTGTGTATTTTATTTTATGTAATATTTCTTTTATTCCATCTTGTGTTTTATGGCTTGGGATCAAAGATGTCTGAAGGCAGACAAAACCAGTTCTTTGGACATGTTTTGATAGTATGCAAATCCCACTGAGAAGGCCCTGTTCCTTGTCCCCGCCAAGCGAGCTTACATCAAAAATGGGGCCGAGAGCAGGGCCCCAGAAAATGTTAAATTTCAAGCAAAACCTCTCCTGGCCACCGTCGAGACCTGGGGTTCCAGATTCAGCAATGAATCCAGGATCACTCCCAAGCTGCGAACCTGCATCTTCAGGGGGAGTGTAACCCCATCCAACACAGGCTGTAACCCTATGCCCTGTTCGGCCTTACGACTGACCAGTAGGACCTCTGTCTTGTCTGGATTCAATTTCAATTTGTTAGCTCTCATCCAGTCCGACACAGCAGCCAAGCACCGGTTCAAAGTTTGGACAGCCTCCTTGGTGACAGGTGAGAAGGAGTGACAAATTTGGACATAATCTGCATAGAGATAACATCACATTCCGAAACTCCGGATGATCACCCCCAGCGACTTCATGTAGATGTTAAATAACATTGGGGACAGTATTGAACCCTGTGGGACTCTACAAGACAAAGCTCACCCAATAACACTGAAAAGAAGCAAGGGAGCGGAGGGATGATTTATTGTTGCCACCAATTTGAAAGGAACTAGTATTCAGGAGATTTTACCCCAGTTCCCAATTTTAAAAAGAACTGGCCGATTTGCAATGGAGGTTGCCGATTAGGAACCAAATTTACCATCAAGTTGGAAGGGAGGCTGTTCAATTGCACCCCCTCCTTTATTAAGAAAGTAATAACTTAGTAGTAATTACACTGTATATACTGTAGCGTGACTGGAGAGAAGAAGGTAGATTTATTTGGTTACTTTTCCCTGCGTTTCTGCCACCACGTGAGGTAAGTTGTAATATTGTGAGAAATGGCACTTTGGACACAGAATAGACGGAGCTGAGGCAATCTTCAAATAAAAGTTAACAATTTTATTAAGTACACAGCGTGTGGTTGCAAGACGTAACTTTTCCTTGTTGCACTTGGAATAATACTTGTAACTTTAACAGTTCATTCTTTCAAGTAACACAGTATCTTTCTGACGTAGAGCACTTGTTTCAGACAAAGTTTCAATACAGGGATGTTTCCCTTGTTTGATCCTCCCTAGATCAAATACTAAGTAAACTATTCTTTAGCCTCTCCTTAGACTAAAAGAATACCAGCTCTGTTTCACCATTCGAAACTTCCAATAGCCAAACCCAGCTTTTCAAAGCCTCAAAGCTTTGCTTCACAAGTCACTCCGCCACCTTTCCTTTCCTTCTCTCCCAACTCCTAACTCCTCACTCCTCTGAACCTAACTCCTGACTCCCCTGAACCTAAACCCGGACTGCTCACACCTCTAAACCTAAACCCCTAACTGATTTTTTAACTGTCGTTTTTTCAAACTCTCCCCTCTAAGTTCCTCCCACTTCCCTCTCTCCTGCATCGGTCTCCATGGCAACGCACATGGAGGACTCCTCTGACTTAGGCCGCTCCAGCTGCAGCCAATCTAAACACAAATACAGTTAAAATCATACAATTTATAATCAACTCCTGTACAAACACCTTCTGGGACTATTCCTCAAGGAAGGACCAGAACCACTGCAAGACAGTACCTCCAAGACCCATACCTACAAGGCATCCCAGAATGATACTCTGGTCAATGGTATGAAGGCCGCTGAGAGGTCCAGCAGAACCAAAAGGGACACACTTCCCCTGTCTAGTTCCCGGCGTAGATCATCTACCAAGGCTCACTCCCATGTCCTGGCCTAAAGCCAGACTGTTCCGGATCTAGATAATCAATGTCTACCAGGAACTCCTGGAGTTGTGAGGCCATCACACGTTCCATGACTTTGTCCAAATAGGGGAGATTGGAAACTGGCCGATAGTTGACTAATTGAGTGGAGTCCAGTGATGCTTTTTTCAACAGCGGCTTTATAACAGCTTGTTTTAAGCTGGCTGGAATTTTGCCCTCCTGTAAGGAGGCATTAACCATCACCTTAACTCACTCTGCCAAACCCCTTCTGGCTTCTTTTATCAGCAAGGATGGGCAGGGTTCTAGGATTCATGTGGTAGGCCTCACCTCTCCAAGGATCCTGTCCACATCCTCGAGCTGAACCAATTGAAATGAATCCATCAATACTGGACAAGCAGCTGCTTCAGCTACATCCCCAGAAACTGCAGCTAACGTGGTGTTGAAATGGGAACAAATCAGAGCGACTTTGTCCGCAAAGAACCAAGCAAATGCTTCACAGCGGGCTGCCAAGTTATCAGGGATCTCGCTCTGTGGCGGATTTAACAGCCCTCTGACAACTCGGAACAGCTCAGCCAGACGGTTCTTTGCAGATACAATGTTGGCCACTAGAAAGGATTTCTGTGCGGCCTTTATTGCCACGTCATAGGTCTTTAAGAAGGCACCCAAACGTGTTCAAGCTGATTTGGAAGGTTTCCATCGCCACATGCCCTCTAGCCTCCTCTTCTTTTGCTTCATCACTGCCAACTCCTCAGTGAACCAAGGGGCTGGTTTAGCACAGTTACTCGAGAGGGGGCGCTCTGGAGTGATTGTGTCTATTGCCCTAGTCATCTCACTGTCCCATAGAGGGACCAGAGCATCAACAGAGTCACCTACCGAGGAAGCAGGAAAATCCCCAAGAGCCATCCGGAATCCAGTTGGATCCATAAGTCTCCTGGAGCGGACCATTCTAATGGGACCACCACCCCTGCGGAGACTAAGAGATGCAGTAAGTCTAAACCTGATCAGGTGGTGGTTGGTCCATGGCAATGGAGCGTTGGACAGCTCCTCAACCCCGCCACCTTCATCCCACCCCTGACAGAAAACCAAATCCAATGTGTGCCCAGCACTATGGGTGGAATCAGATACTAACTGGGGCAGGCCCATGGTTGCCATAACAGCCATGAAGTCCTGAACTGCACCTGACAGAGAGGTCTCGGCATGAACATATAAGCCATTGAGACTCCAATGCCATGTCCAAGACCACTCCGGCTAGTTCAGGTAGAGAGACTGTAGTGCAGCGGGGTGGTCGGTACACTAACAGAATTCCTATCCTGTCCCGGTCACCTACCCTTAGGCCGACACATTCAAAGGAGGTTGACTGTGGGATGGGCACCTGGTCAGGGGGATAGAATCTTTATAGACTACGGCGACTCCACCTCCCCGCCATCCTAGTAATACCATTTATTAAAAGTATAGTTTCTGAAATGCAGTAATACCCAGCATTATGAATTTATTTTCACCTACCCGAACATCAACGGAGCAACCTACAGTCCAAGAGGGATTTCCCAACATTTGATTGTGACACAATAAGTGAACAAGTGATGACTTCCCCACACCTGCAAGAGAAGCACAAAGTGAGCCCTCAGGGTAAATGTATCTGTTATTATTTCAGTTTTATTGTATACTGTAAATGTAAATTAAGAGATTTAGATTGAATGTGCATGATTTTTATTCAAGCACTTGTAAGTGAAAATGAGGAGGAAGAAGTGCAATAATGCAGGTATCCCTGGAAGAGCCAGATTGTGATGGTAGCATGTGATCCCTGCTGAGGGGAACAGAAGAAGCGGTTTGCATGTTTAATGGGGCGACTTCAGAGGTGTGCTATCCCCTAAGAGCAAAAATCTGTGATGTAACAGAGACTGACAGGTTTCCTTCTTTTTGGTCAACTTGGGAACCAATAACTTGGCAAGGCATAGCCTTCAAGACAGTAAAGGAAGCTGAAGGGCTTTGATGCAGTTTGTAATTTTGTTTATTCTCTCAGATGAAACAATTGTATACAAACAACTGTATATAATTACACTACATAACATGAGTTTTGTTCCTAATTGACTCCATCATAAAACCATAGGAAATGATTATTAATAGAGATTTGTTTTTATGGGACATCCTGCAGATGATTTTGCTATAGTCTTTCCATGAATATCTCAGAGTCTCAACTAATTCAACATAGTTTGCAGCAGCCACATAAAGTTTTTGGAGTATAACAACTAGTTTCAAAGTAAGCACCACACAATGAAACAGGAAATAACACTTTCAAATAAGGAACAGATTTTTTTTCAATTTTTTTTATATTGATAGTATTATCAATCAAAGGCAATATGAGGGATACTGTATATGTGCTGTTTTATACCTGCACACTGATTCCCACAAAAATCGGTTTTGTAATAAGGATAGTATTTCTTGAAGGTTTATTTTTTATTTGAGAAAGAAGAGTTGTTGTTTTGAAAAGTGACCCTGATGAGAAAAAATCCCACTAGGGTAGATTTTGTAAAGGTTTATAGAAAGCTGGGTAAGTTTTTATGAGGCTCAGTACTAAGTTTACCGCAGATGTATGTGTGTGAAGAAAGGAAGAATCCATATGTAGGTGCATTGCATGTGTCATTAAAAGCAAATGTTTCTTTGCTACAATCAGTAGAGTGTAACTGGGAAGTTTACAGTATACCCTTTGGAGTTCTTTGCAAAACCTTGCTGTAGAAGCCAAGATCTCAGTATTTTGTATATTGCAATACAATATTGCATATTGTGTGTTTCATGCACTTTGGAAAAACCATTTGTTTTGCATATCATAGAATCATAGAGTTGGAAGAGACCTCATGGGCCATCCAGTCCAACCCCCTGCCAAGAAGCAGCAATACTGCATTCAAAGCCTGAGGCTGTTAGGAATCGTGGGAGTTGAAGTCCAAAACACCCGGAGAGCCCAAGTTTGCCCATGCCTGCAATACTAGTACCATTTTTAAAAAAAGTGATTAAAACCGTTACAAGCATTATGGAACACATGTATTGTCGAAGGCTTTCATGGCTGGAATCACTAGTTCTTGTGGGTTTTTTCGGGCTATATGGCCATGTTCTAGAGGCATTTCTCCTGACGTTTCGCCTGCATCTATGGCAAGCATCCTCAGAGGTGAGGTCTGCTGGAACTGGGAAAAAAGGGGTTTATATATCTGTGGAATGACCAGGGTGAGACAAAGGACTTTTGTAAGTTGGGCTAGGTGTGAATCTTTCAACTGATCACCTTGATTAGCATACAATGGGCTGACTGTGCCTGGAGCAAACTCTTCTTGAGAAAGGTAATTAGATGTCCCTGCCTGTTTCCTCTCTGCTGTTTTTGCTGTTGCAATTTTAGAATTTTTAATACTGGTAGCCAGATTTTGTTCATTTTCATGATTTCTTCCTTTCTGTTGAAATTGTCCACATGCTTGTGGATTTCAATGGCTTCTCTGTGTAGTTTGACATGGTGGTTGTGAGAGTGGTCCAGCATTTCTGTGTTCTCAAATAATATGCTGTGTCCAGGCTGGTTCATCAGGTGCTCTGCTATGGCTGATTCTCTGGTTGAAGTAGTCTGCAGCTGTGGACAATTTCAACAGAAAAGGAGGAAACCATGAAAATGAACAAAATCTGGCTACCAGTATTAAAAAACTCTAAAATTGCAATAGCACAACAAGAGAGAGGAAACAATCAGGGACATCTAATCATCTCTCAACAAAAGTTTGCTCCAGGCACAGTCAGGCCTTTGTATGCTAATCAAGGTGGTCAGTTGAAACATTCACACCTAGCTCCAGCAGACAAGAGTCCTTTGTCTCACCCTGGTCATTCCACAGATATATAAACCCTTTTTCCTAGTTCCAACAGACCTCACTACCTCTGAGGATGCTTGCCATAGATGCAGGCGAAACGTCAGGAGAGAATGCCTCTAGAACATGGCCATACAGCCCGAAAAAAACCACAAGAACTGAATTATGGAACACAGTTTGCAATATAGGAAACGCTTGCGGCCTGGAAGCGTCATGGCGGTGTGATTCCTTCCCTTTCCCTTCCACTCACCGGAGTCGCCCAGCACCAGCACTTTCACCCGCTCCAGGGCCGCCATCCCTCCTCGCCGACCAAGAGCCACTTCCTATTCCGCCCACAGGCCAGTCGCTTCCTTCCTATTGGCCGAGGAAGGAGCGGGGAGGGGCGAGGGACGCCAGGCGTCGCTTAGTAGTGACGTCAAGCAGAATCGTGTTTGGAGGCAGAGTCGTGACGCACGCCTGCGCGCGCTGAGGGTCTCGCGGCGAAGGAGCTTGGCTTTTGGGTCCCTCACAGGTCAGTCCGAGGGCTGTGCCGGCTTGTGCTCGACGTTCAGCTCCAACCCTTGCCTGCCCCAAGGGCCTGTTTCTTGAGGGAGTAGCTTGGTGGGCTTGTGTTGCTATTCTGTGCTCTTCAAGGGAAAACACTCGGATGGCGGCGGGCCAGAATACATCTGCCTCAGGAAGGAAAGCAGCAGGGAGAGTGTGGTCACCTGTGGCAAGAAGCTTGCACGCGTGTTGGGTGTAACTATGCCATTATCCAGCCGGAGGCCAAAAGGGGAGCTGGACAGAGAAGGGGAGGGGGGGGGGTTAAAGGAGTTCAACCAGGCGAGAGCAAACCTGGGGCCTCCAGGTGTTTTGGACTTATTTATTTATTTAGAACTTTTATATACCGGTCTTCTCACCTCCAACGAGGGACTCAGGCCGGTTTACAACAAGGGAGTTCATGCACAATAGTTTAAAAACATCACATCAATAATCTATATAAATAGAAATGTAATGTTCGTTTGTGATACCATCAGAACTCAAAAACCACTGGGGGAATTGACACCAAATTTGGACACAAGACACCTAACAACCCAATGTATGTCCTCCACTCAAAAAAATTGATTTTGTCATTTGGGAATTGTCGTTGCTGGGATTTATAGTTTACCTACAATCAAAGAGCATTCTGAACTCCACCATTTGGTGTCATCTGCAAACTTGATGATCCTGCCTTCTAACCCTTCATCTAAGTCATTAATAAAGATCCTGAACAGGACCGGGCCCAGGACGGAACCCTGCGGCACTCCACTCGTCACTTGCTCCCCAATGCTTCCTCTTCATCCTGGAAAGAAGTGACGAGCGGAGTGCCACAAGCAGGGTTCCGTCCTGGGCCCGATCCTGTTCAACATCTTTATTAATGACTTAGATGAAGGGCTAGAAGGCATGATCATCAAGTTTGCAGACACCAAATTGGGAGGGATAGCCAATAGTCCAGAGGACAGGAGCAGAATTCAAAACGATCTTGACAGATTAGAGAGATGGGCCAAAACTAACAAAATGAAGTTCAACAGTGACAAATGCAAGATACTCCACTTTGGCAGAAAAAATGAAATGCAAAGATACAGAATGGGTGACGCCTGGCTCGAGAGCAGTACGTGTGAAAAAGATCTTGGAGTCCTCGTGGACAACAAGTTAAACATGAGCCAACAATGTGATGTGGTGGCAAAAAAAAGCCAATGGGATTTTGGCCTGCATCAATAGGAGCATAGTGTCTAGATCTAGGAAGTAATGCTACCCCTCTATTCTGCTTTGGTTAGACCACACCTGGAATATTGTGTCCAATTCTGGGCACCACAATTCAAGAGAGATATTGACAAGCTGGAATGTGTCCAGAGGAGGGCGACTAAAATGATCAAGGGTCTGGAGAACAAGCCCTATGAGGAACGGCTTAGGGAACTGGGCATGTTTAGCCTGAAGAAGAGAAGGCTGAGAGGAGATATGATAGCCATGTATAAATATGTGAGAGGAAGCCACAGGGAGGAGGGAGCAAGCTTGTTTTCTGCTTCCTTGGAGACTAGGACGCGGAACAATGGCTTCAAACTACAAGAGAGGAGATTCCATCTGAACATGAGGAAGATCTTCCTGACTGTGAGAGCCGTTCAGCAGTGGAACTCTCTGCCCCGGAGTGTGGTGGAGGCTCCTTCTTTGGAAGCTTTTAAGCAGAGGCTGGATGGCCATTTGTCAGGGGTGATTTGAATGCAATATTCCTGCTTCTTGGCAGGGGGTTGGACTGGATGGCCCAAGAGGTCTCTTCCAACTCTTTGATTCTATGATTCTATGAGTGATGGAATTGGGCCAAACTTGGCACGAATATTTCATATGCCCAAATATGAACACAGATGGAGTTTGGAGAAAATAGACATTTGGGATTTCTAGTAATGTAATCAGAGCCATCCAGTCATAAATGTAGATAGATAGAATAGATATGATTCTCTCTCACACACACAGATATAGTATCATAGATTTGAAAGAGACCCTTAAAGAAGGACTATGATATGTTGCATGTTCCAGAGTAGGCAAACCAGACAATCTCCACATCAACACTGACAAAGAAACAAAGAAATACTGTTTACCCACAAGCATAAAGAAATTACATATATTAGAAACCAACACTTTCTCATTACTTTATTTTCCAGATCACCAGACTGGGCCACAGCAATGCTTGGCAGACAGCTAGTACACTAATATAAACACATTAAAGTGCTATCATATAATTATATAAAGCAAGTCGTTAGTATAAAAATCACTATGCATCCCCATCCGTCCGTGTGGTCAAAAGTCATTGCCTCATTCATCAAATACTAGATTCCAAAGCCAGGTTTTCACCAACTTTCTAAAGGTCAGGAGGGAAGGGGCAGTTCTAATTTCCAATGGGAGAGAGTTCCAGGGCCAAGGGGCCACCACCAAGAAGGCCCTGTCCCTCGTCCCCACCAAACGCGATTGCAAGAATGATGGGACCGAGAGCAGGGCCCCTCCAGAAGATCTTAACAACCTTGAAGGTTCATAGCTTCCGAGCACAATTCAAAGTGCTGGTTTTGACCTACAAAATCCTTTACGGCTCCGGCCCAGCATACCTGTCCAAACGTATCTCCTTCCACATCCCACCTCGGAGTTTAAGATCTTCTGGGGAGGCCCTGTTCTCGGCCCCACCTTTATCACAAGTGAGACTGGTGGGGACGAGGGACAGTGCCTTCTCGGTGATGGCCCCTCGCCTGTGGAATGCACTCCCCGGGGAAATTAGGTCATCAACATCCCTCCTCTCCTTCAGGAGGAAGTTTAAAACCTGGATTTGGGACCAGGCCTTTGGGTAAGCTGGCAGATGGATAAAAGACAATGATGACCAGAGTAGAAAAGGACAATGACAATGCTGGATGGATTATGGATGTATGAATTGGCGAACGTTGACCACAAGATGATTTTATTGCTGCTATTGTATTAATTTGATTGTTTTAACTAGTTATAACTTGTCGTTATATTGTATTTTGTATATTGTACTTTGTGAATTGTTGAGCATCGAATTGTACCTATTTTTGTAAGCCGCCCTGAGTTGAGAAGGGCAGGGTAGAAGCACTCCAAATAAATAAATATGGGAGAATCCGTTCAGATAGGGAAACTGGGCCGGAGTCGTTTAGGCATTTGTAGGTCAACACCAGCACTTTGAATTGTGCTCGGAAGCTAATTGGCAGCCAGTGGAGCTGGCGCAACCCCGCTCCTGTTAGTAATCTGGCTGCCGCTCGTTGGACTGATTGCAGCTTCCGAGCAGTCTTCAGAGGCAACCCCACGTAGAGAGCGTTGCAGTAGTCTATACGGGATGTAACCAAAGCGTGGACCACCGTGGCCAAGTCAGACTTCCCAAGGTACGGGCGCAGCTGGCGCACAAGTTTTAATTATGCAAAAGCTCCCCTGGGGTTCCAGGCTCAGCGATGAGTCCAGGATCACTCCTGAGCTGCGAACCTGCGTCTTCAGGGGGAGTGTAACCCCGTCGAGCACAGGCTGTAACCCTATGCCCTGTTCGGCCTTTCGACTGACCAGGAGTACCTCCGTCTTGTCTGGATTTAATTTCAGTCTGTTCGCCCTCATCCTGTCTGCTACAGCGGCCAAGCACCAGTTCAGGACTTGAACAGCCTCCTTAGTAGCAGGTGGGAAGGAGTAACAGAGTTGGACATCATCTGCATACAGAAGACACCGAACCCCAAAACTCTGGATGATCTCTCCCAACGGTTTCATGTATATGTTAAACAACATAGGGGACACTACTGAACCCTGCGGGACTCCACAGTACAATGGCCGTGGGGTCGAGCAGGAGTCCCCTAGTAACACCTTCTGGGAACAACCCTCGAGGAAGGACTGGAGCCACTGCAAAGCAGTACCCCCAAGGCCCATTCCCGCGGGCGTCCCAGAAGGATACCGTGGTTGACAGTATCGAAGGCCGCTGAGAGGTCCAGCAGAACCAACAGGGACACACTCCCCTTGTCTAGTTCCTGGCAAAGATCATCCACTAAGGCGACCAAGGCTGTCTCAGTACCATGTCCCGGCCTAAAGCCAGACTGCTCCGGTAGGCTGTTAGGAATTGTGGGAGTTGAAGTCCAAAACACCTGGAGGGTCCAAGTTTGCTCGTGCCTGAGTTAAACCATTTCCCCTCTGTGTTCCTGTTATTCCCCTCACCCATGCCCCTTCTACATTACCATATAAAATCCAGATTATCTGCTTTGAAGTGAATATTCCTGCTTCTTGGCAGGGGGTTGGACTGGGTGGCCCATAAGGTCTCTTCCAACTCTAGGATTCTATGGTTATAAGGGCTCTTCCACACTGCCCCTTTATCCCAGGATCTGATCCCAGTTTATCTGGCATTGGGGACACATACATTCCAGTTTAAAGCAGATAATCTGGGATCAGATCCTGGGATGAAGGGCAGTGTGGAAGGGCCCTAAAATGTTCAAAGGTCTGGAGACCATGCCCTATGAAGAGCATCGTAAAGAGCTGGGGATGTTTAGCCTGCAGAAGAGAAGGTTGAGAGGAGACATCATAGCCATGGATAAATATGTGAAAGGATATCATAAGGAATAGGGAGCAGACATGCCCTGGAGCTGGGCACTCACTGGAACAATGGGTTCAAATTCCAGGAAAGGGGGTTCCACGTGAATATTAGGAAGAATTTCCTGAATGTAAGTGCTATTTAGCAGTGGAACTCTGCCTCTTTTTTGGAGGCTTTTAAACAAAGGCTGAATGGCCATCTGTCGAAGGTACTTTGATTGTGCTTTTCCAGCATGGCCCAATTCTGTAATGGAGTCTTCCTCTTTTCCTACTGCCTTTTACCTTACTAAGCATTATTTTCTTTTCCAGTTAGCCATGTCTTCTCATGGCCCTTAGTCATCTTGGCTTTTATAGGAAGTTCAAATTTGATTTGTTCTAGAACCAGTTTGTCTTTTCAACAGTCCACAGTATTTGTAGAACTCTGCCCATTTAAAATGAATTGACTTTCTTCCTGTCAACTATCTTCACAATCATACATGGACACGAGAAGTACAATGACATGGACTACTTTAACTTTAGTGTTCAGTGATATATCTTAACAATTCAAGTTATTGTTTTATTTATTATTTATTTAGAGCTTTTATAACCCGGTCTTCTCGACCTCCGAAGAGGGACTCAAGCCGGCTAGTTCTGAATTGTGGTCTAGTTCCTTCATTTTTCCAAGTTGTAGTCTTTTCATTTTTGACTCCAGCCTCTATTCTGATTCTGAGAAAAGATACAGATGTCTTCATCATCTCTTTTACAGTAATGTAAATAATCTTTGTTCCATATTTTTGTTTTCTGAATATTTAACTTTAAACCTGCCATTGCTATTTCTTCTTTGACTTTCTTCAATAATTGTACCATGTCTTTGCTACTTTCAGGGAATAGTATGGTATGATCTGCATCTTCCAATTTTCATGCTCCCTTCCTTAGAATTTAATCCTGCTGTGTGTATGATACATGCATTGTGCTAATTAATTTGATAGGGCAGCAAAATGCAGTTTTGTCTGACCACATTGCCAGTTGGAAGTCATTCTGTTTTCCTGTCTTGGTGGAAGCTTCTTATCCTGAGTGCATGTTGTGCATCAGGATAATCAAATCTTGTAGAACACTGATTTGTTTAACAGCAATCTGTATTTTTAATCAAAACCTTTGCTACAGTTTATAAAGTTAATTTTCTTCTAAAATTATTTGATGCACTACATAATCCATTGTGTGTTTGTAATGTGATTCTTTGTGCTTCTTTCCTAAATCCAGCTTGGACATCTGATATTTCTTGTAGAATTTTGAGCATGACACTCATGCTTAAGTAATCAGCTTGATTTTGGCTAAGCTAAATCTGCAAATATTACTTTGGTTCTCTTAAAATGGATAATCAACTTGGCCTAACCTTTCCTTTTTAGAAAAATCTTGACCATCCCACTCAAGGATGCATAACTCAGTTTGGCATAACAGGTCACACTAAAAGGTTTTCAGTATTTAGGTGTATTCTATTCTTCCAGATCCTAGGCAACTGTTTAAATACTGCATGTTTTGACTTGTGTCATGTTTCTCCTATTTTTAGTAAAGTCTGTGTGCTGGTGTGATAGTGGTTTTGATGCTGTTTATTGGAAAGTGGTGATGGGATTGTGGGGGGACAAACAAAACTGCAGGAATTAATTTTTTGGTCATTGTTTTCTTTGTTTTTGTTCCAATAGACGTGATATGACTGACCCAGATGTTCTCACGGAAGTCCCAACTGCTCTGAAGCGTCTTGCCAAGTATGTGGTACGTGGCTTCTATGGTACTGAACATGCTTTAGCTCTGGACATACTAATTCGAAACCCATGTGTAAAAGAGGAGGACATGTTGGAGTTACTCAAGTTTGATCGGAAGCAGTTGCGGGCTATTCTCAACACTCTCAAAGGTGATAAGTTCATCAAATGCAGGATGCGAGTGGAAACAGCCCCAGATGGCAAGACCACCCGGCATAACTTTTATTTCATCAATTACCGCTTACTGGTCAATGTCGTAAAGTATAAGCTAGACCACATGAGGAGGAGAATTGAGACTGATGAGAGAGATTCTACCAACCGAGCCTCCTTCAGATGTCCTATTTGCTTCAGCACTTTCACAGATTTAGAAGCAAATCAGTTGTTTGATATTAAAAAAGGTAAGGTACAAAATTGAATATCCCCCCTGCTTAAAAAAGAAATGATTTGGTTACTTCTCATAAAGGTATGGGTATGGGAACAACCCTTGGGTTGGTTCTTCATAACAGTTGTTACTCCTAATAGATGTTCTCAATGGACACAGAGAAGCACCAGTCTCAGTTGAATAATATGAACTGAGCATTAAAAACTACTGAACAGTTGGATTTTTTTCAGGTTATAGGGCCATGTTCTAGAGGCATTCCCCCCTGACGTTTCGCTTGCATCTATGGCAAGCATCCTCAGAGGTTGTGAGGTCTGTTGGAACTAGGAAAATGGGTTTATATATCTGGAATGACCAGGGTGGGACAAAGAACTCAGGCACTATTACTTCCCTCAATCTAGACCAGGCATTGGCAAACTTTGGCCCCCCAGGTGTTTTGGACTTCAACTCCCACAGTTCCTAAGTGTCAGTAAGCTGACTGGGATTTCTGGGAGTTGAAGTCCAAAACACCTGGAGGGCTGAAGTTTGCCCATGCCTGATCTAGACACTATACTCTTTTGATGCACCCCAAAATCCCATTGGCCTTTTTAGCTGATGTATCACACTGTTGGTTTATGTTCAACTTGTTGTCCACAAAGACCCCAAGATCTTTCTCACATGTACTGTTGCTGAACCAGGCATCACCCACCCTGTATCTTTGCATTTCATTTTTGTGAACTGTTCCTTGAACATACTTAAATTAAATATTTCATGTATATGCCTCAGAAATTAATTTTTTGATTCAAAACATTCCATATAGATTCTCATTTTCTAATCTGGAAAGGCATGTATGATGAATTTGCAGATTTGAGTCATTTTCTTCTACAGTCATTTTCTTCTCCTGTCATGCATAGCACTTCACTCTCTCTGAGCCACTTTATTTATTTTTTTTGGTTGATTATCTTAAGCCAGGGCTGTCACACTCATTTTCACCAATGGCCACCTCAGCCTTATGCTTTCCTTCAAAGGACTGTTGAATCCATGGATACAGTGGGCCTATATATATATATATATATAGAGAGAGAGAGAGAGAGAGAGAGAATGGTAATTCCCATCACTTTTGATTATCCACCATTTGGACTGGTATAATGGGAATTGCAACACAATAGCACTTGTGGCTCTGAGATAGGGGACATGTTAAAGTCAGATATCATCTCCACAAGACTTGTATCCCAATCCAAACCCCACTCTCCTGAGTAAACAGAACAAACTGCAGCCTTACAGATGTTACTGTCTTGCAACTCCTGTCAGTTCTAGTCACAATGTATAATGATTTTTTTTTGTCATGTCAGGAGCGACCTGAGAAACTGCAAGTCGCTTCTGGTGTGAGAGAATTGGCCGTCTGCAAGGACGTTGCCCAGGGGACGCCCGGATGATTTGATGTTTTTATCATCCTTGTGGGAGGCTTCTCTCATGTCCCCGCATGAGGAGCTGGAGCTGATAGAGGGAGCTCATCCGCCTCTCCCCAGATTCGAACCTGCGACCTGTCGGTCTTCAGTCCTGCCGGCACAGGGGTTTAACCCACTGTGCCACCGGGGGCTCTATGTATAATGATGAAGAAGACAGAAGTTGTAGCTCAACATCTGGAGGACCACATAAAATCAAATGAGGTTTGGCCTACAGGCCTTGAGTTTGACACATGTACCTTAAGCCCTTGCATGCTGTCATGATCTCTTGCATGGGTCTAATGTGTGGTGAAAGAAGCAAGGAGATAGTAAGTCTCTTGAACTGCTTTGGCCCATGCTACGAGAATGGTAGTGAGCAGTCCTAGAGGCAATTCGTGTGAGCAGATTATTTTCCATCTGTTGTGAAAGGGGGGAACAATTTAAAGAGCACAGTAATTTATAATCATCAAATAGCTGATTATATTCCAGAGAAGACTGTTAGCTACTCTGCCTTGAACTTTTAACTGGGCTTTTCATTCGGTTTTTCTTGAATTATTATGCTCTCAAATGGCATCCTTGACATTCAGGATCAGTCCCTTGTGATTTACATGAAAATGAAGAACATTTCTGATACTTCACAATCAGTACTGTTTGTTAAAGATGCAGTTTATTTCTGGATACATTCTGAGTGGTTCACAATGAATATGTTAGTTGAATGGGGAGAATAGGAGAAAGCTTAAGGAACAGATGGAACAGTTGAAGCAAACTGAGGCTCTTTCTACATAGCTGTATAACATCCACATTGAACTGGATTATATGGCAGCATGGACACAGATAATCCAGTTCAAAGGCTGATAGAGGGAGCTCATCCATGTTCTCCCCAGATTTGAACCTGCGATCTGTCGGTCTTCAGTCCTGCTGGTACAAGGGTTTAACCCATTGCGCTACTGGGGGTTCCAATACTTTTCCAAAACGCACTCCTTCCCTTCCAACGTGAGAAGGAGGCAAATTATCCGACTTCTGCTTTCCATGTATATCTGTTGCCCTGAAAATATACCAATTATCTCCTTCTCATGGAGAAGAGTGACGAGTGGGCCAGACTCCTCCGGTCTGCCACAATTTTGGAATATTAGAGGGTTTCTTATAAAGCAGTATTCCTGCTGATGTTGTTCCATAAAGTTGAAGAAGCTGTAAATGCGTGAGAAGTTGTTTTCCACCAAGAGTTAATCAAGTCAACAATGTCAACAGTTAATCATTGTTACAGTTCTCATCAGCAATTTTTAATTACAGTTCAGCAGTGTTTTATCTTAATTATTTATTTATTTACAGCTTTTATATTCCGCCCTTCTCACCCTGCAGGGGACTCAGGGCGGATTACAGTGTACACATATATGGCAAACATTCAACGCCAATTTTGACATACAACATATACAGACATAGACAGAAGCTATTTAACTTTTTCTGGCCGCCAGGGGAGCTGTTGCTTTCATCGTCCATCTGCGACACTGATGAAGTACTTCCGCATTCCCCGCATGCTTTTGCTGGAGTCTTTTTTTTATGGCCTCATAAATTAGTTAATTTAGCCTCCCCACACTTTAAGGTGGTACCTTATTTTCCTACTTGACAGATGCAACTGTCTTTCGGGTTGCAAAGGTCGACAACAGGCTACACAATTGGTTGGAAACCCACTCCAACCTGGGCTGGCTTCAAACTCATGACCTTTTGGTCAGAGTGATCTTAGATGTTTTCCAGAGTGTAGATGTTTTCCAGGCCTCAATATTTTAGAATTGTGTCTCCAGCCCAATTAGACCACATTCTTCTTTCATACAATTTCATTCATCATTTAATTTCCACACATATTTTATCCATGACAGAAGTGACTCAGGCATAGATTCCTTTTAATACTTGAACACTAACTGGTGATGAAGCATAAAATGAATTCATGCTTGCAACATAAAAATAGGTCAATTTGGGTATATTTGGTTAAAATACTGGCAGTTGTGACTGTTACTATCAATTTAGGTGAACTGCAGTTGAAAAATAAGAAATTATTGCTTTATTGAGTAACATATATAATACAAAGTATTTAGGGTAGAAATGGTCAGATTATGCATAAAATAGAAAACACCACAAAAATCTCTGGCTGGGGTCACAGTGAAGATGGCAATTTGTGGAATGTTGCTTTGTTAAAAACTAAAACACAATTTGGCTTGTGAAACCTTTGTATAATAAACTTTTCCTTAATCTCACCTTTTCCTTAATCTCACCTGCTGCCTAGGTTGTGCAGTTGACATAAAACCTAAAATCAAATCTAAGCCAAAAATCTTTTTTCCCTCACACATCTTAAAGAAGTATAGCTGTTATTTTTAAAACAGTTGTAATCTGAGAAAAAGGTCACCTTTTGCTCATAAGGAGTTATACTTTGAATGCTGCTTATGCTTCAGTTGTTAGCCATTTTTCTTTTGCTCAGGAATTTTCCGTTGCACCTTTTGTGAGACTGAAGTGGAAGAAGATGAGTCAGCAATGCCCAAAAAGGATGCGCGGACACTTGTGGCACGATTTAATGAACAGATAGAGCCCATCTATGAGTTGCTGCGCAAGACAGAGGATGTTAACCTGGCCTATGAACTGCTTGAACCTGAGCCCATGGAAATCCTTGCTTTGAAGCAGAGGTGAGTTTGGGATACTGAATTCCCTGCATGGCGATGAAAAGTTGGAAGTCTTATCAAATACTTTTAAGATGTGAGGCTGCATGTATTTGTGTGAATTGCATAATTTGTCCTTGGATATGGAAATTATAGATAGGTTTTGGTAGACATAGGTTCTTTGGCCAGCTATGAAGCATAAAACCATATGCTTCCTGATAAAGTTATCTAAATTAAACTCACATGATATAAACTAATCTAGTGGGTCTAAATGCTGAATAGAAATGAGTAGGCCTCCGTTGTCATGTTTATATAGGTGGATGAATGCATGACATCTTTTGATTTGTGTTTCATTCTATGTATCTTAATAACCTTTTCCTTTTTCACATGTGTAGGACGCTTCTCCTATATCAGTACTGACTTAATTTATATACATTATTTCACTGATTCTCAGACACACTATCTCCCATTTTAGGGGCTTTAGGGGCTATTTTAGGGGCCTTACAGTCAATGACAGCTTAGATTCATGTAGGTTTTTTAATTTGCTTATCTCCAAGAGCAGAGGAAGAGGAGGAAGGGCCCCCGCCCCAAGCAATTCTTGTTCTTGTTTTACCTCTAAGGGAGGAGGAGGAAGGGCCACAGCTCTAATGGCTCTGGCAGCCCCACCATTTTGTCCTCAGCCAGATGGCTGTTTGCTAGTATTTCATCTCAGCACCACTTCCTGCTTCCTTTGCCTCCCCAAAAGGCCCATAGAACTTGTAAAAAAAAGACTAATGCAGACAAGGTGACTTCCAAATTGAAACAAAAACAAGGTATTGTGCATGCAGAGGAAATTTAAAATATATATATTATTTCCCCCCAAAATGGATGTTTCAGAAAGGAGCATGTGTGTGCTTTATGTTCGATGGTGCCTTATATTAGATGAAATACGGTAATCTGAAATATTAAGCACTATTACATTGATGTTCCCTTATACAATAATAAAATGTGGGAAATTGCAAATTCTAAGAAATGTAATTACAAATATAAGGGACAAATTACCCTAGTTTCCTGAGAGAGTTCTAGCACCTCACAGCCTAAATATTTTATGGCATGACTTCATTTCTGTGGTATAACTCAATTGAACATTTTTAATGCAGATCTTTTCTGAATACATAGATTCAAATATAAGATATGATTTTGTCAGACATTGTGAGACCTTTAGCTTTTAATTAGAAATGCAAATAATCTTTAAGAGAAATATGTTTGTGATGAGCTTGAATGAGTATCCTGCTTTTCCTTTTTGCATTGAAGTGTCACAGCAGTTGCAGATCAAAGGAATGACATGCCCCACTCTCCATCTTTGACTTGTATGGGGGCTTGTTGAGGTTAAGTGAAATGCATGCTGCCCAGATGGGGAGGGAACCACCAGGGCAGAGAAGGCTTTAGCAAGTGAACAGAAGTGCTGTGAGCCACACAAAATCTAGTCTATTCTTGTATTACAGAGTGACCAGCTCAACCTCTGTCTTTCAAGCTTTTCATCCATGAGAGAAGGATGAACTGTAATCCTGATTTGTCTTGTATTCTTATAACCTGTTGCGTGACAAATCAGATCTGTAGTTGACCCTCCATGTTTGTAGGAGTTAGGGACATGGCAGAAAAATCCCAAATATGAAAACTCCAAATATACACACGTACTTACTTACTTAGGTGATCCCTTGTCGGCCGAGTAGGATAGTCTTCCAGGATCAGAATTCTTGTGAGTCTGTAGGTGGCTGTGGAGCCCTATTCCTGATCTGCATCTTCTTCCGCAGTGAGGGCATTGGTTTCCAGGTGGAAGGTGGTCTCGGTCGGGGTTGGCTTAACGCGCCTTCCTCTTAGTACGTTTCTCTCTTTCACCCTCCATTTGTGCCTCTTCAAATTCTGCAGCACTGCTGGTCACAGCTGACCTGTGACAGATACACACGTATCTGCACATGTAGCCAGGTTCTTACTTTCATTTACCAATACAAACCTAGAACTCTTTTAACTATCTAAGTATTATGTCTTATTCTTATTTTGGGAATCTTATCTTCAATAAGTGCTGTTAATTGCATATTCCTGGATATCAGAGAGTGCGATTGGAGGATCCCTGTGGTCTCTTCTGAGTCTATAATTCAAAGTAGAAAGTAGAATTTGGTATACAAACACTACAGAACTGGACGAATCACAAATGGTCTTGCCATTCTGCAGAACCATTTTAATTTTGTGGGCTGATGGGTTAGTAATATATGTGCTGTTGTATGGATTGTATACAGCAAGGAGCGGACTACTGGGGCAATGGGAAGCAGCCTACCAAGTGGACAGCACAGGGAAGCCTGGTCAGCAAAGGGACCTTCTTATGAAGATTTGTACACCCAGAATGTAATAATCAGTATGGAGGACCAGGAGGATGTGCATCAGCCAACCAGTGAAGGGAAGCCACCCAGAGAGAGGCCAGTCTGGCTGCGGGAGAGCACAGTGCAAGGTGCTTATGATCCTGATGAGATTAAAGAAGGTAAGAAAGACAAAGGGGGAGAGGGATGTTCTGTAATCTCAAGGGTATCTTGGAATATGAAAGCATGCAGTCCAGAAGGTAGGAATATGCACACTGCCTCAGCACTACACATTGTTCTGGTACAAACCTATCGGACATCTACAGTGCTTTGGGAGGGACTTCTCTCTGTCACATCACCTGCTCAACATGTTTGGTGGGAACACAGGAGAAGAGGGCCTTTTCAGTAGTTGCTTCCAGACTTTGAAAATTCCACCCAAGAGAGACCAGGATGGCCCAATCCTTGCTTGCCTTCAAGACCTTTCTTTGCCAGCAGGAATTTGGGGGAGAATAAGGGGAACACTGCTCTGGAGGTTGTGGGTGGGATTCTGGGGAGATTGGGAGTTTTAAACATAATTTTAATTGTATTTATCAAATCTTAAGTGTATTTTAACTTAAATACATAAGACAAATATTTTAATTGGTTTTTTGTTGCCGTTTTTAAATATATTGGGTTGTGTCATGTAATTGTGAACTGCATTGAGTCCTCATGGAGAGAAAGACAGAGTAGAATTAATAAATAAATACAATACTTGGAGCGTAGAAAATTACTTTTGAAAATGTAATTTTTTACTTTTAAATTTCCAACTCTTCCGAATACTAACAGGTTTTAAAGGTAAATTATTGCTGTGCCATTTTTGAATACTAAAATATTTTTATTTTAGTTTTTGAAAAATCTAAATGCTTTAAAAATCTAAATGCTACCAACCACTGACTTGTGTTCCAACTATCTAAATTGACTTTCTAAAATCAAGTCCTCAAACTGTGCTATTCTTGGCTACTGGAGGTAGTTCAAAGTGGAAAATTGAAGATATATCACTTCTAGAAGACACCGGAGCCAATTCTCACTGTCTCTTCGACTTGAGACTTTCATAGCAGAATGCTGCTCCATGAGAAAATATTACTTATGCGAATAAAGTTAGAAGACTGGAGAAACTATGTGAGGCTGGGCATTCTGTGCAGTGATTTACCTTGCTTTATATGTCCACAACTGCAGGTTGAATTACCCAGAATTGCTCAATTTAATGGGTATCAGACCCCTCTTGAGGTGCTTATTACAGAAAAGTCTTTGGTGTTTTCATGTATGGTAAATGATTATAATACCCAGCAATAGCTGACAAAATTATTCCTTCTATCTCATGTAGCACCTATTCCTTTATTTCAGGTGGTCAAGACATGGATATGTTACAGGAAGGGGAAGAGGGTCAGGCTGCCCTAGACAGTAATGAGGAAGTGATGCGTGCTCTGCTCATCCATGAGAAAAAGGTCTCTTCTGCCTCAGTGGGGGCCAAGGGAGGAATGGCTCCATTGTCTAACCCCAATGCCAGTGATTCTGAAAGTGAAACAAGTGAATCAGATGAAGACTCCCCTCCCCATGCATCTGCTGCTACAGCAACGCTCAGCAGGCTAACAGAAGACGATGACGAGGACGATGAGTTTGAGGTGGTGACAGAGGACCCCACTGTCATGGTGGCAGGACGTCCATTTTCTTACAGTCAAGTAAACCAGCGGCCTGAGTTGGTGGCTCAAATGACTCTAGAGGAGAAGGAACAGTATATAGCAATGGGGCAACGTATGTTTGAGGACATGTTTGATTAGCTTCCCTCTGCCTGGGCAGAAGAAGGTCTTCACCTGGAAATTTTGCAACACAGCAAAAGTCTGAATTGCAGGTTCTCCCCTTTTCATTTAAGTCAGACAATCTGTAGAGTCAAACAAACATAAAGCAGTGATTTCTTTATTTCAGAGAATCCAGGCAAACTATCAAAGATTAGTAAAGAGGGAGCCAGCTTTTCCTAAACCTGTATCTGATATGCAGATTTCCACATCCTCTCCATTATATTATAATTAGTTTTTGTTTGATCTAGGAAATCTGTTTTGTTCTTCTGGTAGCTTATTTTTTTTGTTTTAGAAGTGAGTTGTTAAGGTGTGTTAGCTTTTGAGAGCAGCTGATAGCGGCATCTTTGAGATTATATCAAGAGATTGCTGCTTTGGAATTGCATATGACCCAGTTGTAAGTACTTAGCTGTTTTGCAAATAAGATATGTATAATACTCACCTCTTGATACAACACTTACATATGATCTCCCCCATCCCCAGCCTTGTTCCCTTGTCTAGGCAATCTGTATCCATAGCCACAGGAGAACGTTTGTGATATCATGTTAACCAGTGGGCATTTGACAGTCATAATATTTTAAAATAATTGCTTTGAGAGGAAAATACACAAGGAACAAAGCCGTTTCTTTGTTGGACCCCTGTTAAAAAAGTCTTGGTAATCTTGTCCTATTTTAAGACTGCTTTTGTAGCCCTAAAATGCCATTTCTTTGCTAATATGAACCAATTCCTAGATTTTTTCGTGTAATCCCTTGTAATACTATAATTTTCAAATGAGGGAATTTGACTTTGTAATGTGACTTGGGTTCTCTTTTCCAGAGACTGTCATATATGTCCTGTTGGTTAATAAGCAGCATTTGAGTATTGACACTAAATTAGTTCCAATAAAGACAGGATCAAATTTATCAGGCCCCTTCTACACAACTGTATAAAATCCAGATTATCTGTTTTGAACTGGATTATCTGTCAGTGTAGACTCAGATAATCCAATTCAAAGCAGATAATGTGGATTATCTGCCTTGATAGTCTGGATTATATGGCAGTGTAGAAGGACTAAAAAGAAAATGGATTCCCAAAATCTTTTGTCTTTATGTAGAAGGACCCCAGACACATTTTTTTCCAAGCTGTATTATCCATGCTCAGTGCATAAACCACTGTGTCTTCTTGACACATTTACTATGAAAGAACTGGAAATGCAGCATGGCAGTCATGTTATTCATAGACTCAGTCCTATAAAGTGCATTTCCCATGATTTAAGACTCTCATCCAAGTCAGTGAAGAGTTTGGGGATATTTTTAAAAAGCAGATTATGCAGAATTTGGGTGGATGCCAGTATTTTGCATGGCACGGCCTATTTTGATATTCCCAGCAGTGCCTTTACAAGAGAATTCACGGTGTTTCTTTTTATGTTTTTTAAATAACCTTTTAAAAGATCATTGTGTTTTTTGGTATTTAGCTTTACAGTAGAGCAAAATGTAAAAAGATTGGATATTTCAAAGATACAGCATTTGTTGCACATTCCAGTTTACTTTACTGGAATGGTACAAGTTATCAAGATTCTAAATTGTAAACTTATTGTATATTAACCATGTACGTTTTGCCATGTCTGTGTAATGTTCTCTGATGAATTTGTTTTCAGACATTCTATCAGATTAAGTCTAGATTTATCTCTTCCATTTTAAAATAAAAAGGAATTGATAACCTAACCCTTCGATTGAATAACATTTGTATTTATAAATGAGCAAGTTGAAATGGCTGTTTTTATTTTAATTGGTAATGCCTGTGAAGAACTGTTGTCTTACTTTCTTGAAGAGTTCAAAGCTAATCCTACACAGTGCCAGCGTCTGTCTCAATTTCTGATTTTCCTGATCACAAAGCCATATAACTCAGAATATCAAGGCAGAAAATCCCACAATAGCTGCTTTAAACTGTCCACACTGCCATATATGATTCCAGTTCAAAGCAGAAAATGTGGGATTTTGTTCAGCTGTGTGGAGGGGGCCATAGTCTCCTGCAAATATATTAAAGATTCACAAGATAGTGATAGTCACTGGATTCAGTGCTGGCATATCTGTGTCTTTTCGTGTTGATAAAAGTGGATTTCAGTTAAAGTTAGGGTTATTTATTTTTCGTGTCAGGAGCAAACCGAACAGTTGTATTTCATTTTTTTAAAAACAAACAAACAAAACACAAAGTTTGCAAGCTTGGTAGTTGATTAAATGTCCTATGACCAGTAGCTGACCACTTGGAGTGCCTCTGGTGTTACTATAAGAAGGTCCTCCATTGTGCATGTGGCAGGGCTCAGGTTACATTGCAGCAGATGGTCTGTGGTTTGCTCTTCTCCACACTCGCATGTCGTGGATTCCACTTTGTAACCCCATTTCTTAAGGTTGGCTCTGCATCTCGTGGTGCCAGAGCGCAGTCTGTTCAGCGCCTTCCAAGTCGCCCAGTCTTCTGTGTGCCCAGGGGGGAGTCTCTCATCTGGTATCACCCAGGGATTGAAGTGCTGGGTTTGAGCCTGCCACTTTTGGACTCTCGCTTGCTAAGGTGTTCCAGGGAGTCTGGGTTAGGGTTAGGTCATTCATCAAAGTTACCTTCCCAACACAGGAACATTATTTATTTATTTATTTATTATTCGAACTTATATGCCGCCACTCCCTGGGGCTCGGAGCGGCTTACAAGAACAAGCTAAAATCGAACACAATTTAAAACAATTTAAAAACAGCAATATCAGAGATCAAAGGCCTGTCGAAACAGATATGTCTTACATGCCCTGCGGAAAGCTGATAAGTCCCACAAGGCACGGACTTCAGGTGGCAGAGTACTCCAGAGTGATGGTGCCACTGCTGTAAAGGCTCTGTGTCTGGTTGCTGTTAGACGCAAGGTCTTGACACTGGGAATTTCCAACAAATCTTGGTCTTTGTCCCAGTCAGATTACTATGTTTTCTGCTATGGTGCCAGATTTTATTTTTATTTTTTTGAATGAACATGTAAGTTTCATATGATCTGTAGGAAGATTTAACCTATTTACTTAGTTTAAATGTATGTATAGATGTTCTTTTGTACAAATCATCCATTTATTCTACTATTTCCTTCTTGTTTATCTTTTAACTATTTGCCAATATATCCACAACTATTTAATGTGACTTCTGAATTTACTTAGGGTGCATCCGAACTGTAGAATCAGCAAAGTTGGATAGTACATTATCTTTCATGACTCAGTGCTGTAAATACATTGGAGTTTTATGGTGTCTTTGGTATTCTCTATAATGCATCTTGGAACTGATTTGGGAGGAACTGATTTCACTTTGTGGGTGATTAAATTAATGGCAGGTCTGGAAATGAGATGAGGCCAGAAATGTGATTACATTAACCATGGAACCTGGCACCAGAGGCATCGGAGCTTTTAAAGAAGGGAAAGTGACAGGAGTGAAGATAATCAGGTGTTTGGGAGCAATCATGTCAACAGCCCTGGTTAGATTGTGATTCCATTTATTGACCAGGGATTCAACAGGATTGTCGGTGATGCCACCCATAGAACTCCCTAAGGCCTCCTGGAATCTCAAAGGATCCATTAGCCTTTGAAGGCAGACCATTTTAATAGTCTCTCCACCCCTAGAGGGGTAGGTTGTAGCTGTGATACTAGCCCTAATCAGGAAATTATCTGTGCTTTTTCTGCATGACAGAAGTGGTTTGGGCTAAATGGCCTTTGGGGGTCTCTTCCAACTATATTATCATCATCAATATTATTACTATTGATGGATGGCCATCTGTTGGGGTTGCTTTGATTGTGCCTTTTTCTGCATGGCAGAAAGGGGTTGGACTAGATGGCCTTGTGGATCTCTTCCAATTATTATTATTATTATTATTATTATTATTATTATTATTATTATTATTGACACAAAAAAACAGTATGTCACAGCAAATGAGATCTATATGCTGGATTTCATATCACAACATCAAGTTGAACACTTCCCAAGTGTCTAGGACTGTGTGATGTATTTTCGAATGATGCGTGCAGATCCAAGTAAGGTGGCCTTTTGCAGTGGACAAATCATGATTTTGTCAATGTTTATTGTTTCCAAATGCCGGCTGAGATCTTTTGGCATGGCATTCAGTGTGCAAATAACCACTGGTCTATGCCAGAGATTGAGGATAGATGGCCATCTGTTAGGGGGTACTTTGATTGTGATTTTCCTGTATGGTAGAAAGGGGTTGGAGTGGATGGTCCATAGTTAGACCTCACCTGTGTCCAGTTCAAAAGAGATATTGACAAGCTTGAAAGTGTCCAGAGAAGGATCAAAGGTCTGAAGACCATGAATGCCTATGAGAAGCAAGACAAGATTGAGAGGTGACATGATAGCCATGTATAAATATGTGAGAGGAAGTCATAGGGAGGAGGGAGCAAGCTTGTTTTCTGCTGCCCTGGAGACTAGGACGCAGGAACAATGGCTTCAAACTACAAGAAAGGAGATTCCATCTGAACATGAGGAAGAACTTCCTGACTGTGAGAGCCGTTCAGCAGTGGAACTCTCTGCCCTGGAGTGTGGTGGGGGCTCCCTCTTTGGAGGCTTTTAAACAAAGGCTGGATCTGTCAGGGGTGCTTTGAATGCAATTTTCCTGCTTCTTGGCAGGGTATTGGACTGGATGGCCCATGAGGATTCTTCCAATTCTATGATTCTAAGTCCTACAATTCCTAACAGTTTGCCCATGCCTGGACTAGATGGCCCAACTCTATGATTCTATGCGGTCTCTTCCAACTCTTGATTCCTTCCCTCTCTGGCCCTTCCCTATTGTATCCTGTTGGCGGGAAAATATGGGGAGCGCGATGGGGGGACACCGCAGCTCGAGAACCCCCCTCTCGCACAGAGAGAGAGGGGAGAGGGAGGGAGGGAGAGAGAAAGCAGCGGAGGTAATAGTATGAAAGCTGGGTCCGGAGCTCTGAGCCTTATGTTCTTTCCGCTTCGCTCCTTCAGGAGAACTGTTTGCGTAACGCAGAACGGAATACAGATACTTTACTTACTTACTTAGGCGATCCCTCGTTGGCCGAGTAGGATAGTCTTCCAGGAGCAGTGTTCTGGTGGGTCCGTAGGTGACTGGAGCCCTATTCTTGACTTGCATTCTCTCCCACAGTGAGGGCATTGGTTTCCAGGTGGAAGGTGGTCTTGGTCGGGGTTGGCTTGACGCGCCTTCCTCTTGGCACGTTTCTCTCGTTTGCCCTCCATTCGTACCTCTTCAAATTCTACAGCATTGCTGGTCACTGCTGACCTCCAGCTGGAGCACTCAAGGGCCGGGGCTTCCCAGTTCTCAGTGTCTATGCCAGAGTTTTTAAGGTTGGCTTTGAGCCCATCTTTAAATCTCTTTTCCTGCCCACCAACATTCCGTTTTCCGTTCTTGAGTTTGGAGTAGAGCAACTGCTTTGGGAGACGGTGGTTGGGCATCCAGACAACGTGGCTGGTCCAGCGGAGTTTATGGCGGAGGACCATCGCTTCAATGGTGGTCTTTGCTTCTTCCAGCACGCTAATGTTGGGAAACAAGTCGTACAGGAATACCTGGCCACTTTAAATGAGTTCAAGTCCCCAGGGCCAGATCAACTACACCAAAGAGTATTGAAGGAACTAGCGGAAGTCATTTCGGAACCATTGGCAACCATCTTTGAGAGTTCTTGGAGAACGGGAGAAATTCCAGCAGATTGGAGGAGGGCTAATGTGGTCCCAATCTTCAAGAAGGGAAAAAAGGATGACCCAAACAACTACTGTCCGGTCAGCCTCACATCGATACCAGGCAAGATTCTGGAAAAGATTGTTAAGGAAGCGGTCTGCAAACACTTAGAAACAAATGCAGTCATCACTAATAGTCAACATGGATTTATCAAAAACAAGTCATGCCAGACTAATCTGATCTCTTTTTTCGATAGAGTTACAAGCTGGATAGATGCGGGGAATGCCGTGAATGTTGCGTTCCTGGATTTCAGTAAGGCCTTCGACAAGGACCCCCATGACCTTCTGGCAAGGAAACTAGTCCAATGTGGGCTAGGCAAAACTACGGTGAGGTGGATCTGTAATTGGTTAAATGGGCGAACCCAGAGGGTGCTCACTAATGCTTCCTCTTCATCCTGGAAAGAAGTGACGAGCGGAGTGCCGCAGGGTTCCGTCCTGGGCCCGGTCCTGTTCAACATCCTTATTAATGACTTAGATGAAGGGCTAGAAGGCATGATAATCAAGTTTGCCTCCACACACTTTAAGGTGGTACCTTATTTTCCTACTTGACAGATGCAACTGTCTTTCGGGTTGCAAAGGTCGACAACAGGCTACACACAATTGGTTGGAAACCCACTCCAACCCGGGCTGGCTTCGAACTCATGACCTTTTGGTCAGAGTGATCTTAATTCAGCTGACACTCAGCCAGCTGCGCCACAATCCCGGTGCTGCGCCACAAACCCTAAACCTAATTCTAACCCTAGTCCTACCCCTTACCCTATCCCAAACCCTAAACCTCACCCTAAACTTTCTCCTTACCCTAATCCCCTCCTTTCTATTCTTTCACCAAATTGAAGTCTATCCCCGCCCTCCTCCGTGTGCCGCTCTCCCCTTCCCTTATTCACAACTGCCATTGCGGAATGTGCGTAATGCTCGGCGCTTCCGGACCCAGCTATCATACTATCACTGCAGCGGCTTTATTTTTTTATTTGTCATGTCAGGGCAGCCAGTCAATTATATTACATTTCTAACAGAACAAAGCAAACAGAGAAAATACAAAATGCGTGAGTTTGGTAGTTGATTAAATGTCCTTTGACCAGTATCTGGCCACTTGGAGTGCTTCTGGTGTTGCTGCAAGAAGGTCCTCCATGGTGCATGTGGCAGGGCTCAGGGTGCATTGCAGCAGGTGGTCAGTGGTTTGCTCTTCTCCGCACTCGCATGTCAAGGATTCCACTTTGTAGCCCCATTTCTGAAGGTTGGCTCTGCATCTTGTGGTGCCAGAGCGCAGTCTGTTCTGCGCCTTCCAAGTCGCCCAGTCTTCTGTGTGCCCAGGGGGGAGTCTCTCATTTGGTATCAGCCATTGGTTGAGGTTCTGGGTTTGAGCCTGCCACTTTTGGACTCTCGCTTGCTGAGGTGTTCCAGCGAGTGTCTCTGTAGATCTTAGAAAACTATGTCTGGATTTAAGTCGTTGATGTGCTGGCTGATACCCAAACAGGGGATGAGCTGGAGATGTCTCTGCCTTGGTCCTTTCACTATTGGCTTGCAACTACAACAGTAAAACCACACTTTAAACATAAATCATATTAAAAACAGTACATCATAAAATATCAAAACAGTTATTAAAACCAGAAAGCAATCTCATTAGTCAAGTCACCGTTCCAGTCCTTGTCCCACTAAATTTATTTATTTATTTATTACGGTTGCTTATACCCCGCCCTTCTCACCCGGGGGGACTCAGGGCGGCTTACACAAACAAGGCACAATTCGATGCCTGTATTACAAAAACATAACATCAAAAACATAACATCAATAACAACAATAATTATAACACTGATAACAATTAACGTAAACAATCAATATTATCGGCAGGAATAGCCATAAACCCGTAAAAACAATTAAAACAATAAAAGCAATACAAACCTCATTGCTGGTCAGCGTTTAACCGACTCATAGTTAGGTTCTACTTTCCACACATTGTTGGTCCTATCATTCTGGTTCCATGTCTAATTGTCAGGGTGCCCAAAGGCCTGGTCCCAGAGCCACGTCTTTACCTTCCTCCTGAAGGCTAAAAGCTGCATACATCTATTGTCCGAAGGCCTGGTCCCAGAACCACTTCCCGGCGGATGTCAGGTGGTGCGATACCACCTAAGCAGTGTAATTTCTCCAGTGGTGTAGGGCGCAGACACCCCGTGATAATGCGGCATGTCTCATTAAGAGCCACATCCATTGTTTTAGTGTGGTGAGATGTGTTCCACACTGGGCATGCATACTCAGCAGCAGAGTAGCACAGCGCAAGGGCAGATGTCTTCACTGTATCTGGTTGTGATCCCTAAGTTGTGCCAGTCAGATAGATACGTTTTATTGATTGGCCTATTGGCCGTATCAAAACATTTAACACATAACACAATTAACACATAGTCATACATACAACATACAACCCTCGGTATAAAAGAAGTTAAAATAAACAAGCTGTTAACAAGATCTCGTTCAGGTCAAATGTCTGCGTCACCTCCACAGTTTACCCCAATTGATTCTAAATGTGCAATTCTCAGCTGTGTTGCTTTGAATAGAAAAAGGGCTGTTTTGTGTGTTATTTTAGGGTTCTGGCCGGCCAGCAAAAATGAGGTTTTAATATATGGGTCCCAGTGTATTTTTTGAATAATGTATGGTCCAAGGCAATGGTCTCTCTCTTTCTTATACAGCTCACAGTTGAACAATACATGTGTGATATCCTCCACCTCTGGTGCTCCACAAATACAAAATCGTTCGTTGTATGGGACTTGATTAAACCTTCCGTGCTTGTCCATTGTATCCAGCTGTTCAAAACGAGCTCTGGTAAATACCCTCCTAAGGTGTTTAGGCATTTCTGTTTTTAGATATCGAGCTGTTTGGAAGGTATGTTTAAAGCGGCCTAACCATTTCAGTGAGCCAGCTTTACTGAGGGTAGCGATGTCTTTTTGGCCTTTTATATCCAATACTCGTTGAGCAACTATTTTTGGGTCTAACTCTTCTAAGAGATTCGGATACCGAGTCGAAAGTCCACAGCTCCTAATGTATTTTGTCAGGAGAACTAACCAAGAGGACTGATGTTGATTTTCTATCTGCTCTAACAGGCACAATTTTGGGAGTCTATCATCGGAGAGCGTGGACCACCGTGGCCAGATCCGACTTCCCAAGGTACGGGCGCAGCTGGCGCATAAGTTTTAAGTAGCACAGAGCAAGGGCAGATGTCTTCACTGTATCTGGTTGTGATCCCCAGGTTGTGCCAGTCAGCTTTCTTATGATATTGTTTCTAGCGCCCACTTTTTGCTTGATGTTCAGGCAGTGCTTCTTGTAGGTCAGAGCACGGTCCAAAGTGACTCCCAGGTATTTGGGTGTGCTGCAAAGCTCCAGTGGGATTCCTTCCCAGGTCATCCTCAGGGCTCGGGATGCTTGTCTGTTCTTAAGGTGAAAAGCACATGTCTGTATTTTAGATGGATTAGGGATCAGTTGGTTTCCCTGTAATAGGCAGTGAGAGCACCGCAGCGGCTGAGGCGCCGTGACAGAGCCGCCCAGGCCCCCCACGTTCGCTGGCGCATGCGCTCTCGCAGACAGCCACCCCCCCCCCCCCGTTGCCGCTTCCTTTCAGCCATTTTCCGGGGCGCTGCGAAGGGGGAAGCGGCAGGGAGCCCCCTCGCCGCCGCAGCAGCAGCGTCGTGTCGTCGTCTTCCGGCGCAACGTGGCGCAGTGTGTTCCCCTCAGCTCGCTTGGCCCTCAAGGCCCTTCCTTCAGCCGCAGAGGATGGAGGCCGAGGCGGCCGCGGGTGGCTTCAGCACCTCGGAGAGCGCCTGAGGCGGCGGCGGAGGCAAAGAAGGCCTAGGCCTGCGCGCCTCGAGGGCGGAGGCGGGGCGTGAGGCGCGCGCGGCCCTCTCCCTGGTGCAGAGCGGGGAGGACAGATGTGGCAGAGAGGCCCATGAAGCCGAGGAGAGCCTTCCACATGGGGCGCCCCCTTGCTAGGAAGAAGTAGCTCCGCCGCAAGCAGGAAGAGCCCCCGAGCCCTCCTCTCTGTCTCTCTCTCTCTCTCTCTCTGTTGGACTTCCCACCCCGAGTGGATTCCCACCATGTGACTTCTCCCTGGGAAGCCCTGCCCTCCTTTCCCTTCTACCATGGAGCCCTTTGACGCCTCCTTTCAGTCCCTGCTCGAGACACTTGTGCCGCATCACTGGGGAATCTGATCACTTAGTTCCTGCTTGCGTGTGGCTCTCCTGTCCCACGCCAAGGTCTCCCCCAAGATGAAGAAATTCCCTTTCCACAAAGTTTTGGACGGCCTGACTTCCTCCACGAGTGGAAACAGCAGCAGCAGCAGCGGGCTTGGGAGTAGTGGCTCTGCGACGGCTGCAGGGACTCCGAGGGAGGAGGTCCCCGAGAGGCTCACTTCAGACTACTTCCAGCTCTGCAAGGTAGGACAATGGGGCACCCAAGGGGGAGGGAGGGAGAGCCAGAACTCCAGAAGGCAGGAGCAGAATTCGAAACGATCTTGACAGATGAGAGCAGTGGTTTTATTTATTTACAGCAGAATTTTTGCCATTATCTTCTGGAGGGGCCCTGCTCTCGGTCCCACCGCCTTCGCGATCGCGTTTGGTGGGGACGAGGGACAGGGCCTTTTCGGTGATGGCCCCTTGGCTTTGGCACTCCCTCCGGAGGGAAGATGCAGATCTAATCTCCATCGGGAGGGATTTCCAAAGCCGAGGGGCCACCATCGAAAAGGCCCTGTCCTTCGTCCCCACCAAACGCGATTGCGAAGACTGTGGGACCGAGAGCAGGGCCCCTCCAGAAGATAATGGCAAAAATTCAATGCCTTGCAACTACAATAGTAAAACCACACTTTAAACATAAATCATATTAAAAACAGTACATCATCAAATATCAAAACAGTTATTAAAACCATAAAACAATCTCATCAGTCAAGTCGCCGTTCCAGTCCTTGTCCCACTAAAAGCTGCATACATCTATTGTCCGAAGGCCTGGTCCCAGAACCATGATTTTAATTTTTTCTAAAGGACAGGAGTGAGGGAGCAGATCTTACCTCCTTTGGGAGTGTGTTCCATAGGCGAGGAGCCAAAGCTGAGAAGGCCCTGCTCCTCGTCCCCGCCAGGTGCATTTGCGCTGTTGAGAAGAGTGAGAGCAGGGCCTCCCCGGATGATCTTAAATTGCGAGGTGGGACGTAGGGGCAGATGCGTTCAGACAAGTAAGCTGAGCCCAAACCGTATAGAGTTTTATAGGTCAAAACCAGCACTTTGAATTGGGTTCGGAGATGGACCGACAGCCAGTGGAGCTGGCATAGCAGGGGGGTGGTATGCTCCCTGTATGCTGCCCCAGTTACTAATCTGGCTGCTGCCCATTGAACTAACTGAAGTTTCCAAACCATCTTCAAAGGCAGCCCTACGTAGAGCACGTTGCAGTAATCTATTGGACCACCATGGCCAGATCAGACTTTCCAAGGTATGGGCGCAGCTGGTGCACGAGTTTTAACTGTGCAAAAGCTCCCCTGGCCACCTCTGAAACCTGGGGTTCTAGGCTCGGCGATTAGTCCAGGATCACTCCAAAGCTGCGAACCTGTGTCTTCAGGGGGAGCATAACCCCATCCAACACAGGCTGGTTCTTAATCTGTGGGCTATGGTGCACCAGTGGACCGCGAGGAAGAAAATCGAGTCCGCAAGCCTCCTTCCACTTTATTTTATTTATTCATAGAATCCTAGAGTTGGAAGAGACCTCATGGGCCATCCAGTCTAACCCCCTGCCAGGAAGCAGGAAAATTGCATTCAAAGCACCCCCGACAGATTGCCATCCAGTATTGTGTACCTTATTCTTCTTTATCTACAGGAAAAATCAAGAAAGTAGATGAAGTTGAGTAGAACCAAAGCCAAACACTAAGAAAAGCCACAGCCCTGCATGTTTGTGTAACTCTGGGTTTATGGGCGCATTTATTTGTGCACATTTGCACATTTAATCCTCCCTCCAGGTTACATTTAACAGGACTCATGTCAAAGTGTATGATTCCAGAGTCATAGAATCATAGTTTGGTGGCCCAATAATATTGTGTATTGTGTATGTGTTTTATGCTTTTTAATGGAATATTGCTGCTTGTCGTTGTGTTGTAAACCGCGTTGAGTCGCCGATTTAGGCTGAGAAACGGCGGTATATAAGCACAGTAATAAATAAATAAATAAATAAATAGTTGGAGAGAGACCTCATGGGCCATCCAGTCCAATCCCCTGCCAAGAAGCAGGAAAATTGCATTCAAACTACAAGAAAGGAGAATCCATCTGAACATGAGGAAGAACTTCCTGACTGTGAGAGCCGTTCAGCAGTAGAACTCTCTGCCCCAGAGTCCTTTTTTGGAGGCTTTTAAACAGAGGCTGGATGGCCATCTGTCGGGGGTGCTTTGAATGCAATATTCCTGCTTCTTGGCAGGGGGTTGGACTGGATGGCCCATGACGTCTCTTCCAACTCTATGATTCTAAAAAAGTATTTTAAAACAAAGTATGTTTTCCTTGTTGTTTCCCACCAGTTCAGCAGTGCTGCTGTAAAGGCCTTACAGTAAGAGATAACCACAGAAGCCTGAATTATGGAGTATCAAAAGACATTTCATCCAGCAATTATTATTTCATTAGAAACTTAATCTTCCTTGTGCAGAATTACACAAAAATAATTAAATTTAAAGACCAGAAGTCATTGTTGCCAGGAGAATTGTTGTTTTATGCCTCCAAGTCATTTCTGACTTGTGACAACCCAAAGGCCAACCTCCCATATAGAGTTTTATTGGCAAGGTTTGTTGATGAGTATCCATGTCTTCCTCAGAAGTTGAGAGAGTGTGACTTGCCTCAGATCATCCAGTGGGTTTCGATGATCAAGTGGGGATTCAAACCTGAATCTCCAGGCTCATAGGCCAACACATAAATCACTGCACTGCTCTCTAATCAGGAGCATAGTGAATTGAAAGTTATTTGAAAGTAAGCCGTTTTCAGGTATTAAATCATAAAGATTAATTCATTGACTGTGGGTTTCTTGACAGCTCATATCATCAACCAGAAAGCTAAATATTGTTTTGCATATCAACCTGATAGAAATATTACTGAGATGTTACATATAGGGCGTATCTTCTTATCTCACCCACTGTCTTTCGTTAAAAAATGATTAAATTTTTGTATAATGATGTCAGAGCCAGGAACCCAGTATCTACGCATATCACTAGGCACTAGCAAGACGCCACTTATTTGCCTTGGGAACTTCAATGCTGGACGATATTTAACTTGCTGACATGAATTCTGTCTTTTGCTTCAATTTTATTTCAGATTTGAAAGCATATTTAAATGCATGTGTATTAAGCATTCAGGTGACTGTGTGTAATAATTATAGATTTAAACACATGAGATGTAAATCTGTGCATGTCTTTTCCAATTCTGTGGTTCTATTATTCTAAGTAGGAGCCCCGGTGGCGCAGTGGGTTAAACCCCTGTGTCGGCAGGACAGGTCACAGGTTCAAATCTGGGGAGAGGCGGATGAGCTCCCTCTATCAGCTCGAGCTCCCTCTATCAGCTCCAGCTCCTCATGCGGGGACATGAGAGAAGCCTTCCACAATGATGATAAAAACATCAAATCATCTGGGCGTCCCCTGGGCATCGTCCTTGCAGACGGCCAATTCTCTCACACCAGAAGTGACTTGCAGCTTCTCAAGTTGCTCCTGACACGACAAAAAAAATATTCTAAGTAGAAATTGTTCATTTCATTACTTGGTAATCATCTCTAGATACATTGATTTTAGCATAATTAACACGTCTCACAAGTAATTAATCTTAATTTTTAAAAAGTCTTCATTTTGAAATCAAAGTACTATTTTTTTCTAAAAAAGTGATAGTTTGATTTCAAAAGTGTACTTGTTTATGTACATGGATCTATTTTGTCTTTTTGAGTTTAGTTTTTTATAGTTGTATTGTGAACAAAAACAGTGTTTTTGCAGTTTTTTCTACAATATAAAAGTGTGTATTAAGTCTATTAAGCCTATTCAACAAACAATTCAACTTATATATCAATGTTTCAATATAATAAACATTTACAATGAGATAGAGATCAGAGATCAAGTACCCAAATTGTCTTTCCAGATATGTTAGTCACAACACCCATTAGCCTTGTGGAAGGGAGAAAGTCATATCTTAATTTGTTTTGGAAGATCTTGTGTGCTGATTCCAGTTTATTTATCCTTGGTTTGTACGTTAATAAAAGATGGTATTTCTGTTTAAAAAGTAACAGACTAGGGCAAGTTAGTGATTTCTTTAAACCCTGGTTTGTTTGGGGGTTTTTTTTGGGGGGGGGGGTTGCTAATGTGGAACAGAAATAGAAATAGACTAAAGTGTTACCAGCTTCAAGATTCATGAACTCCTTAACGGCACAATTTGTACCATTATTATGTAAGAGGCTGGGAGCACCTTTTCATTTCACATTGCTTTCTAAATCGCAGAAGTGAAGACAATGTCGTTTCCATGGGTGGGTTTCTTTCTAAGGATGGAGGGTTCTCTTTAGGATGAAATTAGTTGGATTTTTGGGATTATTGCGGGGTATGGCTTTGGTACTCTGAATGGTGAGGTCCATATAGTCAAGCGACAGTTCAGTGGGGATTGGTGGATGGATCTACACTACAATTTTGCACACTGAAACCATCTGTCATAACGCTAGATGGGACATTTAGTGTTAATCTCAAGGAGCTTCTGAACCTTATAGGTATTGTGTCACCTCACTCTGGGAGAGATTTCAGTAGTTCTCTGCAGACCTAAAGTCATGTCTCTCACTTTTGAGAACTTTGCTCAAAACTTTCCATGCTGGTCAGGAGCTGGAGGCTGCAAAAATGAGATTTTTCCTCCACGAAGTGAAGAACATACTAAGAGGCTTATATTTTATTAGAAAAATATGTTTAAAATTTGTTGCTGATAGTGCGAGTGAGTGATATCTTAGCATTTTCATTGAGTACTTTTGATATTGTTATGTAGTCAATACAGAGCAATAGGCAAATATGTAGTTTTACATTTAAAAAGTAAATAGATATATAAAATAAGTACCTTGAAATGCTATTATGTTGTAGAGAAAGGTCTTCTTTTAGGAGAAACTGAATATTGCTTATAAAAGTACTGATAGTATAAAAGATGCTACTGTGTGGTATCAGCAATGTCAAATGAGAAACAGAAGGAAAACAATTACCAGATCTTTACTATGTGTACCCATAGCCTATAGGTCACCCTCATTATAGACACTGAGGGCAGGAAATGTTAATTTAACTCTTTTGGGTATCCTTTATGACTCAAGAACAGAGGAGAAATACTTTAAATGAGTAAATAATAGATGTAAGTTCCATTAATTTGGAGGGCCAACTTAATCTGGTGCTAAAAATTGGATTTGGGCCGGTTTGATTCAAATATTAATGGGGCTGTTGTTTACAAGTTTTTACTACTTATGCTAGTGAAAGTATGGTTTTAACATATGTCATGAATAAATATCTGCAAACTAAAGACTTATGTCGGAGAACATTATAATAACATAAAAATAAACAGAATCCATAGTTAAAATTAGATACAGAATAGACATAAAGAAGGAGGCTTCATATTTTAAGCTGTAAAACAGATTGCTTCAATAATGAAAAAAACTACCTAGAAATGAAGCAACATATATTTTCATATTTTAGCTTACAAAGAGTTACGTGCTATTATTGACTTGGATGTGCTCACTTCTGTTATGGAGCTATGCATATGATTCTCGTCCTGGGGGGCAGGGGGTGGCATGTCTTAAGATTTTTTTTTTTTTACTATGGAGCAATTGTTGTTATGCACTTTCAAGCCATTTTTGGCTTATGGCTACTCTAAGGCAAACCTATCACAGGGTTTTCTTACCAGATTTGTTTAGAAGGAAGGGTGCTTTCCCTTCCTCGTGAGGCTGAGACTCACTCAAGGCCACCCAGAGAGTTACTATGGCTGAGTGGGGACTTAAACCCTGATCCCCAGAGTTGGAGCACTGCAACACATTGGCTCGCTACACCATGGGGCACTATTATTAGTTTAATGTATAATTAATAAGTTTTGTTTCAAGAATTTAAAAACTTAGGAAAATCTTAAGTGTCATATCTCTCATTTGTTGCTATTTAAAAATTTAATACAGAAATCAGGTATGTGGAAGGCATAATGATATCCATCACCTATGCTGGGCAGAACTGGTGGGCGGTGTATGCCAAAAACATGTGAATGCCCAGACATTCCCCACATCTGTTTCAGCTAAAGCTGCCACGGGTTGAACCTGAACTCAAACCTCATCTTCACTGAACATTTAGATTGATGTGAGGATGGATCAGTCCGTGGACAGCCACAAAATACACAGGGGCTGTTCTGTATTAACCTAGAGAAAACTGCCTAATTATGCTGTATCCTGGGTTAGTATAATTCAGGAGAAAACCTGAATACTGCAACAAGATTCAGGTTCTCCCCTGAATTCTGCCTGTCCAGACAGTTGCTTGCTAAATGGAACTGGCTGTGGGTGTCCAGACAGCTATCCTGAAATCCATGGGTTCAGGTAACCTGGGCACACAGGATAGCTATCCCCTCCTTCCCTGACCCCATGCCTCCTGTCCCCATGTTTCTCTTCCTCTTTCTGTGTCATGTGATTTGTGAAGGAGGATGGGAGAAGGGAAAGTTATGTGATATCTGTATCATGGAGGAGAGAAAAATCTCCTCCAGGTTAAAGTAGGTTGTGATGTCACTGCTGTAGCCCAGCAGTGACACAAGGAAAGAAGGTAGCAGTTGGGCCCCTGCTTAGAGATGCTGAAGTGGGCTTGGCGTGGTTGGACAATGGGGATGCCCTGTCACTATTGAAGAGGCTCAGTATGTCCTTTTCTTGCCACAAAGCAGGCTGGAACCAGTGACACAGATGCCAGTTCCAGCCTGCTTCATTTGTCTGTGTAGACCCTATTACTGAGCTGTTCTCTCTCAGCATGTTCCACTCCAGTAGTACAGCCTGAACCTGGACCTAGAATCTACCAAATCCAATATTAGTCACTATGATACCAGGAAAGCTATAGATAGTTGTGAAGTGCTATTGAATGCAGTAGATTGTTAGGTAATCATGACTAATTTGTTCTACAGATTTCAGTGAGATTGAATTGTGACTAACTTGAGTAGGAGTAGAGTTACCCAAACAGTGCAACCATAACCACACTAACTCTATTCAATGCTTCGTTGTCAATATGGCTCCTGCTCTTTTCAATGTATTTCAAACATTCTGCTTCCCCTGGTTTTGTTTTACCTTGACTTTAATTTCAGTTCTTTGAAAGAATCTATTGTCTCCGTCCACAGTTAGGTGTTGCTATGTGTAAGGATACTGAAATGTATCTGGTTAATCCAATAAATCATAGAATCATAGAATCATAGAATCAAAGAGTTGGAAGAGACCTCATGGGCCATCCAGTCCAACCCCCTGCCAAGAAGCAGGAATATTGCATTCAAATCACCCCTGACAAATGGCCATCCAGCCTCTGCTTAAAAGCTTCCAAAGAAGGAGCCTCCACCACACTCCAGGGCAGAGAGTTCCACTGCTGAACGGCTCTCACAGTCAGGAAGTTCTTCCTAATGTTCAGATGGAATCTCCTCTCTTGTAGTTTGAAGCCATTGTTCCGCGTCCTAGTCTCCAAGGAAGCAGAAAACAAGCTCGCTCCCTCCTCCCTGTGGCTTCCTCTTAACTACACAGTTAATTGAATGGAATATTTTGACTTAGTTGATAGCCTACTAACCAGATGAATCCAGAGAATTAAAGTTAACCAAACAATTAAATGCATTTCTGTTGGATGAGATGTTATAATTCCTCTCACTCAAACTGATTTATTTTTTCTCTTGCAGACAGTTCGCCATGGGTTTCCATATCTGCCCACTGCCTTAGCATTTGATCCAGTTCAGAAGATTTTGGCTATTGGGACAAGAACAGGTGCCATTCGCATGTATCCTTTGCTGTTGAGCACAATAGTTTTACACCTCTATTTTTATATTTTACATTTTGTTCTGAGATAAAATACACCGTAAAATATTTATACAAGTTGCTTTCCTTCTTTACAGCAGGACAAGCCTGGTTATCCTCCGATTGTATTTGTTTTCCTGTTCTTCAGTTACTATTATTTTATCAGTTCAATTCAAGCAACTTGCAGTTTCTCAAGTCGCTCCTGACACGACAAAAAAAATTAATGTCATTGACTTAGCATGACAACAAATCAAATAACAAAAGTATTACAATGCAGGAAATACCATTTCCATAGTAAGTTAAAACACACCACAGTAGCAGCCAGATTAGTTTCTGGAACACCTAGGAGTGACCATATTACACCAACACTAAGTTATTCCACTGCTTGCCAATTAGTTTCCAAACAAAGTATAAAGTGTTAATTCTGACCTTTAAAGCCTTACATGGTTTGGGTGAAGATTACCTACAGGATCATCTTCTCCTGTACAATCCTCCCCTTAGGACACTAAGGTCCCCTGGGACACATTTACTCCAACCAGCCATAAACCAACTGGCAACTGTAACTCAGAGGACCTTTTCATCAGCTGCCCCACGAGTGCTGAATGATTTGCCATAATAGATCTGACAGCTAATGGAGCAGTCAGAATTAAAGACCTATCTCTTTCAGCAGGCTTACCCAATTAATTTTAAGCTGTGAATTTTAAAATTGGATTCTTTTGGTATCATGTTTTAATCTTTGCATTACATAATTTGGTAAATGTGTTTTGGTTGTGTTGTGCCCGACCTCCAACTGTAAGACAAGACGAGTAAAAAAACAGCATGTAATTTGACTAAGAATTAATTATCTAGGTCAGAGTAAGATCAAGCTGTCAATTTTGTTGGCCTTTGTAATTGTTTTGCAGTTTATTATACTGTGTATGAATACGAGGCATTTCCCCTTATTAACTTTTAGTGATTGCAACTTCACAGGACCTTATACTGCAGGTCCATATAATATGTCTGATGATTTATTTTAAAGATTTGTAGAATTTGGAGAACTAACCAGCCTATGCTAATTCTACAGAATCTGAGGATGCCTAACAGAACATTTTGAAGTTTCTTTTAATATTATAGTTATGCAGTGTCCAATAACCTACTGATGTAATTTATGGGACTAGGCCTTTGGTTAAGAAGCATCATTTTATTTTATTTTTTTCTCATAGTTAGCTCTGAACGTATTTTGAGAGGAAAAAGAGCCCCATCCCTATTAAGCTTTTGGAAAAGGGTCAAGACCTTTCTTTCTATTTAAGGCTTTTAACTGAGTCACTGGAGGTAAGAGTGGAGTTTTAAGGTTTAATGTCTGTACATTGGTGTTTGGGGAGGCAGCAATTGATTTTATTGAATATATGCTTTGACCATATTTTTACCTCTGTTATCTGACTTGTTGTACTGTCTACTAGGCATAATTCTACTGCCAGCACATTGTGGCAGAGACCATAAATGTTCATGGGATGTGTCAGGAGAATTGTAGTCAAAGACCAGATCTTACCACCAAGAGGTGACTCTTCCAATGTGGCAATGCCATTAGAGGAAGGAAATAGAGTTGAAGGTTGAATTGAAACAACATTTCTGCTTCTTAGTTAATGTTTCCTTCTTCCCTAACATTCAACCTAAATTATTCCTTTTTAAGTTTAAGTGCAACATGCTTTAGTTGCACTTAACGGCACAAGGACTATGAGAATGGATCTGATTTCAACTGAGGCGTTATATATGTTGCTTGTTGATTTGTCTTGTCTGATTGTTAACTGTTGTGGATCGATGTGCTGATCCTGTTGTTGTATTGTTATGTTTTAATTGCACTGTAAACCGCATTGAGTCGCCTGTTATGGGCTGAAAAATGCGGTATAAAAGTGAAGCAAATAAATAAATAAATAAATAGTTATGTTTATGTTTACAAGAGTATGGCTTCACAACTTTTGTGTATTGGGGATTTGTACTTGTAGCATTTTTCTGTATATGTTTGTATTTAAAGCAATTATTATTTGCAAAATAAACTGCTTAATTAGCTCAGCCTCTTCAACTCAACCTTTTTTTGCCCCTCACTTCTCCATTGCTGTCATTCCAACACTGCTAGTTCCTCACCCCTTCCCCAGTTTCTCATTAACATCTCATTTGATTTTAAATTCTTTCCTCCACTGCTTCCTTCCCTGTCATCCCATCAAAGCAACATCCAGGTTTTAAACCTTTTCTTCCATTGCTCCCTTTCTCTCCCCATTGAAGCAAGGGAAGTCTCTTCGCTGCCCATCATCCAATCACAAGTCTCAACCTGTATTTAAAGCCCTTACCTATTAATCTACTTCTTCCCTCACTCCTTCAGCTCACCACCACTATCTTAAATTGAGGTTGAGGCTTATGGTGAGATGATGGGCAATGGAGTCTACGGTGTCCTGGTGGGCAGCAGAGGAGATGGTGTGAGGTGAGGGAAGAAAAATGAATGTGTGCAAAAGAAGATAGGTGTGGACCGCGAGAAGATCCAACCAGTCCATACTTCAGGAAATAAAGTCCGACTGCTCATTGGAGGGAAAGATAGTAGAGGCAAAGATGAAGCACTTTGGCCACATCATGAGAAGAAAGGAAAGCTTAGAGAAGACAATTGTGCTGGGGAAAATGGAAGGAAAAAGGATGAGGGGCCGACCAAGGGTAAGATGGATGGATAGTATCCTTGAAGTAACTGGCTTGACTCTGAAGGAGCTGGGGGTGGTGACAGCCAACAGGGCGCTCTGGGGTGGGGTGGTCCATAAGGTCACGAAGAGTCGGAAGCGACTGAATGAATGAACAACAACAACATGTTGGAAGGTCTTTAAATGCACACAGCTATGTCTGAAAAGGGGACTGATTGATGAGGGCTGTTGGGAGTATTTGCATTTTCTTTACTTCTGCGTGGGTTCTGTGTTCTTAGTCCCAGTAAACATGGAGGGCCAGCTGCATAGAGATTACTAAGGGATTGCATCTTCAATTGTGATCAGCTACTTTTAAAAATAATATTCCAAGCTCTAGTCTTGTTTTCAATTTTTTTTTCACCAGTGAAACAGAAGTGTTGAGTCTGTGTGATCTTTTGGGAATGTAGGTAGATCTCAGTGCCTATAACACAGCCCAGCTGTTTTCAGAATAGATATCCCACTGCAGGTGGTGAATCTAAGGGAGGATTATTTAACTTACATCAAGACCAGAACTTGTTCATCATCCGTGCTCAATTCCAGCAAGGAAAAATATGTTTTTAGACTGATGTGGGAGAACAACAACTCTTTTTCTCCAGTGTGCCAGGGAGCAGCCTGTTGGATATAGTTTTTGCCTGTTGACTATCGTTGTTCATTTCATTTCTGCTAGACAATAGACTGGTAGACAATGGGCCAGGATCTGTGACTGGTCCAGAGACCACAAGTTTGAGAAGCACAGATGAAGACCATATTTCAGCGTCTTGATAAGAAAGAGAGCTTCAAATAATTTAATGACCTTAAATCAGAATTAAAGCTCTATAAAACTGCCTTCTGACAATTATAACTTAGACACTAGCTAATGCCCATCAGATGGCCTGGTGTCAATAATTTAAATATGGTTCTTTTGTCAGGAGGTAATGAAACATTGCAAATTCATGACAGTAATGAAAGTTTTTTTTAAATTGCAACTTACTGCAGGATATATGCTGCTGAAGTGGTACATTGGAAATCATTGGAATTTATGAATTCTATGGGCCTTCTTAGAATTCATAAATTCCAATGATTTTCAATGCACCATTTCAGCAGCATATATCCTGCAATAAGTTGCAATTAAAAAAACTTGATTACTTGTCAGGCCTTATTGTTCTGTTTCCTATTGTGATATGGCCTAAGGGCTAATCAATAAAAAATTACTACTATGTACCTTCTTGGTTACCATACAGAGTTGAAATCCTCTTCTGCATTGCAGATAGAACACTGTACAGAAGATCCAATCCAACTATTCATAAAAAAGAAAACAGTGCTTAATGGGATGAAGACAGGCAATAAATGTCTGATTTCTTTCTTGGACATCTTAAAAAGTTTCATCTGGATTGGTTAGGTATTATGAAAGTTGTAAGACTGTATAATTTTCCTTGTCCCTTTCCGTTGGCTCATCCTTTGCATTTTCTGCCTTTTACATGTTTGTCTTCTCTATTTTCATGTGTCTGTAAGTGTGAGTTGGTAGTATGTTACAGAGTTCGTCACAGTTGTGGCATATGCAAGGAAAGTGGAGAAATGAACCAGTGTAGGTTTGGCAGAGTCATACACTAACTAGGTTTTGCTATGTTAAAATATGACGACTGTTTCCTCTTATTCATTTTTTGGCCAAAGGCCTTCCCACTACACGATTTTGTTCCCAAGCAGGGCTTGAATACTCATGCTAGGGGCTCTTGTCTGTACCTTTCTCTGCTCAAGTGAATGGCAGAACATTTTAAAGGCATACTAAGTCTAGTATGCCTTTAAACAGTTCTGCTATTCACTTGAGCTTATTTTTCCTTCCCTGTGCACGAGCCTGCCCTAAGATGTAATCAAAGTTACAGCTTCATTAAAGCATCGTTTTATTTTATAGTTATCTATTCCAAACCATCTTAATCAGCAGTTATCTATAACAACACATTACAACAAAATCCCATACCCACAACAATACCTTTATTGGTCAACCAACATGCAAAAAAAAATACATGCAAGCTTTCAAAGCTTCACTAGTCTCTTCTTTTACTAAAGATATTGAAAATCGTACACGGTAGTGTGTGATTTATTAATCTGAAATGGCTGTACTACTTCAGGATCTCCTGTAGTCTTTAATCTCTACATTTTGTAACCTTGGTAAATTATATTGTAATCCTCCTGAATGTTACCTAATGAATTGTAGGTGTCATTGTGTTTGTTCAAAATACCGTAATAATAAAAAGAGATTCTTGTTATATCTAGGTTGTATCTGTGTTTATGAACTATGGATTATAATAATGTCTACAGGGTGTATTATGTACAATGTACAGATTGGATCTTTCCGTGTTTTGTTGGTATGAGGGTTGTTTCATTTTCTTCTCACTTTTGCTTGGAGTGTATAGTATGTTTATTAAACTATCTCAACATTGCATTATAATAGCAGATGAATGGTGTTGTGGCATAACTGGATAGCTCTTTTTAAAGCATGAAGTAAAGACAATATGCAATGATACTATGTCCTCATGTTCTGCATCTGCATCATCATCAGAAGATATTTTAAAGAAGTTTAAGGAATGTCAGCTGGTCTTCAGGTATAAAATAAAAACAAACCATAACAGTTTAAACCATATTTCTATATCAGAAATAATTGGAAGATGGAGGAAGTGGGTAGGAACTTAAAGGACAACACTTCGGGGAGGGGGGGGGACGGGGACGGGGACACCTGATAACATGTTGTTTGCAGTGTTTAAACTGTTATATATTTGTTTGCCAGCCTACAACTTTGGTTCTCTGGGTGAGAACAGACTTAATCTCAGAAATAAGTGACTTTTCTTTACATGTTTCTATGCATTACTTTTGTGTGATATTTTCTAAAAAGTAAAATCATGCTTTGCTGTGGTCAATTTTGTTTTGATTTTATTCCAGTTGTCAACCTGAGCAAACTGATCCTTGACTTTCAGTCTTAACAGATTGGGTAGACCAGGTGTTGACTGTTACTGTGAACATGAAAGTGGTGCTGCAGTTCTGCAGCTTCAGTTTTTAATTAATGAGGTAAAGATCTATTTACAAACATCTATGAGGCAATTACATTTGGGCCTCATCTGATTAATGTATTTTGAAGCTAGTTTCACTCAAAAGAATGCACGAAAGAAAGCCCTTAATGTGCATCGGTACTTTGTACAATCATGATCTGGGTCTCATACTAGTTCCAGGATTTCTCATGTACTCTTCTGCACAATGAAATCACCTTCTTCAATACCAGTTTGAAACTGTATTAAATGATCAGTGTAGATGGCCCCTTGGAATGTTCTGCAGTAACTCAGAATGAATGTAGTAGAATTTCAGGAAACCAGTGAAGAACAGATCAATTCAAATTATTATGAGGCTGGGGTGCATTCTTATTATCCCATCAGTCTAGAGCACTTCCCTTAGATCAGTGAAAGTGGCACACCTACCCTGGGGTCTTCCCATGAACTTTAAGTACACCTTTCTATGTGTGTCTTTGGTGTGACAGGAATAGGGTTTTCAGAATTACTCTGTATTTAATAAAGGAAATATTACCTAATCCTTACTTTGTTAAAATGTGTCTAGATTTGGAATTCTGATTCCATCTTGTTTGGCACTGAGCTATCACAGAACTTTAATATTTTTAAGGTGGAAATATGCTAACACATCTAACAGGCTTCATAGACTACCAAGGTTGACCAGAGCTATCCCAGAGATTCCCTTGCCAAATCTGACACATTAGAAAAACTGGTCATGGTGAGATTTGATGCACAGGGCATGCTATCAAACAAAAACACCAAAAAGGCATATGAGAACACACACACACTTTTAAAGGCAATGCTTTTGCTTTGAGAATCTTCCTCTACCTTGAGAATTAGAGAAGAGGTTCCAGACTCGAGATCTGGAAACCCTGCATACCATTGAGTTTAAGATAATTACTAAAATGATATGCATGGTTCATATATGGTTTGTATGAACCATATAAATTCATTGTTTCATTTAATTTGTTTTATATTTTAAAATGTCTCTTATTTCTTGCTGTGAAGTCATCTACATAGATTGTTATTTTGACTCCTTTCACGCATGAAGTTAGATATTTTTAGACTTGGAAATTGTTGGTCTTAAATCTTACTCTGTCTTCTCCAGATAACATTATGTACCACTTCATTTCCTTTAAATGGCAGTCATTGCACCCCTCTTCCGGTTCATATCATGGGGCTCTTGGAGGTTTCTCATTCATATAGCTGCCATTGAAGGTCTGTCTCTTATGCCTCTGGAACACTGGTATGCATCTTGACTGGAAATGGGAGAAAAATACTATCGATTCTAAAACTGGTTTGAGACCAGGTTCCATCATTAATATAAGCACCTTCCTGGCCTGAAATCTGTTTTTGTCATGCCAATCTAAAAGGTGGGGGGAAAGCAGGGGATTATAGTTATCAGTGGAGGCAATCAATTACCTGTCTCAGGGGGTCACTTAGCCCACTAGGCCAAAAAAAAAAAAATCTGCTGAAACATAAAACAAGAAAGCAAGGAAAAGGAAAATGGATAGTTACCCCAAATGGAGAGTTTCTGATTTTAAAATTCACATTTTAAATAATAAAATTCACATAAACATTAAAATATATTACTTTCTGCTGCTGGATATAGTCAGCAGAAACATTGTTTGGTTGTTTGTGCAATCAGAGCAGCAAGAAGTTGCAGGAAGCCAACTGCAATCAAGGATTCTGTTTCTTTCCATAGAAACCTGTGGCATTTCTGTAAGAAAGCATTTATTGACACATACAACAAACTAAGGATAAGAAGCAGATCCACTGCATTAACAATCCAACATATTATCTTATTCCTCGTTAGATGTCTAGAGACAGATCAACACTGATCCACAATAAAGTGCTGATCCAATTCCAAACCAACCTAAGTAGACGTGCCTCTAGTCTTTGGGATGTACTACTCACCAAATTGCTGACCTCACTCTAGAAATATCTGAAATGAGGCCCTTCACAAGTGTGGAACTGACAATGGTATTAGAAGGCATATATAGCACAGTAGAACTCTGAGGTTCATATCAATATTTAAATAGCGATTTTCCATCAAAATCTCTAATGTGATAACACTTGTTCTTCTGCTCTGTCATTCTGGTAGGGTGCATTGGTCAGTGCAAGCTCTGATGATATGCTCCATTTATGGAATCTAAGACAGAAACGTCCAGCAATTCTTCATTCTCTGAAATTTACCCGAGAACGGTAAGGGGTGACACAATTCCAAATATGATCATACATATTTTGCTGTTGCCTTTCCTGTTGGAAGTTGAAACCTGCTTGTTATGCAAATAATCTGAAACAGCTCGTGTACAGAAATGAAGCAGTGGCCACTGCTAAACCCTTTCATTGGTCCCATTTCTTTCCAAGAATGTTCACTTATTAAACTGTTTGCATTATTGTGTATATTTAGAGCTTTGTGAGAATCTCTGTATCTGTGTTTGTTTTTATTTGTACCAAGGTGCAAGAATCTTCTTAAATCTTAAATTGAGACTACAGCTTCTATCCAATAATAATAATAATAATAATAATAATAATAATAATAATAATAATCTTTATTCATACTTCACCACCATCTCCCCAACGGGGACTTGGAGCGGCTTACATGAGGCCAAGCCCAAGATAGAAAGAACATAGAAGGAGGAGGAGGAGGAGGAGAAGTAGTAGTAGTTGTTTATTACCTACCTCTCCTTATAGCTCAAGGCAGGGTACAAAATCATTAAAACAGTGATAAAAAACTATTAAAATACAGAAGATACATATAGTTTACATACATATTAAAATTCACTGATAAATGCAAAAATCCCTGTATGAACAGATACACATTCCATTATAGGCAGTCCCTGAGTTACAAACATCCGACTTTCATATGACCCATTTGTATGTATGTATTTATTTATTTACAGTATTTATATTCCACCCTTATCACCCTGAAGGGGACTCAGAACGGATCACAAAACACAGATATGGCAAACATTCAATTCAAAGTCAGACAACTTACATAGACAGTAGTATAAATAGGCTTTCCCATCTTCAGCATCTTGGAGGCTGTGCTCAGTTACGGCCACAAGGGGGAGATGGCACACCACTTTCTCTTCCAAAGAGCGTTGTACGTAAACATCCTCTTTGATCGAATTGCCACAATTTTTCTGGCATTTCCTTATAGATGTCTTAAAGAGGTACCAATATATCTACTCTCATTGATGTTTTCGAAATGGGGCTAAAGGCAGAAGCAGGGCTAAAGGACAGGAGCTCACCCTGACCTGGGCTTCTAACTGTCAACCTTTCAGTTGGCAAGATTTACTGCAGCTAGGGGTTAACCTGCTGTGCTAAACCCTATCAAGCCCATAGTTAAGAAGAGGGGTGAGACAACAGGAAGTGAGAGGAAATCTACCCCTAGGAAGGGAAATTCACTCCTCTAAGAGTTATCATGGGAAAAAAGTGTCTCCACTGAAGCTTTATCACCAGTCCTTGTTTCCATGACAACCCAACATTTTCAAAATCCTCTATGTCACAGGCACAGAGTGAGGTGAAATCTTCTGAACAGGGGCAGAGACAATAAAATAAACATTACATGGGTGTTAACCCTTTCCAATGCTATCCAAAGCTTTAAAAGTTGACTGCAATTACACTTAAAATGTACCTGTTCTGACTTACATACAAATTCAACCTAAGAACAAACCTACAGAACCTATCTTGTTTGTAACCCAGGGACTTCCTGTATATGTGAACCGTTGCACCCGGGTAAAGATCAGCAATAGTGTACTCGTGTTAAATATTAAGTATGGGAGCACTCCCAATGCTCTACATGTAAATATCAATAATCTGTGAGCATTCCTACAGACGTTATCGGGCAGTCTACACTGTCAGTGACTTCAGTCAGTCTCTTTATTTCTTCCAAGGATGCGACTCAAAGTAGCTATCATAATACCTTGTACTGTAGTATCATGCAGCTGGTACTACATGAAAGTAGTACCAGCTACATGATACTGAGTTTTGAGTTTTGAAGTAGCCCTGCTTGCCAAATTACACAATACTTTGCAGAGCTGCAGACATTTACCTTTACTAAAAAGCAGCTAAACAAGGCTGTCAGTTTCAAAAGACAAACAATGGGAAGGAAAGTTGCTTAACCTTCTTTCTTTTGCTTTTAGGATTAAGTCACCCTAGTGCTTGACCACTTTTATTTATGTTTCGACAGGCCTTTGATCTCTGATATTGTTGTTTTTAAATTGTATTATAATTGTTTTAAATTGTTTTAAATTGTGTTAGATTTTAGCCTGTTCTTGTAAGCCGCTCCGAGCCCCAGGGGAGTGGCGGCATACAAGTTTGAATTATAAATAAATAAATAAATAAATAAATAAATAAATAAATAAATGTATTGCCGAAGGCTTTCATGGCCGGAATCCATGGGTTGTTGTAGGTTTTTCTGGGCTATATGGCCATGTTCTGGAGGCAATTTTTCTCCTGACGTTTTGCCTGCATCTATGGCAAGCATCCTCAGAGGTAATGAGGTCTGTTGGAACTAGGAAAAATTGGTTTATATATCTGTGGAATGACCAGGGTGAGACAAAGGACTTTTGTTTGCTGGGGCTAGCTGTGAATGTTTCAGCTGATCACCTTGATTTGCATTCAATGGCTTGGTAGCACATGGGGGGAATCTTTTGTTAAGGGTGATTTCATGTGCCTGTTTGTTTCCCCCTGTTCTTGTAAGCCGCTCCAAGCCCCAGGGGAGTGGTGGCATACAAGTTTGAATTATAAATAAATAAATAAATAAATAAATAAATAAATAAATAAAATGTATTGTTTTTCTGCTGTAATTTTTGAGTTTTTTAATACTGGTAGCCAGTATTAATAAATAAATGTTTTTCCATATTGCTTTCTAGTTTGTTTAAACCAGCCTCCCAGAGTCTGTTTGTGTTACCAATATATAATATAGGTTTGTCCCTAACATTTGCATTGAAAATCAAAGAAAAAAGTAGAATCTCAGAATTTTGATTTAAGAGGGAAACAAAGTACCTGCAAGAGGGAGAACTGCTTGCCCATGTGTTTGGAGCTAGGGGTTAAATCAAGGATGATAGCCTCTACCAGCAAGATCAGCGCATGCAACATAGAAGCAAGATATGGCATAACTGGTTTGCTATGGGTGTCCTACAAAGCAAGGCATGAAGTATAAAGTTGGTAAAGAGATCGCCTTGAACATAGGTCTGCAAGAGCAGGTGATAACACACACACACACACACACACACACAGAGAGAGAGAGAGAAAGAGAGAGAGAGAGCCTGTCCACACTCTTCCTAATGTTTAGATGCAAGAAAAGAGGGTTCAGAAAGTCTACGTTTTAAAGCACTTATGATCCTCAAGGCGTTATTAATCATACTCCCTCACTATTAGTTATGCTAACTAGGCTGATGGGAGATGCAGCCTAAGAACCTCTGGTGGATCACAAGTACTCCACCTGTTCCTTCATCTATTTCTTTGCATTATAGGGAGGTTAATGGCAGGCACATTATGCCAAAGTGCTAATGCCAATGCCTTATCTTATTTGCCCACATTTGCCTCTGAGATAGGCACAGATTGAAGATTGGTGAGTCAGTCAAATTTCTGTTTAAAAAATAAACCATGCCCAGTTCTGTTTTTCTTAATTTTTCCTTTCCTAACTGCCAGCAGGATTTTATTATATGTGAGAGAATATAATGACACTGTAAAATTCATGTTCCTTTGTTTCTAATGTTTAGCGGTTTGTTCCATGCAGTTTGTTCATATTTCCATTAAGTACCAGGCATGTTTTTTCCTGAATTTCCATGCCATTGATGAGCTGCTGCACTACCAGCAGACTCACTCCTACACAACCCATTTCCTTCTCATTCTGACGTTGGTTACCAAGGCAATGAATTAGTTGCATATCAACAGAATATCAAAAAAGGGCAGTGTTTTCTTGCCTGGAGATTTAGATAAAGGTTTATAGGTGGCACTAACATATCTAGGAAGATACTAAAGTGGTGATAGTTCACATCCTTCAGTAGCCACTCTTACCATATGTCCTCATGTACAATAGGCCCTTGGTATCTGCTAGACTTTGGCTCCAGATTCCGTTGTGGGTGCCAAAATCTGCGGTGCACAAATCCCATTATATACAGTGGTGTGGTACAATGGTCTCCCTTATGATATAAAATAGCAAAATCTAGGTTGTGTTTTGAATTTTTTTAAAAAAGATTTTCAGTTGAATCCAAGAGTATATAATCTCATTTTCGCACATGTATGCAAGCAGTACCTTAATTAAAGAAATTAAAGTTTTGATGCCCTGGGAAACACTATACCATGCTGGCTACTTCTGTTTGTTTGTTTGTTTATTTACTTTCGGTATTTCTACCCTTTTCGTTCTCAACCCCCGAAGGGGGACTCAGGACGGTTTGTTCATGCCAGGTTTAACACAAGTAGGATAATTCACTTACTAAAGATGCCAAATTTCCTCTAATAATTTTGACCAATGTCTTCTTGTATGTTAAAATGCTGAATAACTGTAGGGAAAGAGGTTGCCCATAATGATGATCTCAATTTCCCCTCCACATTGACTGAAAAAGCTGAAGTTCAGCATTTATTGTTTGTATGTGACTGGTGCATTGTATATCTTATACAATTTGGTTGTATGTTTCCTCTATGTAGGATTACCTTCTGCCATTTACCTTTCCAAAGCAAATGGCTCTACGTGGGAACAGAGAGAGGAAATACTCACATTGTAAATATTGAATCCTTCGTACTTTCTGGATATGTTATCATGTGGAACAAGGCAATAGAATTGTGAGTTTATTGTTAAACATCAATTTGCTTTATTGTTGAGATCGATCTTTCTTTTTAACAATGAAAACCTGCCTTTTGATTAAAAATAGATTCAATTTTAATAATACAATAGTACTCCTTTGATCAAATTTTAGTTGCACTTTAAAAGACTATTTACATGTATCATTTTCTACTGCCATATAGATGGGAGAACACATTTGAAGCAAAGCAATGTAGTCTCATTGGAGGCAAAACATTGTAGTGCCTTTACAAGTAATGCTTGGCTGTAGAGTTGTTATTGTGTGAGAGTAAAAGGCCACGAGATTTCCTCCTTTTCTTTGGATGATACTTTCAGTCATTTCCTTCATAGTCTCCTCAGCTTTTTTCTGTTTTCAGAACTTTAGTCATATGATTTCTGATCTAACAAGTGATGCATAAGGAAAAGCTTACTTTGGGGTCCTTTCAGCTCAGTTCACAGCTGGGGCCTGTTTTTCCATCATCTTCTCCGGATGTGCTTTGGCAATGGCAAAAAGTGACAATTCCCCTTTAAAACAAAGAAGGGCAGATATTAGGTTCTTGTGGGTTTTTTCGGGCTATAGAGCCATGTTCTAGAGGCATTTCTCCTGACGTTTCGCCTGCATCTATGGCAAGCATCCTCAGAGGTGTGAGGTCTGTTGGAAGTAGGTAATATTAGATATTGTTTTGATATTGGTAATATCAGATATTGTTTTGAAGCTCAGACATTCTCATAGGTTTGCTGGAAGCATTGTTTAAGTTTTAAAACGGAATCAGGAAGATAGGTTTTGAATATGCAAGAGAAGCTGTGGTTTGTTTAAAACTGAAAATAGATGTTTGTCAGTGTTTATTGTACAGTTACTGTGCTGGTTTTTATGGTGTGGAGAAGGAACACACTGCTTCACACCTAACCAAAAACAGACCTACAGCAACAAGTATAACAGCCTTGCAGTACTGTGTCCCATCTCTATTTTATAATTCCTACATTTTAATGGTTTTAATATTCTTGTTTCTCCAACTGTATTTCAAAGTTAGCTACGCTGATTCCCTTTGAACAGGAATTGCTTTGCTGTATATTTAATATAAAATTCTTCTAATAATGTTTTACATGCCTTATGGCCTGTATTTTTTCTTAATGTTATACTGCTTATTAACAAGTTCTTTGATTTGAGTGATTGTAAAAACACTTCCCATTTCTTCTTACCAGAGAAATACATTCATTTTTATTATATAACACATCCATATCCATTGCCCTTGGGGTGATCTCCTGTAATATTACCTAGCTGGCTTTTTAAAAAATCTATATTATTCAGGTTTTATACTGTTGCTTTTGCAGATCCACAAAGACGCACCCTGGACCTGTTGTACACCTAAGTGATAGTCCACGAGATGAGGGGAAAGTGAGTAAAAGGAGCTTTAAAAATTCTCAAAATTATTCTATTAGACATTTCTTTTTTGTTTCCAAGAACTTATTTACTGATATATGACTGGAATACAAATTACTGAATAATTGTATGCAGTATATATAATAAATCATACTTCCTGTCCCTGTGATAATTGGACTTTGAAACATTTGGCTTGTTGTGGAAATAAAGATTAGTGTTAAAGTTCCAGTGAAGAGATCTTTTCCCCATAAAAACTCTTGCAGGAGTGAATTTCCCTTCCCAGGGTTGTAGATTTCCCTCACTTTCTGTTGTCTCACCCGTTCTTAACTATGAGTCATTTGTAAGCCAGATGTTTGTAGCTCAGGGACTGCCTGTATATATATTTCCAGCTTATCAATTTCTTTAAAAATCCTTGCAGATAGTTTTAGTAAAAAGGTATTAGATCTGCATTGCTTTTTTCCTTTTGCTTTTATCTTCCAAATAAACATAGAGGTTTAGGGAAGTTGTGGAGCATTACACAACTTTTGCTAATGCAGGGTAAATCAGTGTAACAATTGTCATCCTCCCCCCCCCCCCCCCCCCCCCCCCCCCGGGTTAGGAGCCAGATGTCCATGAACATCCAAGAGTGACTTCTGTCTTGGTTTGTGTTTTGTGACCCATGTTAATCAGTTCTGAGACACCTAATAATTTACTGGAACAGTTGGATTAATAGCCTTTTCACACAAGACGTTTTGCTGGAATAGCAGTGAATTAATATACTTTTCCCCCAAGCTTATCCCAGTGCTGTTGTACTATAAAATTGTCAGAAATCTGCATTTTCCCCATGCGTTAATTTCCCATTGTGGTTTAATGAAAAATCTGGGCCGCAATGGCTTTGGAAATCTTTGCCAGGAAGACTCTATTTCTGGTCTTAGGACAAGGAGGAGAAAAAATGCAAAATAATTGTCTTTCTGTTCTCATACTTTCCATGCCAGCCAGTGGCATTTGCCTTTTGCAAGGAGCAAAGAGAACAGAAGAGCACTTCCCTTGACTTGGCACCCCCTCCTTTCCCCTGTTCTCCTGGAGTGTTCCCTGCTGCAACTAGGGCCTCCAGGTGAGATCTGGTTACAGGTGCAGGGAAGGAGGCAGGGAGCCAGTGAAGAAGGAGGATTTGAGGAGGAGGGGAAGGAAAGAAGCTTAGTACTTCCTTATTTCCCCAGCCGTCCTCACATCCTCCATATCCCTATTGTGATTGGAGTCACTATGTAAGCTCTAGTTGTAGGAGGAGAGATCAGGATGGAGGAGGCTAGCAGAAACTTGGCTCCCTGCCTATTGCTCCAGTTGCCCTCTTGGACTCCTCCCCACTTTAACCTAACCTCTCTGTGGAATGACCCTTGACTTATCCTTGAGTCATCAAAATTCATTATTTTGGCTTCAAAACCTGGCCTGAGGCAGATATGTGGTTGAGTTATACATGAGTTTACAAGCACTTCCCGAGTTACAAACATCCAACTTACAAACAACTCATAGTTGAGAATTTTTTTTTATTGCGTCAGGAGCGACTTGAGAAACTGCAAGTCACTTCTGGTGTGAGAGAATTGGCCGTCTGCAAGGACATTGCCCAGGGGACACCTGGATGATTTGATGTATTTATCATCCTTGTGGGAGGCTTCTCTCAAGTCCCCTCATGAGGAGCTGGAGCTGATAGAAGGAGCTCATCTGCCTCTCCCCGGATTCGAACCTGCGACCTGTCGGTCTTCAGTCCTGCCGGCACAGGGGTTTAACCCTCTGCGCCACTGGGGGCTCCTATAGTTGAGAATGAGGTGGGACAACAGAAAGGGAAATAAATCTATCTCTGGTCAGGGAAATTAACTCCTGAAAGAGTTATCATGGGGAAAAGGTGTCTCCATTGAAGCTTTATTACCTATCCTTCTTTCCACAATAAGCACATTTTTTTCAAAACCCACTTATCACAGGGATAGAAGATAAAGTGAAATCTTCTGAATGGGCACAGGCAGCAAAACAAATACCACAGGGATGTTAACCCTTCCCTATTCTATCCAAGGCATGTATATGTATATGCATATTTATTCGTATAAATTAGGTTGGAGTTGCACTTAGAAATGGTACCTGTTCTGTCTTACATATAAATTCATCATTAAGAAAATGAAGAAAAACCTAGACATGTGCTTACTGGGTTTGTTTCAAGAGAGAATTGGCAAAGAAGATGTAGAAATTTGCCAATATAGTTTTGTGGCAGCGAGAATCATAATAGCAAAATCTCAAAAGGGGGAAAAAACTGCTTATTAAGGATTGGATAAGAAAATTAGTAGAGTATATCCAAATGGTCAAGATCTCCAAAGGCAGAAAATGGAGATCGCTAGAAAATGGAGACTGGCCTTGGGTATTTCAAAAAGAAGACAAAAATAGCTTTTGAAATAGCTTAACAGGGGATTTATTAGTGCAATAATAAGGATAGATTTTGTTAGATACTAGTTCCATATGGGTAGTAATTCACAGGTGGGTATGGGAAGGTGATGGGACTGGGGAAATAATACTTGTATTTTGATTGTTGAATTTCAAAGGTTGTAAGTTTGTTTTCTTCATATATCACAGCAAAAAAATATGCAGACAAAAAAACAAACAAACCTATAGAGCCTATCTTGTTCTTTACTTGGGGACTGCCTGTATATGGTAATATCTCGGTCAATATCTAGCTTTCCTGGATATCCAACAGCTTCAATTCAGAAGCTTATTCATAGTGTAAAACAAACAGCTCTATGTGCACGACCTGATTTTCCCATTTCTCTGAACATCATGTTTCAAGATGACATTTAATTCATTGAGTTGTGACGATTTCTTGTATATGCTCATTATACAGCCAAAGATGATATAGAATTCCTAATTTTTAGTTTAGGAACCAATTTATTAGGGATATGGTTTTGAGTTTTCAAAAATAGACAGAACTGTTTCTCCTGTAAGCAGGAATTGTTCTCTGATGAAATTCAAAAGGGGGTATTTGTGGAAATCTTCACCATATTTTGTATTTGTAAAAGGTTTTTCTTCAGAAGCAGATGTAAAGCCTGTTTGAGAGCTTATTTCCTTCACTAAACTGATCTATCATAGAAAGAAGTTAAATAATGAGTTTCTAGGTCAATTTTTAAGATTCTATATTTGTTAAGGGAGATGAAATAAGAGAAGTCTACCAGGTCTTGTAACAATTTATCAGTCTGAGGCTGGATTTAACTATACGATAAAATCAGAACTTTTTGTCCTCTGTCTTTTCTTCCCCATTTTTTAAAGTTACTGAATCTTGAAAGCCTCCAGGAAAGTGTACATCAAAATATAATGGCTCTCTTAGGGAATAACTTAAATTTCATCACAAACAGAGGAATCTGATTGTTGTTTGGAGGAGTTGTTTCTTTCTTAGCTTCAGTCCTGATAAATATCAGTTCTCCAGATAGCTATGTCTTTTTATTGGAAGGAAATCTTCATTCATGGCAATGAGATATTTCTTTCTAAAGCAAATACTAACTGCTGGAGGCAGGCATGTAGCCAGGGGAGGGGGGTTGAGGGGCTTCAGCCCCCCCCCCCCCGAAATTCTCATGGTGGTTCGCGAGAAGGCCTTACTGGTACATTATTTAAACTGTTATGTTTATTAATATCATTATCTGATCACCATTCTCAATATATCCCATATGTATGGGGGTATTGGGGTACAATACAAAAGATTTGCTAGGGTAGACCCTCTTTCACCCAGACTCAGCCCCCCCTCCTCCCCCCCGGCTATGGGCCTGGCTGGAGTAGATTTTTCTATTGTGCTGAAGCAAGAAGTGAAACTATTACTTTAAAAAAACCTGCATATAAAATGTAAAGGGTGTGATACACAGCATCAACAACAAACCTGGCAAGTACAGCTGAAAGAGTTCTGAATGGTACAATCTGGTATAATAAGGACCTTGGAGTTCAACATAGTCAGCTTTAAAGAGAATGTTAAAAAGCCCAGATATGATAACTTGGTTATGTTTGGATTTTTTTTCTACCCTCAGCTGTTAATGGGCTATGAAAATGGAACTGTAGTACTCTGGGACCTGAGATCTAAAAGAGCGGATTTAAGAGTATACTATGATGAAGTAAGCCATTTGTGTTTTCTCTTAAAGTATGATCCATGTATATGTTTTGGAATAACAATAGTGGGTGAACTAGATCTGATTTCTAATATATATAGAATATTTTGTGTGTTTGTCTCAGACTGGCCATTTGAATTTATTACAAAATACAAGCCACTCAAACACTAAGCCAGAACAGACATACTAATCATCCATGATAACTGGGTTGGGCTATAGTAACTCTGGACTTTATCTCATGGAAGTGGTGAACTAGCACAATAGCAAGACTGTCAGTCACTATTACACTATATCATGAGATGCTGTAATAATTGCCAATATGTCACCTCCTTGCAATGAAGCCCACAATAGCTCCCGGTTGCACCACAATCCCAGGACCTACCTTGTACAGTGAGTCTGAGTGCTTCTGCTGTGGCATCTTCCAGGCTCCACTTTCATTAATTTTTTTTAAAAAAATACCAATGAAAAAGGAAGGAAAGTGGAACAGTGAGAGAGTAGAGTTACACTGACCATCTGAAAGGGCATCTTCCCACAGCTGCATCATTGTAATTGTCCTGTACCATTGGCTGTATGAAGGTGCCCATCACCATGGTGGTAAGCTGAGAGATAGCAGCAAGTGTGCTGTACTGGAATAAAGGTGGATAACTCCTAAGGGTCCAGGGGCCACTTTCGATCTCCACTCTCAATCTCCCTAATATTGTTTGGCTCATAAAAATAAAGAATTGTACCTATCGAAGCTTTTAGTGGACAGTGTGTCTCCTGTCATATTTTAGGTCAGAAGAAGCTTTAGAAAAAATAAGCAGTGTCTAAGTGGTCATGCCATTTAAAAAAAAAGGAAAAAGGCTTTAAAAATAAGAGTTGCTACAGCAATTGTGTTTAAATAATGAATTGCACTTCTAGTAAATAGGAAGTGAAAAAGAAATTCTTAGCTTGTGCACTTGAGAAATGTCACACCTGATCCGTGTGAAGACACCTCTCTGAAATGGCAAAGCTAGATTGCTGGGCCAGAGTTGGAAGAATTGTAATGGGTGTGGCCATAGGAGACATCAATTCCATACAGAAGAATTTCTAGAATCCCATTCTTGAGAGAGTGGGTTGGCAGAGGAGGGATGTTATATAGAATTCACCTTCCATATTTGCAAGTTTGACTTTGAAAAATTAATTATTCATGGATTTGATTAGTATGTTCTCTCCAAAAAATATCTAGGTCCTCCAGGACAACTCTATGGTTAACTTTCTTTATGAAAACATTTACATGCATTAAAATAACCACACTTTCCTCACTTGGAGTCATTTAGACATGGAGGGGGGAGCTTTTAAAATAGGAACAAAACTGTATAATTCACTTCTGTTTTTTAAGCATCTCCTGCACTTCAATTGCAGAAGGCAATAAAAAAGTAGTAGAATTGTTTCCCCTGGAAATCATCTTTCAGGCAAAAAAGTTAGGTGCAGAGAGCAAAGGGAGATGTGGCCCATAGAGCATCGATACATTCTCATCCCTGGATCAAAAATTAGACATTTTCAGGGTTGGTATACTTTACATAAATACTATATTGTTACAATTAAATTGCATATTATGAAAGCAAACACATCTTGCCAACCAGGTGTCATGTACCTTGTTGAAGGGGAATCCTACTACCAGGAAGCGCAATCCACCTTTCGAAACAAGGTACAAGAAGTGAGTTTTGTTGTTAATGCCGTAGCAGATTCAGGCTTTTAAGGTGGGCTTCTGCGAGTTCTATGTCATACAATACAGGCCTCTAAAAGTCTCCATCTCTGCTTTAGAGCTCGATTATTGAAAATTTAAGTGATAGAAATAAAGGTTTTTAGCTTTGCTCAATCTCAGAAGGGGAGTGTGTGTATGAAAGTAAGAGAGAAATGGTTTTATTGATTTATTAAATGTTCACCAAGTGTCATTATATAAAGTTCTTCCTTTATGACTACAATTTATTTTAGGCTATTCATTCTATTGGATGGCATAATGAAGGGAAGCAGTTCATGTGCAGCCATTCGGATGGAAGTTTGACTTTTTGGAATCTAAAAAGTCCAAGTAGACCTTTTCAGATAATCATTCCACATGGTAAGATGCATAAGTTGGTTCTGATACCCATTAAAAAATAAAGGCTTCCCCTGACATTAAGTCCAGTCGTGCCTGACTATAGGGGTTGGTGCTCATCTCCATTTCTAAGCCGAAGAGCCAGCGTTGTCTGTAGACACCTCCAAGGTCATGTGGCCAGCATGACTGCATGGAGCGCTGTTACCTTCCCGCTGGAGTGGTACCTATTTATCTACTCACATTTGCATGTTTTCAAACTGGTAGATTGACAGAAGCTGGGGCTGACAGCAGAAACTCACATCACTCCCTGGATTCGAACTTCAACAAGTTTAGCAGCTCAGTGGTTTAATCCACTGTGCCACCAGGGGATCATTACATTAATGAGTGTCATTAATGAAACCCATTACAGCCAGTGAAAGTATAGGCCAGCTGCAGTGTTTGACTCTTAATCATGGCTTTCAATTTCCTCATTCTAAGGAGGGCACATTGATTGTCTGGTGGGGTTTTGTTGAGAAGGGAGAATGATATGGCACACACATTATTTACATTCATTAAAAAACAACCAGCCAGGACATAACCTATGAAAATTTAGATTGGCTTGCACTATGCATGGGTAGGCCCCAGAGTTTACCCTGAAGTAAATCTGGGCATGCCAGCCTCTTTGATCACCCAAATAACTATCTAGCAGTGAAGACGACCGCACTAGAACATATCAAGACATTGTCCAAATTAATTGCCCACCAAGAGTGATCTCTTTCATATAACACAATCAATGTGTTATCTAGAAAAGCTCACTGCCCCCCCCCCCAAAAAAAAAAGAGGGAAAAGAATGCCAACCTCATGAGCAAACCTTGGACAGAACTGTAACTATATAATACTTTTTTTTTGTATCAGGAGCAATTGGCCATCTGCCCAGGGGATGCTCGGATGTTTTACTATCCTGTGGGAGTCTTCTCTCATGCCCCCACATGAGAAGCTGGAGGTGACAGATGGGAGCTCATCCTGCTCCTTAGATTCAAACCACCGACCTTTTGGTCAACAGTCCTGCCAGCAAAAGGGTTTAACTTATTGTGCCACCAGGGTCTCCAACTATATAATACTTCCGAGCAGTGAGAGAAAGATCGTAAGCTGCCTAGTGTTCAACTAAGGAAGACCATCTTGCAGCAGCTCTCTAAGGACTTCTGGGCCAGATGGGATATGCAGGGATTTGGGGATCCTTGTTAAATAAGTAGATTGCCATGTGAATGGCCATTATTTTGTAGCAAAGGCTGCTCCCCTAAGTTTACTGCAACACTCGGGACTGTGATGTTGTGTGTTAGCTAAGGAGAAATAGCTGCAAATAATTATTTGGTAACTTGACGAAAACTGTCCAGAAACACACAGTCTACTGTATTTATGCAGTGAGCTCCAGTGGGAGAATTACAGGGTGTCTCTCAAGACTTGCTTTTGTAGAAGACGCACACAACTTACTGCCATGGTTGTTCATAAAAGTGATTTGTGCAGTGACTGCATTTGTTTCGAGAGATGGCTGATTGCCATCTCTAGCAACAAGGTGAATGTAAAGACAAAGTGGTCAGTTTTTCTCTGCATTTCCTGAAGTTTACAAAAAGATTATAAAATTGTCATACTCAATGGTTCAAATCTAGAGATTATCTGTAATGCGAAAGATTACTTCTATTACATGGAATAGCTTAAAGTATTCTTTCTCTATGGTCCACAGGGAAAATGACAAAACTAAGAGTTGATGATTACATTATTTTCAAATGTGCCCCTTTAAGGGATAATAAGCTTGTTTTCAATATAAATACTTAGACTATCTTTTCACAGGTAAGATTCAACGAGATGGGAAAAAAATTGAATCTTGTAAACCAATTCTTAAAGTAGAATACAAGACCTGTAAAAACAGGTAGGTGGTTTTATTTGCCATATGAAAGCAATGAAAATAATTACTCTGTACTGGCGACTTAGTGTAGATCTGCCTTTTATCATTATGTTAACCTCTGTATTTCACTGTTTCAAAAGTTTATGATACTTTTCGTGAATAAGAAATAATAATTCTTGCATAGAGTCATTAAGAAGGTATAACCGGGGGGGCGGGGGGGGGGCAGGCTGCTTTTTGAAAAGAGGAGCCCATATGAATGAAAATGGCTGGGCTGATAGGGCATGGTTCTTTGACTAGGGACTTGGGACTCTCTTGTCCCTAACTTCAAAAACCCCAACAGTTTTACTGGCTGCTATCTATTTCCAGGTACAATTGAAAGGACAGTATTGACCTATGAAAGCCCTATATCAGGGGTCCTCAAACATTTTAAACAGAGGGCCAGATCATAGTCCCTCAAACTGTTGGAGGGCTGGATTATAATTTGAAAAAAAAATGAATGAATTCCTGTGCAAACTGTACATATCTTATTTCTAGTGCAAAAAACACATAAAAAATACAATAATTAAAATGAAGAACAATTTTAACAAATATAAAATTATTAGTATTTAAGTGGGAAGTGTGGGCCTACTTTTGGCTGATGATATAGGATTATTGTTGTTTTTGTGTGCTTTCAAGTCATTTCAGACTTATGTTGACCCTGAGTGAGGGCCGGGTAAATGACCTTGGAAGGCCGCATCCGGCCCCCGGGCCTTAGTTTGAGGACCCCTGCCCTATATGGTTCATGTGTAGGTTATCTGCAGAAATGTATTTTCCAGAATCTGCCTGTGCTTTGGGAACTGCAGGAATAGTGCTGCTCTCTGGAGGAAAAGGCCTTCTCAGGTGATGCAGGAGGGGGTCTTCTTAGTGGTTGCTACCAAACTTTGGAACTTCCTTCCTAGAGAAGTTAAATTGGCGCCCTCCCCTATACTCAAATCTTAAATATTTATTTGACCAGTCATATGACCATTTCAAAATACAACATGAATAAAAGACAAGGCAAGAATGAGAAGATAGCAGCTGACCTTCTATTTACAGACAGAATCTTGTTTTCCTGGTTCTTCTTTCCTTGATTTTATTTATTTTATTTATTTACAGCTTTTTATATTCCGCCCTTCTCACCCCTCAGGGGACTCAGGGCAGATTACAGTGTACACATATATGGCAAACATTCAATGACAATTTTTGACATACAAACATATACAGACATACACAGAGGCTATTTAACTTTTTCTGGCCGCCAGGGGAGCTGTCGCTTTCATCGTCCATCTGCGACGCTGATGAAGCACTTCCGCATTCCCCGCATGCTTCCCTGCTGGAATGCTTTGCTGGAGTCTTCTTTATGGCCTCATAAATCAGTTAATTTAGCCTCCCCACACTTTAAGGTGGTACCTTATTTTCCTACTTGACAGATGCAACTGTCTTTCGGGTTGCAAAGGTCGACAACAGGCTACACACAATTGGTTGGAAACCCACTCCAACCCGGGCTGGCTTCGAACTCATGACCTTTTGGTCAGAGTGATCTTAATGCAGCTGACACTCAGCCAGCTGTGCCACAATCCCAGTGATAGCTTTTAGAATAAAAAGGCTTACTCTGATTATGGTGGATCTTTCCTGTGCTTGCAAGAGGAATGTCAGAAGATCATTTCTGTTGGGGGACCTGCAGTTGGAGCGTGATCTACCCTATACTCTTGGTATTAATTGGTGGCTAATACTTCGAGCTCTTATAAGAAATGTTTGTTGCCACTCTGCTCTGCATTAAGCAACCAAAAAGGCAGAGAATACACTGCATTTCCAGCATTGACCAGCAAATAAATTGACTCAGTTTTGGAAGGTTTATTTTTTCCTTTTTTTAAACCTTTCATCCTTGGAAGAAAAAGATTACAAGTCAACTTTTCTTCTGCGGGGAGAAAAAACTACTTGGATAGTATCATCTTCATCCTAAATAAAAATTGCATAACCCAAGAGTACAATAATGGAGTTTCAAGAACAAAGGTCTGGAAGCCCACGGAAGACCATCTTAGGAAGCTATGTATGTTTAGCTTGGAGAAAAGAAGGCTGAGAAGGGATATGATAGGGATGTTTAAATATTTGAAAAGAGGTCACATTGAGGAGGGCAAATTTGTTTTCGACTTCTCTGGAGACTAGGACACAATGGAGAATTGGTTTAAAGCTGCAGGAGAAGAGATTCCACCAAAATATTAGGAAGAACATCCTGACGGTGAGAAATATTCGGCAGTAGAAAATTCTGTCTTGAAGTGTGGTGGAGTCTCCTTTCCTGGAGGTTTTTAAGCAGAGGCTGGATGCCCTACTGTCAGGAGAGCTTCGACTGTGTTTTTTTGCATGGCAGGGAATTGGACTGGATTACCTTTGTGGTCTCTTTGATTCTATGAGTTTTCTATTTCAAACTTTCCAGCATGTGAAGAACCTTAGCAATAATCTTGGTGGGATTTAAAGGACTCACAAGAGAAATATCACTGAGAGCTGTTTCTGAAACAAAGTTGAATAGAAGAATGGTCATTCTGTAGAAATCTTCTTCAATCTGTATGTGTTAAGACGGACAAATCTCTGAAATTCCCATATATAAATAAAGATAATTGAGATTATTCTCTTTCATCTATTTTTCGAAGTAGAGAGAAAATAATACATAAGCTTAGAATTAAATTGATATATGGCAGTGATTGTTTTAATAAACACACAAAGCCCAGAATATATAACAATATTTATTTATTTACGACATTTATATGCCGCCCTTCTCACCCCGAAGGAGACTCAGAACGGCTTACTATATATATATATATATATATATATATATATATATACACACACACACACACACACACACACACACACACACACACACACAATATATTAAGTTATTAACATAGTAAAGGGAAAGGTAGTCCCCTGACATTAAGTCCAGTCATGTCTGATTCTGGGGTGTGGTGCTCATCTCCATTTCTAAGCCGAAGAGCCAGCGTTGTCCGTAGACACTTCCAAGGTCATGTGGCCGGCATGACTGCATGGAGCCGTTACCTTCCCGCTAGAGCAGTACCTATTGACCTACTCACATTTGCATGTTTTCAACTGCTAGGTTGGCAGAAGCTGGGGCATGGACAGCTTACAAGATATATATACATACAATATAAATTATTACATAGTACAATATCAGTATTATATATTACTATATTGTACTACACCATTATATTGTAATTATTTAGTAATATTACATGTAATATAAAATATATAATTAATATTGTATTATTACATACACGGCGCTCCATGCAGTCATACCGGCCACATGACATTGGAGGTGTCCATGAGAGAACGCTGGCTCTTCGGCTTAGAAATGGAGATCCTGAATCGAAACGAAATCTCCAACGCGCCCACACCCCCCCAAGAGTCAGACATGATCTAAGCCGCTCCTCATAGGGCTTGTTCTCCAGACCCTTGATCATTTTAGTCGCCCTCCTCTGGACACATTATTATTAGTATTATATTGTATATAATACTAATACAGGAGACAAGATGGAACAATCTTCAACTGTATCGCCCTCTCTCTTCACTCTGGCCAGAGCAGCAGTTGGTGACGGAGGGGTGGGGGAGCTCCCAACAGATGATATAGGATGAGATATGTTAATATGGAGAGATATTAAGGGTACACGCCATTACTTGAGCTGTGCTGGTTGAGGGGCTAATAACAACAATAGGTTTCTGGCAGATTTTAAGATATGCCTCCATATTATACTGGTAGGCTTTAAGATGTGCCTCCCCAGCATGAGATATTAGCTGCCTTGTTTTATAGGCCTCATATGTTCAAAGCAGAAGGTCTCAGTATTTCTGCACAAAAGAGTTTCACACTGCAATGCTGGGCAATAGTCTTATTTAATTAAGTGACAGAGGTGTGAATAACAGGAGACAGTATTGAACTAGATGAGCAAGTAATCTGATTCACGTGACTTCTTTAATTCCTATTTAATAAGAATTCAAACTTTACAGTTCAAGAATACAGACAGTCCAAATATCCGACTTATAAATGACTCATAGTTAAGAATTTGAGTGAGAAAACAGGGTGAGAGAAATCTACTCTTTGGAAGGGAAATCCACTCCTGAAAGAGTTATTATCATGGAAAAAATGGGTTTCAGCTGAAACTTTATCACCAATCCACAACAAATCATTTTTTTTCCAAAATTCAGTTATCACAGGGACAAAAAGTGAGGTGAAATCTGAACAGGGATAGAAACAACAACAACAAAAAATTACAGAGGTGTTAACCTTTCCCCATACTATCCAAAGTTTTAAAGTTGGCTGCAGTTATACTTAAAAATGTACCTGTTCTGACATACATACAAATTCAACCTACAGAACCTATCTTGTTAGTAACTTGGGAGCTGCCTATATTTGAATTTCAATGCACGTCTTTAAAATTTAGTCGCTTTTTTCTTTGGAGTGAAAGCAAATACAAAAATGTAAAAATATTCCTGTTTGTTATTATTTTTCCAATGCAGTGAACCTTTTATAATTTTTTCTGGTGGACTTTCTTATGACAAACCTTGGCGGAGACCAAGTCTAACGATCATGCATGGAAAAGCAATCACAGTGCTTGAAATGGATCACCCCATTGTTGACTTTTTAACACTCTGTGAAACTCCATATCCAAATGGTGAGTGTGTGTTACAGTCTGAGTCACTGGTGTGATACCAAATGCTCATTTCTACTCCTGAGGTAACAAGCAGACTAAAAGTGTGTGCTAAACCTAGAGATTTTTCCATCTTCATGGGATTTCTGTGAAGTCATCTGTGTTAGAACAATATGCCAAGTCCATTGAATGTGTGGAAACAGAGGTCTTGAGCCAATAATGGCCACTTGGCACTGCACCCCCACTGTCCTGCTGTGCCTCCACATGTCATGCTATGACATTCTGGGTACCTTACTGCTGATCCCAAAGTGGTCCTTCTTCATTGCCACTCCTTCCATCTTCTGTCCTTAGGAGGTTTTCATACCACGCTTCTTGGCCCCAAAGGGAAGCCTATGGTCCAAAGAGGAGCCACTGTTTCTGCTTGCCTTTGGTCACCTTGGTACTCAGCTACACCTCTGTATGAAACAGAGTTGTTAATAATAATAATAATAATCATCATCATCATCCTATTTCATACATATCCATAGCAAAATGGTTGTGCTCAAAAATTACTTCTGCCTGTGTAGCAATGGAAATGCTAGAACTAGTTTCTTGTGGGTGTATTACCATACAATTTCTAGATAGAGGTGTGAAAATTCATTTTTCTTACATTTCTCAAGGACCATCTATGCAGGCTGAATGAGCCAACATATTGTTGACTAAATCAGGCCTGTGCCCATTTTTGTATATGTGCATTTTTAGATGATGGTTTTCTGCAACTTTATTGTCACCAAAATTCACCATAAGTCTCAGAAATATATAGATGTCCAAGGAAAAATCAGTTTCATTTTGCTGCCAAAGTTGAAAAGTGTGAAGGAAATATGAACCCAGTGAATTTCTTTTTCATCCCTGGTTCCAGAACAGATTGTACATTCTCACACTAATTAAAGGTTGAAGCTATATTTATAAGCGAACCTTGTGGAACATGGAACTAAACGTATTACCAGAATAACATGATTTCCAGGCAGTTTCATCAGTGTTCCAAATAGGCTTACCTATTTGAATTATGCCATCTTTCCAACACCAAGATAGGAAAAAAATAAATGCTTTTTCATCTCAGGCAGCATTCTTTAACCTTATTGCTGATGAAGCATATTCATGTCAGTAAAATTATTTAAATATGATGTTTTCCAGTTTAGAAGATTACTGTCTTGCTATTCAGGCTTCTGTTAGAAGACTTTCATTACGAGAATATTCAGAACTATGGCTATGTAATAGGTTTGGAAATATATTTATAGAGTGGAAAGAAAAAGCAATCAAGAAAGGGACTTCTCAAGGTGAATCCTCTTCAAGCTCTTTTCTCATTTTTCTCACAATCCTCAGATAGACTCAAGGACACTCTAACACACCTGCATCACACTAATATTTTTCCAGTTTTCTCCTAATAGGACCAGAGGCCAACAGAGAACAATAATGGTTTCTGGAAAAAAATGTTTTTTTTCAAATACTAGGCACATATCAATATCCACATCATTGTGAACATCCTATCAGAACATAGGTAATAAAGAGAATTATCCTATTTTGGCTGCCCTGTGCCCCTCTGCCACATCAGGGGTGAGGAATCAGGACTGTGCAAGGCTATTGCCTTCCTAATCCTTGCTTGGCTTCCACCCTCATGTCAACATATGAGTTGAGCAAAGATTACCAAAGGCTATAATCTCCATGAAGCTCATTTGCCCTCTTATGTTATGTGAGAAGTCAGCAGATGAGAGAAAGAATTGCCAACGGCTTTAAACTTCCTTGCTCACCTTTCCCCTATCTTCCCAATGGTACAAGGGAAAGTAGAAGTAAAAAATACGTGTGAAAAACTATAGCTTCCATAATCCTTGCTTAACACTCCTCCCGGCATCAGGCCACTATATGATGGAGAAGACAGCGGAAGAAGGTAGGAGATAAGGAATTTATGGTTAGAGTAACAAATGGAATGGGGTTTAATCATTAAGGACACAAGAAATAGAGGAAATAATTAGAAACATGAATAAAATAAAAACAGAAAAATATAACGAATTGGAAAAAGGTGGTATTAAGATGGTATGGAACTCCATCCTCTAGCGATCACCACATTGAACAACTGGCATATATGGTAAAAGGAAAGAATTTGAAGTGTTGGCATTGTAATAAAGAAAAAGGTACTTATGCGCATATGTGGTGGGAATATTCTGAAATAAAAGAATTATTGCAAATGATACAAGGAAAAATTCAGGAGATATAGCAGATAAAAATTCAAATTAATATTGATTTGCTACTATGAGGAGTGTTGGAACACCCAAGTATAAAAACCAATTGCAGGAGTTATATAAAGTAACAATAGGAGCAGCACATGTGGTGATCACTAGAGGATGGAAAGACAAATCGAAATGGGCATTAAGCAATTGGAATGATTATACGTATGATCAAGTGCTGTTAGACATTACATGAATTATGACTAAGCAAGCAACAAGAAGGGACAAACAAAAGGTCATTACAAATAGATGGAAGGTCTATTTCAACTAGGTGAAAAATGGAGGAGCCAACAATAGCATCAAAGAAAAATATAAAGACTTTACCAGTGGCTGGATCTGCAAGATTAGTAGGAATATACTATGGTTGAGGAGGAAGGGAGGTAAAAAATATAATATACACCAGTGTAAATTAACATAACACCATTAATATTTGTTGAATTGCTTGGGATTTATGCTTGTAACACTTTTGCTGATTTGTGTTTATAGCATAATAAAATATGTAAAAAAAAAGTGAGTGGGCACATTTGCTTTTCAAGATGGTCTTGTAAAGGGTAAACATTCATGAAATTATTTTTTCACTTCTGTGGGAACTAATAATATAAAATAACACATCCCTACTATATAATTTGGTTTTATTTCATGTCCTGGTTCAATAATATTGATGCTTGATTTTTGATTCTTAGAGATTCAAGAACCCTATGCTGTAGTTATACTGTTGGAAAAAGATCTCATTGTTGTTGACCTGACTCAGAGCCAGTAAGTATTAATTCCATATAGTGCTACTACTTAATCATTTGAAGAAAAGGCCATATTTTTTCACCCTTTTATTTCAAATTAGGGGATATAGAATATATTTACAAAATCATATACAAAATGTATTAAAATAAGTATGATTTATGGCCATCAGTGCAGAATGAAATCCATATTTAATATAATGGCATACCTTCAGCTGTTTGTGACTTGCACACTCTTTCCATGTCTATTTTTTCCTGATGACTAAACTGGATTGAGGTAGGAAAGAAATGTCATTTGGGATTAAGGTTTTATAAGATTAATGTATTGATTCAAATCTACTTGCCACTTTAAAATTTGACTATTTTTATTACTCTCAATCAAGATGTTGGGGGATTACAGATGGATGACATTATTTCATTCATCCTTTTTATACCCTGCTATTTGGTCCAAATTTAAGATGGTTTGCAAGAGGAATTGCAGCAGAATGCCAAAAAATCTACTTAAAATTTTACAACACCATTAAAAGAATAGTAATAAAGTGGACAGAGACCTACGTCCTACGGAAGTAGTAATTCTCTGTGTGGGCTAATCCACTTTAGATTGCTAGGGAAATCTAACATGATTGAATGCTTCTGCAAACAGCAATTAATAACAACAAAAAACCACCTACCTGCAACTAAGCAACCAGCATGTTAGAACAACCAGGTAGACTTCTTCTCCTTGAAATTTGTGTGAAGGGATTTCTCATACAAAGGAACCTTCCATCATCTCAGTTGCTGGGGGTATTTAAATGGGGTGTAGTTTTCTCAGTGTAAACAGGTTTACTTCATCAGTGAAAATCAGCTAGAGATAGGATAATTAGCAAAGGACTGACAGTATCCACCAGAAACAATTATTTACAGAGCACCATGGAAAAAACTGTGGCTGTTACACTAGTTTAGATGCCATTTACATTTTTATATGAATTCATTATTTGAAATTAAGAATACATCTATTCTTCATTAGGTTTTTTAAAAAATGAAGTTGTACACCTGAAATTTCAGAAATATGCTCTCAATGTAAATAGTGCTCATTATTTGTGATTTGTTATATTTTAACTTTATTGATTGCATAAATTTCTATATATATGAATCATATGCTAATACAATCCCATAAAAATCTTTTTCAATTAGTTATCCAATTTTTGAAAATCCTTATCCCATGGACATTCACGACTCACCAGTTACCTGCACACAATATTTTGCTGACTGTCCGCCAGATTTGATTCCTGTGCTATATTCTATAGGCGCTAAACATAAGAAGCAAGGATACAGTAGTAAGGTAAAAAAATATATTGAATCAGGACTAGTTAAGATTATTTGTTGTTTATTTATTGTAATGTTATTCTTTTGTGCTAAATCCAATTGCTAACCCCAACCAAGCACTGACTCAGAGATAACTTGGTAAGGGAATGCCTATAGCAGGGATCCTCAGACTAAGGCCCGGGGGCCGAATGCGACCCTCCAAGGTCATTTACCCGGCCCTCACTTAGGGTCAACCTAAGTCTGTAACGACTTGAAAGCACACAACAACAACAATAACAATCCTATCTCATCAGCCAAATGCAGGCCCACACTTCCCATTGAAATACTAATAAATTTATATTTGTTAAACTTGTTCTTCATTTTAATCATTGTATTTTAAGTGTTTTTGTACTATAAATATGTGCAGTGTGCATAGGAATTCATTCATGTTTTTTCAAATTATAACCCGGCCCTCCAACAGTTTGAGGAACTGTGACCTGGCCCTCTGGTTAAAAAGTTTGAGGACCCCTGGCCTATAGAATTCCCTTTGGTTTAGTGTGTTTATGTTAGTTGTAACTAATACTAACCATGCTTATGAATAGTGTGGTTTAACAGTGATTATATTAGTTAATGTTTTAAATGTTCTGATGTATTTTATAATCCTATAAAATACGTTTATTGTATTTTTTATGTTATTTTTTAAACATTTATTGTAATTTTGCATTGTTTTAATGGCATGAAATAGCTGCCTATGTTGTAAAGCCGCCTTTAGTCCCATGTGGGGTGGAGAAAGGCAGGGTAGAAATGGCGTAAATAAATAAATCCTTGGATTTCAATGTATTTGATTTTTTTGGGGGGGGGGGGCTGCTGCATATACATAGAATTTTTTTAGACACTTACTTACTTAGGCAATTCCTCGTAACTCAAGGATGATGGTCCTTTAGATGTGGTGTCTACATGTGGTTCCATCGGAGCTGTGGAGCCCTATTCTTGATCCGCATGTTCTCCTGCAGTGAGGACATTGGTTTCCAGGTGGAAGGCGGTCTCAGTCAGGGTTGACTTGATGCTCCTATCTCTTGGCACGTTTCTCCCTTTTGGCCTCCATTTGTGTCTCTTTTTTTAGACAACATAAAATCTGAAATATCTGAATCAAAGTATTCCCAGGTTAGTGCTGGAAACAGGTGATGATAATGGCTTGATTACCTCTGTGCTCATCATGATCTGTTTTGGGCAGTTGAGGTGGAGCAGCAGCCATTTTAAATAGATGCTTACTGTATAAGCATCATGAGACTGGTTGTCATTTTTAATAGGTGCTCACTGTGTAGGCCATGCCATTCTGGCTAAAATGGGTGAGGAAGGAGTTATGGCTGACTTTCTTTCTCGTGGGTAATGTTTATCTTGGATGGCCATAGGCACATTAGTACCAACATCATCAGGGGTTGTCATAACAACACCTACCACTCTCACATATACCCTCCTCCTTGTGTCTCTCTAAGCTTTAATTGTGCTCCTATGTTTTCCCCATGACTTACTAATAGATTATAGCATAATCTATAATTTTAACCCCAAAGCCTACCCTTGACTTAAACATGAGTTTGGCTTATGCATGAGTATATACTTTTTATGTTATTTTGTTTATTTATTTAATCTTGTAAATAATTTGATTTGTCTTAAACATATCTTCACTATGTTCCAGTGGCCCTGTGTAGAACAAGCCTTGAGGCATAATGAGCTCCATGTGTTCTAAACCAACATTTATTATACTATCTGATATGGTGGATTAGCTGGGGTTTTCCTCAGTGACCAGCAGCATATTTGTGCCTATTGACCAATTCTTTCTTTCTTGGAAACTTGCCATGGATTGGCAGCCAATTACTTGTAGGCTAGCAACAGGCCATGGATCACCACTTTGAGTATCATGGTTCTAAATATAATAATTTTTGATTAGGCAGTTAGAATTTGAAAAGTGTCTTCTTCTCTGGAGCAGCCTAGTGTGGCGCCGAAAGGGAAATGGGTAACTGTGAAACTGGCTGTATTATGCCTTATGGCAGGTTTTTACAATCTGTGCTTCCCCCCCCCCCCCCCCCCGGTGTTCTGGACTTCAATTCCGCAGAACACACTGCTCTAGACACTTTGAGATCCACTTCCCCACTTTTTGGCAGACTTTGTAACTGCAGAGAATCCCTAGAATTGGCCTGTAGACCTATAAATGTTTCTCATTCCTTCTGTAATGCCCCAGCTGCTCCTGCTCTGTATCCAGCCCCTGACACTAGCAGAATCCCACCCACTGCTCTGATTCCTGAGATTGCTGTTTTTCTACCCACCATTTCCTGGCATCGACAGAGAAAAGGAGCTTTGGATTAGGAGGATTAACAGAAATTTTCAGATTTGGTGTATTCTTATGTAATAAAACTGAAAAGTTTATGAATAGAGACATAGCTTTATAGATGGAAAACCACAGTGAACAATCCAGGTACATTGTATAGGAAATTGAAGTACTGTGCCAAAAATATTCTTATCAACCTGAGTACCTTTTAAGTACAGAATGTATTCTGCAAATTGATGTTGAGTGTATCACATGCCAGTGTCTGCTTTCATTTCCTAGTATAAACATAGCATTTCAGCTATATTTCTGCTATATCTACAGAGCTGAGATGAATCAAATTTATAAATACAAAATATAACATTTCCGCATGCTAAATGTAACTTCTGTAATGTAATTGTTCCATTTGTGTTTAGGAGTGGCCAGTCAGTGGAGGAGCATGGAACCTAGGTGCACAGACATATCCTGAAATAATTATTACAGGGTAAGGAAATTATTATTATAAGTTGCTAGTCATTTCAGCAGTGGCCAGTGTATTAAGCTGGCCCAATCTCATAAGCTTATTGATCCAAAATCTTGCTTGTGCTAATTTGAAGCCTAGTGATTTTCCAACTGGAGAGCTTTTTCAGATAGTTCACAAATTACTTAATGCCCACCCCAGTAGTCAGAACCCAGTGTATCCTCTGTTTAATGAGGAGTTAAGTGTGTCAAGGAAGAATAACCTAAGTGCAGGTGCAAGAAAGCTCAAGATGAAGCTAGCTAAACTTCACTTAGGCCCCTTCTACACTGCCATATAATCCAGATTATCGAAGTAGATAATCCAATATCTGCTTTCAGCTAGATTATATATCTGCTTTGAGCAGTACAGAGCTAGATTATATATCTGCTTTGAACAGAATTATATGGTGGTGTAGACTCATATGAGTCTACACCACCATCAGGGGTGGCTCATCCACTACGCAAAGTAAGCAGTCGCAGTACACTTTTTTTTTGCCAGGGGCGCAGACGTGCCTCTGTAAATGCCCCTCGACCACCACTTGAGGAGCTCCCCCTCGGCTCACAACAGCCCTAGCAGTCCGGGGGAAGCCTCAGCAACCTATTACGCAAAGTAAGCATTTGCAGTATAGTTGATTGTGCCCAGGGGCGCTCTTGAGGCGCTCTTGGGGGAAAAATAGACCTTGACATATGCGAGTTGTAGTTACTGGGATGTATAGTTCACCTACAATCAAAGAGCATTCTGAACTCCACCAATGATGGAATTGAACCAAATATGGCACACAGAACTCCCACGACGAAAAGAAAATATATATCAATGATTGGTTGGGGGGGGGGGCCAAAATACTGTTTGTTTACCATTGAAAATTACCTAGGGCCGCCTCTGACCACCATATAATTTTGTTCAAAGCAGATAATCTGGATTTTATATGGCAGTGTAAAAGACCACCTGAAGGCTTGTTTCCTGATAGTGACAAGTGAATCTAAATACCCTAAATTTGGTGATCCAACTGATCGTTGTCATATGGTCCAGTATTTTGTACAATTAGGCTTTCTAGGACAGCTATCTAGGACTAGCTATCCTTCCCAATTTTGTATCATCTGCAAAATGCCAGTCTGTTGTTGTAGATAATTTATTTCAAAGGTGTTATGACACCTTTGAAATAAATTATCTACAACAACAGACTGGCATTTTGCAGATGATACAAAATTGGGAAGGATAGCTAGTGCATTGGAAGTTTGGAACAAAATTCAAAAAAACATTGACAATCTAGAACAGGGGTCCTCAGGGGTCGGATGCGGCCCTCCAAGCTCATTTACCCGGCCCTCACTCAGGGTCAATTATTTGAAAGCACACAACAACAACAACAACAACAATCCTATCTCATCAGCCAAAAGCAGGCCCACACTTCCCATTGAAATACCAATAAGTTTATATTTGTCAAAATTATTATCCATTTTCATTATTGTATTGTTGTTTTTTGCATTACAAATGAGATACATGTAGTGTGCATAGGAATTCATTCATGTTTTTTCAAATTATAATCCGGCTCTCCAACAGTTTGAGGGACTATGATCTGACCCTCTGTTTTAAAAGTTTGTGGACCCCTGATCTAGAACATTGCTTATTAAACTGTGGGTGCCAACCACAAATCAGATTGCCTTAGCTCTATGTTGGGGTCCCAAAAAATTTTTGCCACAGCAAAACCTTTCTGAACTCCACCTAAACATTTACATAAACATGTTAGTGTTTACAATGGACTCTGCTGAAAATGTTTTAGCTGTACTCCATAAAAAGAAAAATCTGTCTGTTTAGCAAGCTTAAAATGCTGATTTGTTATCTGTAAATGTTTAATTTTTATACCTATTTTATATACCTATATACCTGGGGTTACTTAAACTTTTCTCAGGCCAAAAGGGATCACAAGTGGAAAAGTTTAACAAGCCTTGATTTACAGAACTATACTGAAATCAATAAAATGAAATTCAACAGAGACAAACTAAAGATTCTGTATTTTGAACCAAAAACCTGCATGGTAAAAGGTTGGACTGGATGGCCCGTGTGATCTCTTCCAACTCTATTATTCTGTGATTTTATGGTTTTAAACCAGGGGTCCTCAAACTAAGGCCAGGGGGCCAGATACGGCCCTCCAAGGTCATTTACCTGGCCCTCGCTCAGGATCCACCTAAGTCTGAAACTACTTGAAAGCACGCAACAACAACAACAACAACAACAACAACAACAACACAATCTCATCAGCCAAAAGCAGGGCCACACTTCCCATTGAAATAAATTGTTCTTCATTTTAATTATTGTATTGTTTTAAAGTATTTTTTGCACTACAAATAAGATATGTGCAGTGTGCATAGGAATTCATTCATGTTTTTTTCAAATTATAATCTGGCCCTCCAACAGTTTGAGGGACTGTGACCTGGCCCTCTGTTTAAAAAGTTTGAGGACCCCTGTTTTAAACCAAAGGTGGAGGATGCTTAGCTCAGCAATACTTTATGATGACTTTGGGATTATTGTTGATCATAAATTGAACATGAGCCAGTGGTGTGATGTTGCATCAATGGGGGAAATATTCTTGTAGCCTGCATAGCTTCCAAATAGAGGGAAATAATATATTCTGCATTTGTCAGGCCTCATCTGGAGTGCTGAGATCAGTTCTTTCAAAACATCTTACATTTAGTACATAATAATGCTGTTTTATCTATACTCCCTGATCTATATCGTAGTTTGTGAAGCATCAAATAGGCAGTGGTGTAATTATATATTCATCAATTGCTTTTAATAAGCAGCAGAGGAAATCTCTCCCCACACACATACAATATTCCAGTCTCCCATGCAGCTCCTCCAAGGTTCCTACATATGCATATGCATCTCCATATGCTTCTTTTCAGACCAAGCTTTTTGTCAGACTGCTGAACGGTACCCTCTTTGCTTGGAGTTCTAAAGGTCCCCACAAATAAACCTGTCGTCTCCAAGCCCTGCACTCCCAGTAGCTATCATTGATGTCCTCCACATCTTTCCTTTCTCCTGCCACAGACACTTTATTTGCTAGGCTCCTTTTCCTCCATCAAGATATTTTTAAATACCTATTTCACCCTTGCATTTTACAAAGTTGGGCTATTGTTTTTAGTGTGTTCAGAGTACTAGGAATTCTACAGTGTTGCAAAATATAAAAGAGTTATACTTTGGTTTTTAAATTGACTTTTAATCTATTTTTTTCAAGCCATGCAGATGGATCAGTAAAATTTTGGGATGCATCTGCCAGTAAGTTTCTAAACATAATTTTTAAATGTTTTAATGTTACAGGTTAATGTTTTAATGTTTAATACTGATTAATAAGAGCCTATTTAAAGAGAGACCTTGTGATGTTTTAAATTGGTAATATCTCAAGGATGGAAAGATAGTCACAATTATTTATTACCTATATGATGTAATTTTTTTCAAGCAATGAAATCAACATGTATTTGTTTATAGGCCAGGATGGGGCAGAAAGGACAGCAGTATGAAGGCTTTCAGAGCTCATCAGGACAGCACAAAATAAAATACAGCAGATAGAAAACTGATTATCAGCATTCTCCCTCTCTCTCTCTCGATCTGTCTCACACACAAAATGCATGGACATAGGGATCTTTGTTTATGTACACTGTTTTCTGAATTGTTTGAATTATTTTTGATTTCCTTTGGGAAAAATCTTTGTATGTCATAGAAAGTATGTCAATAGGAGTGTGATTCACTCTTCTTATTGATGGCTCCCACCTTGCATTATAAAATGTGGCATTTTGAGAAATGTGTGGGGAGGGTTCTCATGGTTGGGATGATTCATCCTCATTGTATCTGTATAGTACCATCTCCATGCTCTTTGCAAGGAAGAGAGGGAAAGTGGAGAGTGCGGTGGGATGGTGGTACAGAGGACAAAACTGGGTTAAGAAGATTAAAGGATTCAGCAAGTAGAAGGATGGGTGAAAGTGGAAACTTTATTATTATTCTTTTATAATCAATGTTAATTAGAGGACTTCATGGGAAGAAGGGGAATGGCACCTCACTGTGCATGCAAATGTGAATACAAATAGGTTCTTTTCAGTGGAGGTAAAACTGTAACTGTAAGGTTAAAGGAAGGGAACTTGAAATGGCAATAATTCCAAGTTCCCATTTTTCTGCCTTACCAAATTGTTAGCCCCTTTTCAACTTTTAAAAAGATACAGAATTCCTTATCTTGAAATGCTGCTCATCTTTTCATAAACCAAGGGCATCAGGGGCCTGTTTTTCCATTATGCTTTAAGCATGCTTTTGATCATCTCCCAAATCAGAGAACAGATAATCCTAGTGATACACTCTGTTCTACTACATTGTGTGATATTTCATCCCGCTGTCTTCCAATACTGGGGAAAACAAGAACTGTGTTTTTACAAATTATTCTGCATTGATTTATTCTGGAGACATATAGTAGGTGACTTTAATATTTTCTAGTTACACTACAGATGTTGTACAAGTTGAAAACCTCAAAGGTGTTTGAAAAACAGAAGTTGGAAGGAAAACCAACAGCAGAAATTGCAGAAGAGGATCCTTTCGCCATCCAGCTGATGTACTGGTGTCCTGAAAGTAGAATATTTTGTATAGCAGGAGCCTCTGCGTATGTTGTTGTTTACAGATTCAGCAAGCATGAAGTTAATCCTGAAATATCAGTAAGTTTGCATGTGTTTTGTCCATGTGGGTGGCTGAGATAGTGACACCTGATGGTTCAGTGCAGATTTTGTTTAATGCACATAATTCTTTAAAACATTGTATGTAAAATCACCTTCACATATACCTATGTTTATAAAGGGGATATTAAACAAACACATTTCGTGCTTAGACTTGGGGCCCATCTTCAAGATATCTCATGATATAAGTATATGTATATATAGATATTCCAAAATCCAAAAAAATTACAAAATCCAAAACACTTCTGATCAATCATTTTGGATAAAGGATACTTTTAAAAAACTTCATGTACTGTAATTCAAATTCTGCATTTTAAATATAAATAAAACTCCAAATTAGTATAGATTTAATCAATTTCATGATAATGGTTGCAATAACCAGTCCCTAAGTGCGTTATTGTTGGAAATGAAAAAACTAAAATAAATGACAATGGAAGCCATTGAAATACACAAGCATGTGGACAATTTCAACAGAAAGGAGAAAACCATGAAAATGAACAAAATCTGGCTACCAGTATTAAAAAACACTAAAATTGCAACACATTAACAACAGAGAGGAAGCAGGCAGGGACATCTAATTACCTCTCAACAAAAGTTTGCTCCAGGCACAGTCAGCCCATTGTATGCTAATCAAGGGGGCCAGTTGAAACATTCACACCTAGCTCCAGCAGACAAGAGTCCTTTGTCTCACCCTGGTCATTCCACAGATATATAAACCCTTTTTCCTAGTTCCAATAGACCTCACTACCTCTGAGGATGCTTGCCATAGATGCAGGCGAAACGTCAGGAGAGAATGCCTCTAGACCATGGCCATACAGCCCGAAAAAACCTACAACAACCCAGTGATTCCAGCCATGAAAGCCTTTGACAATACAATTATTTTATGAAATGAAATGAAATGAAATGAAAACATTTTTTTCCTCACCTTGGTTAACTGTGTCCAGGATCAAAACCACAGAGAATTTGCTAGATTTATGTTGTTCTTCCTGTTCTATCTGCAGTTTTACACATAGGTTTTTCAGAGCTACATTCAAAATGAGAATATTCACAAGAAACTTGCACCCTTGTAGCTGTTCTGAGTGTGCTAAACATTTTTTACCATCATGTATGCAGAATGTACTTGTACAAGAATAGCTGATTCAGAACATTCTGTGTCCTTGCCCCAATCCCATTTTAACCAGCTATTGCAGACTGCCTGGGACTTAGCAAAATGCATGGCTCTTTTCCCTTATTGCCTCATCATTGCTGGAGTTGTAAGCTGCCCTGAATCCCCCTAAGGGGGTGAAAAAGGCAGAGTATAAATTAAGCACATAAATAAATAAGTAAAATAATGCTCCGTAGACCAGTGAATGTCCAATCTTGATAAAATAGTGAAGAGTAGAGACATCACACTGGCAACAAAGATCTGCATAGTCAAAGCAATGGTATTCCCCGTAGTCACCTATGGATGTGAGAGCTGGACCTTAGGGAAGGCTGAGCGAAGGAAGATAGATGCTTTTGAACTGTGGTGTTGGAGGAAAGTGCTGAGAGTGGCTTGGACAGCGAGAAGATCCAACCAGTCCGTACTTCAGGAAATAAAGCCCGACTGCTCATTGGAGGGAAGGATAGTAGAGGCCAAGATGAAGTACTTTGGCCACAAAATGAGAAGAAAGGAAAGCTTAGATAAGACAATGATGATGGGGGAAATGGAAGGAAAAAGGAAGAGGGGCCGACCAAGGGCAAGATGGATGGATGGGATCCTTTAAGTGACTGGATTGACCTTGAAGGAACTGGGGTCAACAGGTGACGGCCGACAGGGAGTTCTGGCGCGGGCTGGTCCATGAGGTCACGAAGAGTTGGAAACGACTGAACGAATGAACAACAACAGACCAGGGAATGATTTTTCATCTGGACTTTTCTAGCCTCTGAATGATGGCATGCTTATTTTCTATAGTAACTCTGCTACTATCAACTGGGACATCCTATATAGTGAAATGGGAAGCATTTGGCACAGTCATGCCTAACATAGAGGGACCTGCCTGCCTTTTCAAAGCAGAAGTTTGTAAACTCTATCAGTTAATGAAAATTTAAGAGTTCTGCTATGTAAGGATGTGGTTGATAGTTGTCCACGTTTTTTGCTTCCCAATGCTAAGCACTTCATAAACAACTATTCAGCGCATACCTCTTCAAGCCACTTGCCACACTCTTCCTCCCCCCTTCCCATCCCTCATTTCTTCTGGAAGATCATGCTTCTGCTAGTTTTAACATTTACTAAGAGAGCAAGCAAATGATGTACATTCCAGCATGATTCACCATCTCTGCTTCTGGAAATGTCTTCCAATTAGATATTTTACTTCTCACTCAAATAGTGTCCTTTGTTCATTCATCATTGTTCTGATTTTCTTTCCTAACCTGTCAGTCCGCATACTTAAACAGATGACCAGGAACAGTTGTGTTCTCCTTGGACAGAGTTATGATCTTCAGGGAAATCATGAGGTTTTGTTTGACTGTGCGAAGAAATCACTGGCATTCACAAGCTTTTCAATTCTCATGCTAATGTTGATATTCAGTCAGTAGCCTTTATTTCGGTCAACAAACCATCGGCTAAGTCAAGTGAAAGTAGAATGATGAAATACAACAATAAACAATTAATAACATCACATTTGGCTTATAATTAATAAAAACAAGTATCACCATTCGCTATCGGATGAATGGCTGTCTATATAATCTAAAACAGGAACTGATTGCAAGTTAATAATAAGTCTCCCGAGTACTCTTTGTTACACTCAGCCTTTACAGGTTATTCATGAAGCACTTGCGGCTTTTTGCCGCTGCAAACAGAAATTTGGCCACCTGTTCCGTTACCCTTTTATCAAGATCAGACAGTAAATAAGTGCAGTACCAACTTAGGGATCTTCCTGGCCACTTGGTGAGTAGAGGGGATATTAACCTTAGTCTATCATCCTTGTAAATTGTGCAAATAAAAAGTACATGTATTACAGTTTCAATTTTACCCTCCCCGCATGGGCAAACTCTGTGTTCGTAATCAGTCCCTTTGTATCTACCCTCTAGTATGGCTGATTTGAGGGCATTGAATCTGGCCCAACTGAAAGCAAGGCGAAATTTTGGGATGTTTAAATTTTCTAAGTATTTGGCACCTCCCAAAGAATTAAATGTTAGGCCTAAACTCAATGGAGAGCATGTGGAGCGTGCCAGAGACATTGAGTCCTGTTTGTCTATGTCACTGATCCGTTCTGCTAAGATCTGCATTAACTTTTTATGCTCAACACTGCTCAATATATTCTCTGAGAGGCCCATCTGCCCGAGTTTCTGATTTAGCGCTTTGATTCGGTGGGATTTAAAGAGGTCTTTTTGAATCAGATATGTATATCCCGCTTCAGGCCCTTTGTGCACCCTCTCCATCCAGTATCCTAGGGCCCTTCTCCAAGCCAGTGATTCGAGTGAGGCTGTTCCTGATTCCAGTCTTAAAACAGCAGATGGAACACAACTGGGGACAGCAAACAGTTTTCTAAGAAACCCTGATTGAACTTGTTCTACTTTAGATGTGAAGCCTGTGATCCATACCGAATTGCGTATAATAATTGGGCTGTTACCTTTGCTTGGAAGACCTTTGTTGCTGCTGGTATATACTGGCCACCTTTGGTGTAAAAAAAGCGAATTATTGCTTTACTACTGGATAGGGCATTTTGAACTGCTATTTTTGGTGGCATCCCCAGGAACCTGAGGCTTGAAAGGTAACCCCTAGATATTTAAAACTGGAAACTTGTTCAATTAAGTTATTTCCTATGTACCAGTTATGCCTGGCTCGCTTCTTTGAGAAGACCATGATTTTGGTTTTACTATAGTTTATCTTTAGCTGGTTTTTTTCACAGTATTGGTAGAATGCACTCAGCACTCGCTTGAGTCCTACCTTGGTGTAAGATATGAGGGCAGCATCATCTGCATATAACAATAGCGGTATATTGGTGGATGAAATTTTAGGGGGATGTCCATTTGGTAGTGAGACATGGGTGGCTAGGTCGTTCAGGAATAGGTTAAACAGAATAGGGGCCAGGATGCACCCCTGGCACACCCCCCTATTTACTGCTATTGGTTTTGAGAGGTTGCCTTGTACTCCACATCTTACTTGTGTTGAAGTGTTTGAATATAAGCTCTTAATTAACCAGAGCAATCTTTTGTCAATTGTGGTCTTCTGTAGTTTTTGCCATAGTAAATTTCTTGGAATAGAGTCGAAGGCAGCTTTTATATAAGCTCTTAATTAACCAGAGCAATCTTTTGTCAATTGTGGTCTTCTGTAGTTTTTGCCATAGTAAATTTCTTGGAATAGAGTCAAAGGCAGCTTTTAGATCTATAAACGCGGTAAATAGTCCTTTGTAGGGAGGGGCTTGGTATTTTTCTGCTAGGTGGCTCAACACGATACAATGGTCTATGGTAGACCTCCCTTTTCTAAAGCCTGCCTGTTCCTCACCTATTACTTTTTCTGAGTCTAACCAGTCTAGAAGCTTGCTATATAAATGGCGAGCATAAAGTTTGCCCACCACCGAGAGTAAACTGATGTTGATATTTGTACTCTCTTGTTTGAGGCAGGTTGAGGTCACAGTTCTTAAAATCATGTAAGAATGGTGGGGGCTAAGAATAATGGGAAACCCACATAGTTTTGGTCTCCAATTTTTATCTGCTAGTATTGTCCCAATGACTGGGTCACGAGGGATCTTCTTCTGGGAGAACTATTCTGAGCTTGCCACCTTCTTGCTGGGAACTGCTCCAGCTCCAGTAAGTCAAACTGGTCACCTATTTCTAGATGAACCATGAGTTTTAAAAACTGCAGTCTTGTATATCACTTGGGAGTAAATTCAACTGAAATGGCTGAGTCTTGTTTCTGAGTAGGCCTGTATAGGATTGAACTGAATCTGAATTGCTAGCTCTGCATTTGTATCTATTTCCTAGAACTACTGAAAGTGACTTTTATTTATTTTTATTATTATTTCTTAAAGTAACAGTATTTAATTGTTTTCTTTAAAATAATTTAAATATTATTTTCTCTTTTTTCCTAAGTGTTTAGAGGTCCAACTTCAAAGTGAGATAGAAGATAACATTAGTCCAGAGGCAGAAGTGATTCCTCCATTTCCAAATGCCTCCTCTCACCTTTCATCTTTAAAAGATCTCTCAGGCAGTACCAATACTGTAGCATCTGAAGGAATGGTGAAGGACAGTATCCCATGTCTCAGGTAATGAATTGTAGTCTTGTTGAAAACCGTACCTGTTCTTCCCCCTGTCTAATACTGCAAACAACTTTGCAGTCTTTGATGTGCCATGTTGTTGTTGTTCATTTGTTCAGTCGTTTCCGACTCTTCGTGACCTCATGGACCAGCGCACGCCAGAGTTCCCTGTCGGCCATCACCACCCCCAGCTCCTTCAAGGTCAAGCCAGTCACTCTATTCCGCTTTGGTTAGACCACACCTGGAATATTGTGTCCAATTCTGGGCACCACAATTCAAGAGAGATATTGACAAGCGGAATGTGTCCAGAGGAGGGCGACTAAAATGATCAAGGGTCTGGAGAACAAGCCCTATGAGGAGCGGCTTAAGGAGCTGGGCATGTTTAGCCTGAAGAAGAGAAGGCTGAGAGGAGATATGATAGCCATATAAATATGTGAGAGGAAGCCACAGGGAGGAGGGAGCAAGCTTGTTTTCTGCTTCCCTGGAGACTAGGACGCAAAACAATGGCTTCAAACTACAAGAGAGGAGATTCCATCTGAACATGAGGAAGAACTTCCTGACTGTGAGAGCCGTTCAGCAGTGGAACTCTCTGCCCGGAGTGTGGTGGAGGCTCCTTCTGTGGAAGCTTTTAAACAGAGGCTGGATGGCCATCTGTCAGGGGTGATTTGAATGCAATATTCCTGCTTCTTGGCAGGGGGTTGGACTGGATGGCCCATGAGGTCTCTTCCAACTCTTTGATTCTATGATTCTACTTCAAGGATGCCATCCATCCATCTTGCCCTTGGTTGGTCCCTCTTCCTTTTTCCTTCCATTTTCCATTTGATATGCTATTTGGATAATAAATATCCAAACAAAGTATGTTTTATATTTCTCTTAAGCATATTGATAGACCTCGTAATAATACCGCAATAAGAAATCAAGATTTTTTTTAATATTGTTGAAATGGAAACTTGAGGAGCTCTTCTTGATAGTGTGGTATTCTAAAGAAATGAATAATGATCAATAGGGATATGTAGCAGATGCAATAAAGAAAAAAAATGTAGAATGCATGTAACAATCTTACAAATCTCACTCAAAACTACCTAAAATGTATCCCCAAATGATGGATATAAGCATCCCCAAAGTCAAATTGTCCAGTTTATGAAAAAAAATGATTGAAATGAAGGCGTGTGGGCATCCTACATATGTGTGGGTGAACGAAACAAAGTATGTATATAGTTCTGAAATTAACTTGATTCAAAATGTCAAGAGTTTTTTTTACCCTGTTTGTTTTATTCATGAGAAACAGCCTTATAGATCATATGTGCACAGAAGTTCTAGTAGTCATATAAATTTCAGTGGATCAAATACAGAGACATGCAAACAGATTTTTACAGAGATCAGTTCAGTTAATATGAATGTTCTTTTAGAAGAAAAAGGCACTTCCACTGGCATGTGTGCATCATAGTTAACAACTGAAATTCTTAAATGGAGAGATATGCCGTAATCATGTATTACTGTACTATGTGTACCTTGATGGCTTAGTATAAACTGAAAACCTGAGGTGGAGAAAGAGAACAATGACAAATCATTGGAGGCAGAGGATCTCAACTTCCTTACTTCCTTCTCCCCCCTCCCCTTCTTGCTTTTTTCTTGACGTGAGATTATGTTAACATCTAGTGTATCCAGGGGAGCATTTGCACAATTAAAACTTGTGTGCCAGCTGCGCCCGTACCTTGGGAAGTCTGACTTGGCCACGATAGGCCACGCTCTAGTTACATCCCGCATAGATTACTGCAATGCGCTCTACGTGGGGTTGCCCTTGAAGACTGCCGGCAGCCAGGTTGCTAACGGGAGCGGCACTCAGGGAGCATACCACTCCTCTGTTGAGCCAGCTCCACTGGCTGCCAATCTGCTACCGGGCACAATTCAAGGTGCTGGCGTTAGCCTATAAAGCCCTAAACGGTTCCAGCCCCACTTACCTCTCCGAACGCATCTCCACCTATGAACCGACTAGGACATTAAGATAGTCCGGGGAGGCCCTGCTCTCGGTCCCGCCTGCGTCACAGGCACGGTTGGCGGGGACGAGGGACAGGGCCTTCTCGGTGGTGGCCCCTCGGCTATGGAATGCCCTACCTGTAGACATCAGACAGGCCCCTTCGCTGCTGGCGTTTCGGAAGAAGGTCAAGACCTGGCTTTACGAACAAGCGTTTGGCCAAACAGTGCAACTGAACACAGGATGATGGTAAAATTGAACTTAGGAAATGGTACAAGGATTACGAGAATGGATTCTGATTTCTTATTGAGGCGTTATGAATTGTTAATGATTGTTTGATTTGTCTGCTGTATATGATGTGTTTTAATCGCTTAAGATATTGTTGTGACATTATTGATATTGTTGTGATAATCTTCATTATGTAAACCGCACTGAGTCGCCTTATCAGGCTGAAAAATGCGGTATAGAAATAAAACAAACAAACAAATAAATAAATAAATAGTGCTCTGCAGGAAGCTTTATCATCCATTAATCCATTTCTACTCATATTGTTGGGTCATAATTTCTGTTTTCTCCTTTTCTCCTTAGTGTTAAAACACGTCCTGTGCGAATGCCTCCTGGTTACCAAGCAGAGCTTGTTATCCAACTGGTCTGGTCGGATGGAGAGGCCTCCCAGCAAATAACCTGTCTAACTGCAAACTCTGCTTATGGAGTGTAAGTTAACCCAGTATATTTTCAGGTAATAGGTTACATTGTACTGAAAAAGGTTGTGTTTGTGTTTGGACTACTTTATATTTAAAAATTGATATGAAAGAGCCTGATGTCTTTTTCTATGGCTCAGCGATGTGTATATGTTGTGTTTCTAATCCACTCTTCCCATTGGCTCCATATCCAGCCAGCGTAGTTTAGCTGTCTTTAAATAATTCTCTTTGTCTTTCTGTAGCCAGTGATTACTACAGTACTATTAAAAGAACACAATATAAACAGACTGAGTATCTATTAGCCAAAATGCTTGGGACCAGAAGTGTTTTGGATTGTGGATTTTAAAAAATATTTTGGGATGTCTATATTTGCAGATATATATATAAAAGGAGATGGGACACACATCTAAACATGAAATCCATTATTTATTTATTTACAGCTTTTATATTCCGCCTTTCTCACCCCGCAGAGGACTCAGGGCGGATTACAATGTACACATATATGGCAAACATTCAATGCCAATTTTTGACATACAAACATATACAGACATACACAGAGCTATTTAACTTTTTCTGGCCCCCAGGGGAGCTGTCGCTTTCATCGTCCATCTGCGACGCTGATGAAGCACTTCTGCATTCCCCGCATGCTTCCCCGCTGGAATGCTTTGCTGGAGTCTTCTTTATGGCCTCATAAATCAGTTAATTTAGCCTCCCCACACTTTTTTAAGGTGGTACCTAATTTTCTTACTTGACAGATGCAACTGTCTTTCGGGTTGCAAAGGTCGACAACAGGCTACACACAATTGGTTGGAAACCCACTCCAACCCGGGCTGGATTCGAACTCATGACCTTTTCGTCAGAGTGATCTTAATGCAGCTGACACTCAGCCAGCTGCACCACAATCCCGGTGCTTATACACATAGCTGAAGGTAATTTTATTCAATACTATAAATATTTTTAAAATATATATTTTGCTATCATAAAAATATGTGTGTATATAAAACATCTCGTAAGAAAAAAAAAGCTTTCTAAAAAAATCAAGACAATAATAGAAAAAGCCAAAATATTTTTTAAAAAACAAAACCCAGAACCCCTGGCACTTCTAGTGGTATGTTTTTTTGATTAGCCCATTGTCCGTATCAAAACATTTGACAAACACATTTAACACATATTTATTTATTTCATATATTTATATCCCGCCCTTCTCCCCCCAAGGGGGACTCAGCGCGGCCTCACATGAGCATCAGAGGATGCTAACCGCATAAATACCATAAAAATTACAATTCACAATGAAATCATTTTAAAACATTATACAACATCATCAGTAAAATTTAACAATAAATTAATAGATTAACATACTCATTCAGCATACAACCCACAGTACAACATAAGTTAAAATAAACGAGGTCCCAATCCAGATCAAATATCTGCATCACCTCTAAAGTTTACCCCAATCAAATCTAGATATGCAGTTCTCAGCTGTGTTGCTTTAAATAGAAAAAAATTGCCATTTTGTATGTTATTTTAGCAATAAAAATGTAGTTTTAATATAAGGATCCCACTGTATAAAATATAATAATTAAAAACTGTCCAGATTTGAACAGATAGATACTATGGTTAAACATGGAAGGTTTAGCCAAGTTCCATATAATGAACATTTCTGTATCTGTGGGGCGACAGAGGTAGAGGATATTACACATGTACTGTTTAGTTGTATTTTGTACAACAAAGAGAGAAGTCAACACCTCGGACCATTCTGTCAAGACCCAGGCAGACCAATGAGGCAAAACAGCCTAAGGGTTAACAAAAGGAGTTTAATGGCAATTAACAAGTCAAATGGCTCTTATCAGCAGAGCTTGTAAACAAAAGAGCCTGCGGCTTGCAGGAATGTAAACAAAGCAGGAGCCCAGGCAGTCTGGGCAGAAAAAAGGAAACTGAAGTAAGGCAGGCAAAACAGTTCGTGGTTAGAATGGAATACAGTCAGTTCAAAAATCACAACACAAAAAGCAGTATGAGGAACGGTCCGAAGTCCACGCAGGAGACAGGCAGAATTGAAGAATAGTCAAGACGGTCCAAGGTCAGGGCAGGAGACAAGACTCACGGTTCCAAGCCAGGCAAAGTAGTCAGCACGATCACGAAACACGATTCTGGATGCAAGGACTCAAGGCAAGAGTTAACAGCAGGATACACAGGTACACGACACTTTGAACTCTGCAACATGATAGCCCCAAAGCTACTCCTTAAATCCCATCAGAGTCGCTGGATTCGCCTCCAGGTGCATCCAGTTCCACAGGTGAACTGCGTTCCCTCCATTGTTGCCAGTCTGCACTCCGGGCTGCATCCTGAGAAGCAGTATCCGAAACCCATGAGTCTGTGAACCCTTGGAACTCCCCACTGGAAGTTGGAGCATTAATCACATCCTGAACCTCCTGGACCCTAGTCCAGTCCAGCTCTTCATCATCACTTTCAGACCCGTAGCTATCTGCTATGTCTTTAAGACGCTTGGAAATGGATTCCTCATCACTATCTGAACTGCGTGCTACTCGCTTTACACCACGGTAATCCTCCATCTCCATCTCCTCATGAGTAAACCCCTGAAACTCTTCCTCATCACTAGATTCTAGGAACATGTCCCTAATGCGCTTCAGCTGCTGCTGAGCATCTTCCTCTTCCAAGCCTCGTTTCCTCCTACTAGCACTAGTAGATACAGAAGGCATACGCTGAGTTACAACACATTCATTATACAGAAGACCCACTGGGATCCCCATATCAAACCAAATTCTTAATGGCTGGTCAGAATGCTAAGATAACACACCAAACAGCCCTTTTCCTTCATAAAGCAATGCAGCTGAGAACTGCGTATCTGGAGGCAATTGGGATAAACTGTAGGGGTGATGCAGATATCTGAAGTGGCTTGGGATTGTGTAATAGCTGGTCTATTTTGTTTTAATCTTCGTTTTTAATTTTTGTGGCTTGAAATTTTACCTTGGCATTTTAATGATGATATTTTTAATTATCTTTTAACGTAATCAAGTTTGAATGTATGTTAGTTCACTATTATGAGAGTCTTAGGATAGTGATTATTGTCTATTTATGTGCGTTTCTGTTTTTGTTTTTAATGTTGATATGGTCACTGGACTAATCAATAAACTTTGCTTTTAATAAAATAAAATAAACTGAAATATTTTTTAAAAACCTCAAAAACCTCTGGCACTACTAATTCGAGACGTATCAATAAAACGTATCTACTAATTCAAGGGATAAACATACACCTTCCAACTTCCCAAGTAGTGGTTATAATTATCATATATATCTTCCAAGAAATTGTGTTAATTAACTTCTATAATACTACAAAATTCTACTATTCTTCAAATCCTAATAACTGCATTCTACCTCAATATTGTTTATAGTAAGCAATTACTAAATCCCAGTTTTTAAATACTTGATAATGATGTATTTTTAATCAAAACTGTCAACTTGTCCCAACTCTGCAAAGTATTCAAGTTTTATCAGCCCATGGAGGAATGGTAAAAGGATGTGATGGGACATAGGGCAGGAATAACTGCAAATTAGATGTTACTATGTAAAGCAGTGATGAGAGGTGTGTGGTTAGTATTGGACTGCTACTCAGCTTCCCTAGCCAACTAAGCCAGTGATCAGGAGTCTGTGAGTTGTAGTCCAAGTACATCTAGAGGAATAAACAGGTCTTCCCCTGATGTAAACAGACATAATTGAGCTCCTGTCTCGATTGTAATATGTCTCAATTGGCACTCTTCAATTTTGGAAGAGATAATGCCAAAAGACAATGCTCTTGAGGGCTGTTTCTTTTCACAGAGTTGCATTTGGAAACTCCAGCAATTTGGTTGTTGTGGATTTTATACAGAAGACAGTCTTGCTAAGCATGGGAAGCTTTGAACTGTATGGATCAAGTGATTTGTTTCAACGCCAACCACGTTCTCCTCGTAGAAGCAAACAATTTGCTGCAGGTAGGAGATCAAATACGATGGGGATATCGTTTGATAGGCTTTCCTCTTAGTGCCTGCAGCTTTTTGATTAGCATTGAAATGCATGCCTGAATGCTAGTTGAAATATGACATACATTTGCTGAATGCTTTTCAAATACCAATTCTTTTGTAATGACAAAAGATGGTGACAGATCAGTTTGGTATCTGCAGAAAAGTTACTTCTTAAACTTATCTATAATAAGGATGCAAGAGCATTACAGGATCAGATGAAAGGCTTATCTATAGCTAACATCTGTTCCCACAATACTCAACCATCTACCTATAGAAAGTCCACAAGAAGTACATTACTGCAGTTTCATTCTCCATTTCATGTTCTCTATTAACTGATACATTTCTTCTGATACTGAAAGTGATAAAGAGCTGATCAGATTAGAAACCCTTTAGTGGCCCTAATTAATGCATTTATTTCTCTGCTAAAACTAGTTAGGTTAACAGGTCTCAGTATCTTGTGGGAATTTGTGTTTAACCATGCGTTTTGTATAAAGTAACATCTCTTTATCAATCCTTCAAACTACAAGAAAGGATATTCCATCTGAACTTCCTGACTGAGTGCTGTTCAGCAATGGAACTCTCTGCTCTTGAGTGTGGTTGAGGCTCCTTCTTTGGAGGCTTTTAAACAGAGGCTGGATGGCCATCTGTGAGGGGTGCTTTGAATGCAATATTCCTGCTTCTTGGCAGGGGGTTGGACTGGATGGCCCATGAGGTCTCTTCCAACTGTATGATTCTATCATGACTCTCCTCTCATTGTATGATTTCAGTGGATGGTTCTGAGTTATAGAATTATGAGAGAATTGTGGGGGTTTTTCTGTCACCCCCCCCCCCTTTCTCAGCCAATCGGTGACTCAAGGTGGTTATTTATACATGGTGATCATGTCTCCTCTCACCCTGCTCTTCTGCAAGCTAAACATGCCCAGCTCTTCAAGACACTCCTCATCAGGCATGTAGCTGGGGGAGGGGGGGCTTGAGGGGCTTCAGCCCCCCCCCTGAAATTCTGTCTTTCTTTTTAGAAGATGTGTAGAAGATGGGGAGGGTCAGTATGTTAATTTGAGTGTTAGACTAGGACTTAGTGAGGCCAACATTCGAATCCTTATTTTGCATTGAAAACTCACTGGGTGACATTTTGGCAAGTCACATTCTCTCATGCTCAAAGGAAAGCAAGGGCAAACCTCCTCTGAATATTTCTTGCCAGGAAACCTATGATAAAGTCATATACTGTGGGCCAAAGTAGATTAAAATCATAACATCAGCAGTAGAAGACGGGCCTTAAAGTATCCTATAGGAAGCCAAATTCATTGGCTAAAGTCTTAGGTGAACCTTTAGAGCAGGGGTCCTCAAACTAAGGCCCGGGGGCTGGATACGGCCCTCCAAGCTCATTTACCCGGCCCTCGCTCAGGGTCAACCTAAGTCTGAAATGACTTGCAATCACACAACAACAACAACAATCCTATCTCATCAGCCAAAAGCAGGCCCACACTTCCCATTGAAATACTAATAGGTTTATATTTGTTAAAATTGTTTTTCATTTTAAATTATTGTGTTGTTTTTAAGTGGGTTTTTGTACTACAAATAAGATATGTGCAGTGTGCATAGGAATTCATGGGTTGGTTTTTTTTTTTTTTCAAATTATAATCTGGTATTCCAACAGTTTGAGGAACAGTGATCCGGCCCTCTGTTTAAAAAGTTTGAGGACCCCTGCTTTAGAATAACATTTTGCTGAGAAAGGCTTACACAATTTTTACAAATTCTTAAAACAGACAACCTGGTCAAGTTATTCAGAAAGGATATTACATCTAACATGCACACACCCCCTTGTCATTTCTCTCTCATCTTTCCCACTTTTTTAATTTCAAATTTGTCTTCTGACTAGGAGGTCAGAAGTCTCAAGCATACGTGAGAACTCCAGCTGGGCTTAAATAGATCCTGGTTGTAGTATCATTTCCTTTCACTTTGGACTGTTTTGTATTTTTCTCTTTCCTCTGCCTGCTGACGATGTTCTGGCATGTTCCACAGACAACTTTTGCATGCGTGGCCTGTCTAACTTTTATCCAGATTTAACGAAACGGATCCGTACATCCTATCAGAGTAAGTTTGTGTTAAGATGGTGGCTTGTCAAGATTGATGGCTTGTCAAGTCTGGTATGTGAATTTATATGAATCTGTTTTTGTTCAGCTTGCATGCTGTCTTTCCCTTTTGGAGTGAAACATGAAACATCTTTTGTTGTGATTGTGTTATTCATCTCATCATCCTTAGCTCTGACTGTGTTTCCTGCTAAAATAGTGAGGAAAAAATGAACACCCATGAGAATATGGAGTAGATTATTCCATCACATTGCATTAGCTGAAACGTTTTTAAATTAATACAAAAATAGTAGATTTTCTACTGGCTGTTTCATTCTGAGAGTCAGAAGCTGTCAAAACGGGCATTTACAAGAATCCAGGGACCAGAAAATTATCCACCATATCATAGACATAGGCTTATGTTACTGCATTAAGTGTGGGGCCATCTTTAACATTTTTAACATGTATAGTCATGTGTCTGAGAGCTCTGCCCCTACACATAGTTCTAAGACATGTCTACATGGGTGTCTAAAAGGTTTTTGCATGTTTTCCACACTTTGGGTCCGTTTGTGTATGTTTGCTGCAATTTGACGTGTCTTGTGCTTGCTGATCCCTCTTTTCCCTCCCACTTCTATGAAATTGGGATTCCTCCACCAGATGAGAGATAAACTATTGTTTGCTGTTGCACGTGAAGTGGGGAAGCTGTGGGTTGTTGTAGGTTTTTTCGGGCTATATGGCCATGTTCTAGGGGCATTCTCTCCTGATGTTTCGCCTGCATCTATGGCAAGCATCCTCAGAGGTATTGAGGGTACTTGCCATAGATGCAGGTGAAACGCCATATAGGCCGAAAAAACCTACAACAACCCAGTGATTCCGGCCATGAAAACCTTCAACAATACATTGGGGAAACTGTGGTTTGCAAGCCACAGAATGGAAAACAGTGTAGAAATACCAAAAATATGTGTATAAATTTGGAGGTTAACCCACTGCAGATTAACATTTGCTACAACATACCATTTTATTATTCACAAAAAGCTTCAGGAAAAATTGTTCTTCAGCAACAATGCAGTTGAATGGTACTGATTGGCAACTGTCATATCCAGCAATTATTTTATTTATTTTGAACAGACTGCATTGACATTAAGTAGGACTAAGGCTTTACAGTTTCATGGCTTTTAGCAAATAATCAAGAGTAATTACAACACACTGAAGTAGCTTTTAAAAGAGTTTAAAAATAACTAACAGCTTGTGTGACAAAATTCAACATCTGTTCAGTTTTTTCTGTGTTTGTCTGTGTGCCTGAACAGGATTTCTAGGAGAGTCTGTGTGTTGCTAGTATGTTAAATAAAGATACAAGAAACCCCTTCAAAGGTGTCTGTGGCTTTTGTCCTCTAAAATGTTGGTACCACTGATCATAGCTTGGCCTTGCCATAATATTAATGCCATCTTTGATCTTCAGTTTTTGTTAACCATTGCAGGGATGGAATATCTGGACATCTACAACTTAGACTTTGGTTTTAAAAAATCCAAAGATGGGGTGGGAAATCTGTACGGAAGCATACCCTTTCTCTTTTTTACTCCTTGGGGAAACTGAGGAACGGGAACTTTAGGAACATGTTTAGAAACTATTGAGGAGGTGCTCAGGCAATAATAGTGACAGTAGTATTCTTGGAAAAACATAGAAGGCAGTGTAATCTACAGCAGGCAGCAACACAAGCCACAGAAAGAGGAAAAGTGTGCACAGGAGCTTTGAGAACGTGCCTTCGGAAAGGAGTGTGCAGTGAGATGGAGGAAAGAAGTGATGTTGATTGTACACTACAGTATGACCCCCCCACATCTTCTGAACTAATATTCAGGCAGTCTCTGGGTTATGAACAAGATAGGTTATTCTTAAGTTGAAACTGTATCTAAGTTGGAATAGGTACATTTGTATGCAAGTTGGAACAGCCTAGACAATCATACACTGCTGGCTGGTACATGAGGGGAATGACACCACCTCTCAGGGTGTAATGCTCAGTGGCAAAAATTATTATTATTATTATTATTATTATTATTATTATTATAACTTTATTTGTACCCCGCTAGCATCTCCCAAGGGATTCGATGCGGCTTACAACAGGCCGAAGCCCACACAATACAACAATACAGTACCTAGCAAATAAAACAGTTAAGCAAGAACAATAACAATAGCAGTACAACAATACATTATTAAAACTGAGCCGGCCAGAGTAGGGGTACAGGATTAAAAGTGCTGATGTGTCGGAGGGATATGGGATTATACTATAAGTGCGGTGTGCGGTGTGCGGTGATCTTGGTTCTAACTAAAGTGCTTCTGGGATTTGGGATTAGGAACTGGGGTTCCTAGTCTGAAAAGGCACATTGGAACAGCCAGGTTTTCAAATTCTTCCTGAAGACTGCCAATGTAGGGGCTTGTCTGAGGTCTTTCGGGAGGGCATTCCAGAGGCGGGGGCCACCACAGAGAAGGCCCTGTCTCGTGTCCCCACCAAGCGCGCTTGTGACGCGGGTGGGATCACGAGCAGGGTCTCCTGATGTGAACGTGTGGGTTCGTAGACTGTGATGCGGTCACGCAGGTAGGGTGGTCCCAAACCGTTAGGGCTTTGTAGGTAAGCACCTGCACCTTAAATTGGGCTCGGAAAATAAACGGCAGCCAGTGGAGCTCCTTAAACAGGAGGGTTGACCTCTCTCTGTAATGGGCCCCAGTTAACATCCTGGCTGCTGCCCGTTGGACCAATTGGAGTTTCCGAGCCGTTTTCAAGGGCAGCCCCACGTAGAGCGCATTGCAGTAATCCAGTCTGGAGGTGCACGTTTTGTAGTTTGGCTTAAAAAGCTGTGCATTACAGTTGCTGCATGCTTACAACAGCATCTTTAAAAACAACTAACACTTTTGTTTTTCTGCCAAAGCTTCCAGCAATGGAAAGGAATACCAGAGAAATAGGCAACCCTTCCTTCATGGAGCCTCTCCTCTTGTCTCAGCTAACTTGGAATGCATCTATGCTGTAGAATGAGTGCAGCTTGACACTACTTTAACTGCCCTGGCTCAGGGCCATGGAGTCCCGGGGTCTGTAGTTTTACAAGGTCTTTAAGCTTTCTTCCAAAAAAAAAAGCTACTTCATCAAACTACAAATATCAGGATTGCATAGCCTTGAGCCACGATATTTAAAGTGTCAGACACGAAGGAAAGGAAAGATGCGGGGAGAGATACAGACACAGAGGAAAGGAAAGTGGGGAGAGATGCAGATACACTTTGGCTCAGCACTAAGATTTTGTGGAGTGACTGATTTTTTGATGTAGAGTCCAAATTGACATTATTCTTTACTTCGTTTTCCAGGCCTAACTGAACTATCAGATGGTCCAATTTCATTGGAGCTAGAGCGGTGTAAGTCCCCCACAGCTTCAGGTAAATGTAATTCAAAATCTCAACAGTTTGGGAGAACCTTTTGATTTCTTAGTTTGTTTTTTTATAGGGGAGGGTTTCCAGTGAAGAATATCTTCTGACGTCAAACATGAGACCTTTTATTTGTTAGGGAATAATATAACTAAAGAACTATATTGTAAAAACGATTACATTCTCTATTGCTTTTCTGATAATCCTATCACTCTTGGAACCACTGTTCCCTCAAAACCATTAGTCCAAGAAAGTTGTTTTGTCTGAAGCCAGATGGGTTTTGTAGCTGAAGTGTTGTCATAAGTGGGTCTGCCAGTTTAAGTGGTTTTTAGACCAAATAATTTCATTTGTGCACAAAATTTTGTTATTTATTGCCTTCAGGACAAAAAGGCTGACATCCTATTAGTACATTGTTGTATATTATAATAAGTAGGTTATTTAATTAGATTATTTGGGAATAAAAATAAACCCACCAAAAACAGAAGGCTGTGATAGAAAACTGGCAGTTTCTTCCTGGCCGAAAAACCCTTTTTGAAAGCGCACTGGCACCCACCCACTTAGAAGCACTGATAAGCCCTTGGCTTACTTGGGGTATCTTGTGAAAGAGTGTGATGATTTTAGCTCTCAGGCTTGTGTTACTGAAGTACTCTGTAAAGATCTCTAAAACAAACACTGCCACCATTTAGTTCTTGTTTTCTGCTTAAAGCTGCTTTTGAACCTTTGAGCACAGAGGCACACTTGAGTCAGATGTAATGAAAAATAAACAATGAAGTTTATTTACAAGAACAGGAACAATTCAGGTACAAAGCTTGGCTGTTTCAGAGATTTGTCTTGAAAGCGTGTTGTTACATAAATAGTTCTGACTTAGTTACACAAGAAACTCTCCTTTCTCCCTCCACACAAGAATACTGACAGGATAGTTTGTCTGACAGTAATTCTTAAAGCAGCACAGATAGTCCTAACCTGGATCTATCTTTCTACTTCCCAGCTATCTTCCTCATAGCTGTTAACTTCCTACTAGTTATCCCCACTAGTAACTCTGGCCAAACTCAGGCCTTTCTCTCTCTCTAACTCTCTAATCTCCTAACACCCTCTTCCTTCGACACCCAAGTTCAATCTCCTCACAGGGGTTTAAAAACCTCTCCTTAAAGACATTTTTTCCTCTTGCCAAGTTAGGCTCCTCCCACTCTAACCTAGTCAATCACATTCCTTTCTCATTTCCCTCCAAAGCTGCTTTTACTAAGAGTGACCAAAATGGAATCCTCTGCCACCCTTTCCAAGATGGCTGCCAAAACCCTTGGGCCTACTTCTTCCTAGGCTTTTCTAAGCCTAACTGGTAGTGGATTCACTACATATATCTGACTACGATATCATAACTCACTGTTTTGGTCATTGCATGTTTTGAAATTCTATTTTCCTTTGGTAAAACGTATACAGCTGTAGCAGAATGCTCTGCAGGGAGCCCCCAAGGGATCCCTAGATATATTCTTCTTAGGGAAAACTTGCCATACATTAAATATTAGAAGAGCATTTCAGTTTAATCCAAATCGTAGCAGGATAAGTATGCTGGGCAGGAAGGTTTCTGCTTCTGTATTGTCTCAAGAGTTAAAAGAATGGTGCAGAATTCTGGAGAAAAATCCTTCCCTTCAGCAGTCATGGCAGATTCCCTCGGAGCAGCAGCTAGGGCTGCTGGCTTTAGGGGCAGTGTTTCTCTTGAGGAGACTTGTAAGGTTTCATTGCACAATGTCACAAAGCATTGGTGAGAGGTGGATAAGAACAAAGGCTGAGATGGGCTGCTTAACACTCTTCAAACATTTTAGATAACTTTGCCCACAATCCCTGATCATTTAGCACTCTGTCTGGGAACTTTGGTCCTAGCTACCACTGCACTTTAAGATAAATGTATTTTTCCGTTCTGGATGCTGCCAGAGATGTATATTCTTTAGCATATTGATTTGTAGAATGAACACAGTTGGCTAATGAAAGGAGAACGGGACACACATTTCTGGAGAAATGAGGAATGGTACTGCTTCTTGTCTATTTCAAAGGCTTTGGGATGCTCTCCTGCCCCAAATTATACAGAAAACAAGAATTTCCAATAAGAATCGTTGTTTCCCCAACTGGCAGTATGAATATGTCTACAGAACCCATTGCCTCCATACATTAGAGCAATGTCGTAGTTGTGACCTTTTGTAAAGGCACTCAAGACTTGGCTGTTTGGTTGTGCATTTAAGTAATCAGATCTAATTTGCCAAATAGTCACTGTTGAATGTTATTATGTTGAATGTTTTTATATTGTTGTAAAGAAGTCGTTAAACTGCTGCCACCAATTGTAAAGAAGACCGTTTTAATGCCACCGAATGTGAAGGTGCGAGTGGTAAAACACCCACTGCCACCTAATCTATGAGGGAGGCCAGGCAACGATCAATATCAGCCTAGGAGCTATTTTATAAAGGGACTGTGAATTACAGAAGGCTTTGTTCAGTGGATAGCGTAACGTTTACTTTCCTGGCTTGACTTTACTATTGCAGGCTGTTCAACTTAGGAGAAACTGTATCAGGCAAGGCTTGAGGAAAACAGTAACAAGTTTATTTTAACAGCAGTATAATAAGTTTAACTGTTTCTTCAAAAGAGGCACAAATCTTGATGGTTACAATAGTAATGTTTCATGAGTAATCTCAGGCACAGTCTTCAAGAAGTTTCTTTAAGCAGATGTAACCCTTCTGGACAACTGCCCTAATATAACAAATAAGCTAAAAGGCTTATTTTAACAGAATTCCCTATAGCACACTGGCTACAGACACATTCCCTGAATCTCCACCTAGAGACTCAGTGTTCTCTCAGTAGCTCTCCGGCCACTGACTAATTCCCTGTTTCTCCCACTAGAGAAATCAGGCCCTTCCTGTAGCTCACCGGCTTACAACTACATTCCCTGAATCTCCACCCTGAGACTCAGTGTTCTCTCAGTAGCTCTCCGGCCACTGACTGACTTTTTAAAACACAGCTGCCTCTGAAGAGGCAGTTGGCTCCGCCCCTGTTGCTATGGCAACTCAGCTAACACCAAGCCACCCTCTCCCACAAAACATAATCTCCCATACTTACCATCCCTAAACCACTGTCCAAACTACACATAACCAAAGAAATAAAACTTACACATCGTCACAATTGTGTAAATGCTATTTTAGATTGTAAGTTGCTCGGAGCACCTTGGTGGAGAGCAACTAATTAAGAAATAAAGTGAAGTGAAGTAAAGTGAAGAATATTGGGGGAGATTGTTAAATGGTTGCACATTGGATAATAATATGTAATTTACCTGTAATCTGATTGTGCCTTCATATTTTAATGTCTCATTACAGATCCTGTAAATGGGCACTGTACAAGCCCGACTTCCCACAGTTGCAGCTCTGCAAAACGGCTATCCAGTGCAGATATTACAAAAATAAATCGCTGGGGTCCTGGAAAGCCTCCATTTAGGAAAGCACAATCTGCAGCATGCATGGAAATTTCTTTACCTGTCACAACAGAAGGTCAGTGTCCATAGATATATGCTGTTACGCACCTTTAAAAAAAAAGAAGCAAAGTATGCACTCTTTATCTCTAAGCTTATTCTATTCCAAAGTCCATGCTGTGATAATACCTTTCTATGGCAAACAAGAATACTAAAATTATGTGTTAACTTCTGTGTTTATCAGATGTGCTTATTCAAATAGCTTGAACCCAAAAACCAGTCCCTTAAATTGTGCCTGAAAATCGACTTACAGCCATTGGCGCTATTACAACAAGGGAGTCACGTGTTTCCTGTAGTCAACCCAAGTTAGCATTCTGGCTGCAGTTCTGTGTACCAGCTGAAGTTTCTGATAACTTTTCAAAATCAGTCCCACGTAGAGTATGTCACAAATGGAAAATAACCAGGGCACATACTACTCTGGCCAAACCCTCTCTCTTAAATCTCAGTTCATTGTAAACTTCTTTGTACATTCACCCTTTAGAAACTTTCTACTTTTCCTCTTCATTGTAATTCCTTTCAATTATATCGTTAATTTTTCAATTTTTAGAGACAATTTCCTTTAACTATTTCTAACCATGGGATCTTACCCAGTATTCCTAAAGTTACCGAATTAGCTTAAAGTTCAAAGTGTGTGTCATATCTAGCTTCCCTTTTCTTCTGATCCCAAAAGAACGTGGTCACTCTCATGCAAAATTCCCTCTACATTCATTACATTGATCAGGTCATTCCTCTTGGTTAATAGTAAGCTCATGAGAATTGGTCCCATTCTTGCCTCCTCTGTTTTCTGGACAATGACATTTTCAGCAAGTGAGCAATTTCTTGGACCTTACACTCTTGACTTGAACAGATGTCCGAGTTGTAGAAATCTCCCATTACAATAATCCCTATCCTTTTTGAACATTTTGCCATCTGTGCTGAAAAGGCATCACCCAAATCTCCAGTATTGTGATTCTATAGTATTTTGCAAACTTGGTAGTTGATTGACCAGTATCTGGCCACTTGGAGTGCCTCTGGTGTTACTATAAGAAGGTCCTCCATTGTGCATGTGGCAGGGCTCAGGTTGCATTGCAGCAGGTGGTCAGTGGTTTGCTCTTCTCCGCACTCGCATGTCGTGGATTCAGCTTTGTAGCCCCATTTCTTGAGGTTGGCTCTGCATCTCGTGATGCCAGAGCGCAGTCTGTTCAGCACTTTCCAAGTCACCCAGTTTTCTGTGTGCCCAGGAGGGAGTCTCTCATCTGGTATCAGCCATTGATTGAGGTGCTGGGTTTGAGCCTGCCACTTTTGGACTCTCGCTTGTTGAGGTGTTCCAGCGAGTGTCTCTGTAGATCTTTGAAAACTATTTCTTGATTTAAGTTGTTGACGTGCTGGCTGATACCCAAACAAGGGATGAGCTGGAGATGTCACTGCCTTGATCCTTTCAGTATTGGCTGCTACTTCTCAGTGGATGTCAGGTGGTGCAATACCGGCTAAGCAGTGTAATTTCTCCAGTGGTGTAGGGCGCAGACACCCTGTGATAATGCGGCATGTCTCATTAAGAGCCACATCCACTATTTTAATGTGGTGAGATGTGTTCCACACTGGGCATGCATACTCAGCAGCAGAGTAGCATAGCGCAAGGGCAGATGTCTTCACTGTGTCTGGTTGTGATCCCCAAGTTGTGCCAGTAAGCTTACGTATGATGTTGTTTCTAGTGCCCACTTTTTGCTTGATATTCAGGCAGTGCTTCTTGTAGGTCATAGCACGGTCCAGAGTGACTCCCGGGTATTTGGGTGCACTGCAGTGCTCCAGTGGGATTCCTTCCCAGGTAATCCTCAGAGCTCGGGATGCTTCTCTGTTCTTAAAGTGAAAGGCACATGTCTGTGTTTTAAATGGATTAGGGATCAGTTGGTTTTCCCTGTAATAGGCAGTAAGAGCACCTAGAGCTTTGGAGAGCTCCTGTTCTACCATCTCAAAGCTCCCTGCTTGAGCGGTAATGGCACGATCATCAGCATAGATGAAGCTCTCTGTCCCTTCTGGCAGTGGCTGGTCATTTGATAAATACACAGTATCCCTAACAACTACAGGAGGCACAGCCCATCTCTTTGTTTTCCCCCAGAAACCATATTTTTTCCCGATGGCTCCCTCTACAGAGCCAGTGGTTCACTGTAGTCCTTTGACAAAAATTACTGATGAAATAACCACGTTTCCCCAAGGTCCTTCAGCTTCCTACTTAGAGCCTTGTAATCCCACTGAACTCTTGAATGCCGAGCTACAAGAACTGGTGGTGTAGCAGAGCTAGTGTGGTTGCTTCCCATTATGTGACCCACAGACAAGGTAGCCACCCCTGACTTGAAAGGCATCTCTAGTAGCAAGCCACAGCTGTTGCTAAACAGGTTAATACCTGGCTAGATGAACTGACAGTCTGTCTTGGTACAAGGCCAATTTGCATATTAATACCTGTTGTTTTCTTTAAACAGATAACAGAGAAAATTCCATCAGTCATTCTCGAAGTTCTAGTGTCTCCAGTATTGATAAGGAGACTAAGGAAACGATTACAGCTTTATACTTCACAGAGTCGTTTGCACGGAAGAATGACACAACAGCATCTCCTTGCCTTTGGGTTGGGACAGGTCTGGGAGTGGTCTTAACTGTGTCCCTCAATCTGCCTAGTGATGATGAATTAAGGCAAGCTGAGCCAGTAACAGCATCTCCAAGTGGTAAGAGTCCTTTATTTCCGTAATATCTTTTTAAAATGTAGAAATAGTCCACCGTGTTTGTTGAACTCAGGATGTGTCTTCCCAGGCTTTTTTATAAGACATGTCCAAGTCTTATGCAGTTCTCTTCTGAATCCCAAGAGGTTATTCCTCAAAACAGTAACTACAAATGCTAGAAAAGCAATGAGTCACACAACAAGTAATACAATTAGCTAACGTTTCTGATCATTTTAAGGAGTGAGTCATTTTAATGAGTAACTAGGATGTAATTATTTTTAAGAAGTAAACTTTCCAAGCTCTCACTCAGTGTTAAGAGTAACTTGGGCCCCACTAACCATGGAGGATGACTTCCAATCCACATGGAAGCAGGCGGTAGCATCCAAAATCTCCTCATTGGGATTTTCTCCAGGTCTACTATTAGCTATGGATTACAATCAAGCCAAAGCACTTATTAAACAACGTATCACAGACACAGAGCGCCAACTAGATCTGGCCTCGGCTCCAAGCTTCCTTATCAGTGAAGACAGCAGATACCTTGCCTCCCCTATGGCATATTTAACATACTTAGAGGTTCCTATTCATCGAAGGGCTTTCACCCTGGCCCGATGCCACACTCTCCCATCAGCTGTACTCGAAGGCCGCTACCGGAAGATCCCTTTCCCAGAGAGGCTCTGCCCCTGTGACTCGGGTCATGTAGAAACAATAGAACATGTGCTCCTTCAGTGCCCGTTCTACAGGGATATCGTGCCAGGCTTATCTTACCTCTGATAGACAAGCACCCAGGCCATTCAGGACAATTTTATACCTCCCTGCTACTTGCAGATACTAATTCAGCTACAACCTACAATGTCGCAAAGTTCTGTGCAGCAGCATACAAAATCCGCCAGGGAATGACTAGTTCCAAAAGTCAACTGTGTGTCCAGTAATCTTCTTCCCTGAATCTACAATTTGGTGATGGATCTGGGCATTGTATGTTTTTACCCTGTTCCCCTTCTGCTCCCTCACCCATATTGTGTTTTTAGTAGTTATATTTATATTTTTAATGTACCAAACATGCCAGGTTTGTCTGGAAATGTGACACTATTTCCTGTGCTGGTCAATGACCGAAATAAATATTTTGAATTTGAATTTGAGTAACTTGGGGTTAGAATCTTTGTTCCTAGATACTTATTGTTTCCACTTTAATGTCCACATGTACCCATGCTCTCCATGGGGCTTGTATAAATGGTTCTGGCCCAGCTTATCTGTCCAAACGTATCTGCCTCTATGAACCATCTTGGAGCTTAAGATCGTCTGGGGAGGTCCTACTTTCGGTCCCATCTCTTTCGCAAGTGCCGTTGGTGGGGATGAAGACAGGGCCTTCTCAGTGGTGCCCCCTCAGCTATGGAACTCCCTCTCCAGTGAAATCAGGACTCTCTCTCCCTCCTGACCTTCAGGAAGCAAGTAAAAACATGGCTCTGGAACCAAGCTTTTGACTAGTAGCAGGCCTGTAGCGAGGGGGTGTTAGGGGTTCAACCCCCCCCCCTGAAATTTTTCAGGTTAAAAAAAAAACCTGGTTTACTCATGAATTTTAACTGGTTAACCAAATCCCCATGCTAAGTCTATGAGATGCAAAAAATTAAGAGTCCCTCCAGAACTGCAAGCACTATCTCAAGCAAATATTGACAATTTATTCACACTGTCATTACTTGCAGCAATAGCCAATGTAGTGAAGCAACCAAGTTGTGTGTGTGTGTGTTGAATGCTCTCATTAAGGAGGCCAGACTTGGTGGAGGTGGTTGACAGGGGCGGAGCTGCAGGCTATTGAAGGCTGCTCTGCCCCCTGCTGTGCTCTTTGCTTCAGCGTGAGCTTGGAGGCAGTTTTCAACCCCCCCCCCCCCCGAAATTGTCAACCCTCCCCGAAATTTTTTTCTGGCTACGGCCCTGACTAGTAGTGCTGTGCAATAAGTAAAGTAGACTTATGTTCAGTAATGACTGGAATGGCCTTTGACTATGTCCTCGGATTTTAATATTGTGTTTAATATTTTATTGTTTTTAATTTTGTTTTAATGTATATGTTTATTTTCTGTTGTCTATGGACAACATTGAATTGCTGCCAATTGTAAGGCCTCTCTGAATCCCCTTCGGAATTGAGAAGGGTGGGATATAAATATAGTAAATAAATAATAAATCAATATATTGATTTAATAAATAAATAATAAATCAATATATTGTCAAAGGCTTTCATGGCCGGAATCACTGGGTTGTTGTAGGTTTTTTTGGGCTATATGGCCATGTTCTAGAGCCGTGATGGTGAACCTATGACACGTGTGTCAGCACTGACACGCATGGCTATTTTTGATGACATGCAGACACATGCAGCCACATACAAAGAAGTACACCTTATAAGAACCAATCTAATTCCATCCTTAAATTTGTAAAAGGCTCTACAAATTTAACATCTGCACGTTTGAGCATACTTCACTCCATAACTCAGCATGGATTATACATTTTTCTTATTTAAACTATAAATATAGCAAAATGTTGGGTTTTTTCTCGAAGTGACACCCCCACTCAAGTTATGCTCAGGTTTTTGGCAAATGCTGACACACCAAGTTCAAAAGGTTGCCCATCACTGTTCTAGAGTCATTCTCTCCTGACGTTTCGCTTGCATCTATGGCAAGCTTCCTCAGAGGTAGTTAGGTCTGTTGGAACTAGGAAAAAGGGTTTATATATCTGTGGAATGACCAGGGTGGGACAAATGACTCTTGTCTGCTGGAGCTAGGTGTGAATGCTTCAACTGCCCCCCTTGATTAGCATTTGATGGGCTGGCAGTGCCTGGGGCAATCTTTTGTTGAGAGGTGATTAGGTGTCCCTGATTGTTTTTCCTCTGTTGTTTTGCTGTTGTAATTTTAGAGTTGTTTAATACTGGTAGCCAGATTTTGTTCATTTTCATGGTTTCCTCCTTTCTGCTGAAATTATCCAAATGCTTGAGGATTTCAATGGCTTCTCTGTCTAGTCTGACATGGTGGTTGTTAGAGTGGTCCAGCATTTGTGTTCTCCAATAATATGCATAAAGGAGAACTCACATGAATCTACCCCTACACTGGCAAGTCTCTTATGAAACCAAACATGATTTTTGTTACCCTATTGTTTCTTTAGGAAAGTCCATCTGAGTAGCTCCATCGCCAAATCACTGCTAACTACAATTTACTCTATGGCTTCCCCGCACAACACTGAGAGTAACTTCCAATACCTGAGTGCGTGGGAATGGGGGAAGACTTCTCTGTGTAGTCTTACATGGTGGTTGTTAGAGTGGTCCAGCATTTTTGTGTTCTCACATAATATGCTGTGTCTAGGTTGGTTCATCAGGTGCTCTGCTATGGCTGACTTCTCTGGTTGAAGTAGCCTGCAGTGCCACTCTCACAACCACCATGTCAGACTAGACAGAGAAGCCATTGAAATCCACAAGCATGTGGACAATTTCAACAGAAAGGAGGAAACCATGAAAATGAACAAAATCTGGCTACCAGTATTAAAAAACTCAAAAATAGGCAACATTCACACCTAGCTCCAGCAGACAAGAGTCCTTTGTCCCACCCTGGTCATTCCACAGATATATAAACCCATTGTCCTAATTCCAACAGACCTCACTACCTCTGAGGATGCTTGCCATAGATGCAGGCGAAACGTCAGGAGAGAATGCCTCTAGAACATGGCCATATAGCCCGAAAAACCTACAACAACCCAGAAGTAGTCATTGTTTGGTTCCGGATTTTATGAATGGTCCATTAGAAATGCACAGCACTCCCTGGATGTAGGATACACATGGTTCTTTGGATGTGGATGGACTATAACTCCCATCATCCTGAGTCAACCCCTTCCCAAAACCCCGCCAGTAGTTTAAATTGGACATGATGGACATATGTGCCATGTTTGGTCCAGATCCATCATCGGTAGGCATAACGCAGCTCATTAGATGTAGTAGCCATCCTTGAAAATAGATAGATAGATAGATAGATAGATAGATAGATAGATAGATAGATAGATAGATATTACTGGGTTGTTGTATGTTTTTTCGGGCTACACGGCCATGTTCCAGAGGCATTTCTCCTGACGTTTCGCCTGCATCTATGGCAAGCATCCTCAGAGGTAGTGAGGTCTGTTGGAACTAGGAAAAAGGGTTTATATATCTGTGGAATGACCAGGGCTGGAGCTAGGTGTGAATGTTTCAACTGACCACCTTGATTAGCATTTGATTGCCTGGCAGTGCCTGGGGCAATCTTTTGTTGAGAGGTGATTAGATATCTTTGTTTCTTTCCTCTCTGTTGTATAAATGAATTAATAAAATAAATTAACAAACAGAACTGAAAGATATAACATGAGAAAATTTTATTTTATAGGTACATTTCTCTCATTGAAGGGAGCAGTGTTAACTTTTGCTTGTTTGGATTGCTCGGGGACATTAATACATCCGCCTTATGAAGCTTGGAGAGATCCAAACAGCATGGAGGAAAGTGAAAGAACAAAGAAAAGAAAACTTGTCCTGCATTCTTCATGCTCCCAGGACATGGGAGACCACCAGTTTGCCATTATCTGCTCAGAGAAACAAGCCAAAGTATTCTCACTGCCTTCCCAGACATGCCTCTATGTTCACAATGTCGCAGACACATCCTTTCTATTGCGAGCCGACGTGGTGACTCTGTGTAACAGTGCATGCCTGGCGTGCTTCTGTGCCAGTGGGCGTATCATTATACACAGGTACTTGCTACCTTTCTTCAGTCCTAAACAAGACAGCTGAAGGATCTCAGATAGAAGAGCAAAGGGGGAGATTTGGGTGATTCTTCAGCAGATACACAAACTGATGACATTGGGATTTTTAAAAAGTGTTTCACTTATTTATTCTTTACTCAAATATACAGTGATAATATTTTTTGTATTTATTATCTGCCGCTTGTTTTGGTTCAAGGTGGGACACAACATAGCCAACATACTTAAAGCATAGTTAAAATACCACATAGGTAAAGGTAAAGGTTTTCCCCTGACATGAAGTCCAGTCGTGTCCGACTCTGGGGTGTGGTGCTCATCTCCATTTCTAAGCCGAAGAGCCAGCGTTGTCCGTAGACGCCTCCAAGGTCATGACTGCATGGAGCACTGTTACTTTCCCGCCAGAGCGGTACCTATTGATCTACTCACATTTGCATGTTTTTGAACTGCTAGGTTGGCAGGAGCTGGGGCTAATAGCAGAAGCTCACGCCGCTCCCTGGATTTGAACCTGTGACCTTTTGGTCAACAAGCTCAGCAGCTCAGCAATTTAACCCACTGCGCCACCGGGGGTTCAAAATATTTATTTATTTATTTACAGCTTTTATATTCTGCCCTCCTCACCCTGCAGGGGACTCAGGGCAGATTACAGTGTACACATATATGGCAAACATTCAGTGCCAATTTTTGACATACAACATATACAGACATAGACAGAGGCTATATTTAACTTTTTTCTGGCCACCAGGGGAGCTGATGAAGTACTTTCGCATTCCCTGCATGCTTTTTGCTGGAGTGCTTGCTGGAGTCTTTTTTATGGCCTCATAAATTAGTTAATTTAGCCTCCCCACACTTTAAGGTGGTACCTAATTTTCCTACTTGACAGATGCAACTGTCTATCGGGTTGCAAAGGTCGACAACAGGCTACACAGTTAGTTGGAAACCCACTCAAACCCGGGCTGGCTTCGAACTCATGACCTTTTGGTCAGAGTGATCTTAATGCAGCTGACACTCAGCCAGCCGCGCCACAATCCCGGTGTAAATTTGAAAGTATTTGAAAAATCAAAAACTATTGGGAATGGCATCAATGTCCTTGCATCATTCCTTGCCTTAGTCTGTGTTTCACAGAATACACTATATATGCAATTTCATATTCTCACAGGTCATAGCATTCAGCATTGCCATATAATACTTCGTAGCATTTAGGTACCATCATGCAAGAGAGGAGATTCCATCTGAACATTAGGAAGAACTTCCTGACAGTGAGAGCCGTTCAGCAGTGGCACTCTCTGCCCCGGAGTGTGGTGGAGGCTCCTTCTTTGGAAGCTTTTAAGCAGAGGCTGGATGGCCATTTGTCAGGGGTGATTTGAATGCAATATTCCTGCTTCTTGGCAGGGGGTTGGACTGGATGGCCCATGAGGTCTCTTCCAACTCTTTGATTCTATGATTCTATGATTCTAAACCAGAGCCAGCATGGTGTTTTGAGATGGTTTTAAACAACTGATTTTAAAGCAGATGTAACTGATTTTAATGTTTGTGTGTAATTATAGTGATTTTATGCATGCCGTATATATGTTGTCCCTTTCGGGGTGAGAAGGGTGGAATATAAATATTCCAAATAAATAAATAATAAATGAAATAGTGATCAAAAGATGGAATTTCACTGTACCAATTGCTATAGCAATTGAAGGACACTAGTTAATGGTACCCAGGTGCGTTGGAGCCCCTGGTGGCGCAGTGGGTTAAACCCCTGTGCTGGCAGGACTGAAGACTGACAGGTCACAGGTTCGAATCTGGGGACATGAGAGAAGCCTCCTACAAGGATGGTAAAAACATCAAATCATCCGGGCGTCCCCTGGGCAACGTCTTTGCAGACGGCCAATTCTCTCACACCAGAAACAACTTGCAGTTTCTCAAGTCGCTCCTGACACGACAAAAACAACAACAACAACAAAAACCCCAGGTGCATTGAATAGACTTATTCTAAAATATTGGTACATAGGAAAGCAGCCTTGGTCTTTGGCTTTGCAATCAGGTGCAATAATTTTGAGAATGCAAATATAATATTTTTAATTATACTGAATGTAAATATAATGTTTTTAATTCAGATGCATAAAATACAACTGTTTTTCTTCAGTTTACCCAGCCTACGCCCATTGCTTGATGTTAATTACTTGCCTGTAACAGACATGAGGATTGCCCGGACCTTTTGTTTTACCAATGAAGGACAAGCTTTGTATCTTGGCTCTCCCACAGAAATTCAGCGACTGAACTACAGCCAGGAAATGTTTGACAATCTGCAGGTGAGTCTTGTGTAAAGGAGGTTGTTAAACTGCTGCCACCAATTGTAAAGAAGACCGTTTTAATGCCACCAAATGTGAAGGTGCGCGTTGTAAAACACCCACTGTCACCTAATCCGTGAGGGAAGCCGGGCAACGATCAATATCAACCTAGGAGCTATTTTATAAAGGGACTGTAATTACAGAAGGCTTTATTCACTTGATAGCGTAGCGTTTACTTTCTTGGCTTGACTTTACTATAGCAGGCTGTTCAACTTAGAAGAAACTGTATCAGGCAAGACTTGAGGAAAACAGTAACAAGTTTATTTTAACAGGAGTATAATAAGTTTAACTGTTTCTTCAAAAGAGGCACAAATCTTGATGGATACATTGGAAAGGTTTCATGAGTAACCTCAGGCAAACACTTCATAAGGTTTCACAGCTGGCACAACAGGCTTAAACCCAGCCAAACCTTGATTCTTAATTCAGAATCAACAACCCCCTGTAGTTTTATCACTACCGGGTCCTTTCCTGTAACCCCTTTGGTCACAAATTAATTCCCTGGTTCTCCCACTAGAGAAACCAGTCCTTCCCTGTAGCTCACCGGCTTACAACTACATTCCCTGAATCTCCACCCTGAGACTCAATGTTCTCTCAGTAGCTCTCCGGCCACTGACTGACTTTTTAAAACACAGCTGCCTCCTGAAGAGGCAGTGGGCTCCGCCCCTGTTGCTATGGCAACTCAGCTAACACCAAGCCACCCTCTCCCACAAAACATAATCTCCCATACTTACCATCCCTAAACCACTGTCCAAACTACACATAACCAAAGAAATAAAACTTACACATCGTCACATCTTGAAAATTATCAAATCTAGCCCTTGGAAATGTACAAAATGCTGGAATGTAACTCTGGATATTGTTCAAAAGAAATGGCTTTTTCATCCCAAAGAACATCCCAAAACACGATTCAAAACCAGACTCAGATTCTAGAACACACAGAAGTCTAAAACGTACAAGATTATTTTCTGTTACTTCAATAAATTATATGCTTTTACTGATTTTGATATACTACACTGGAAAATCCTAGCAACAGTTTGAAAACCATGAAGACGTGCTGTATTTTCTTGACTTTAGCATTTTTTAAGTATGGGAAAATGTCATGAATGACTTTTCAATAACTTTGAAGCATAGCTTCTTTTTATTGTAATTTCCAGTGTGAGAAGGTATATCAGATTACAGAAAACATTTAGACAAAGAATGACATTGGACATACAGATATACAGATTCTGTGCAACTACATTGGATTCACAAACAAACATTTTCACTCAACATTCACACACATGTACATGCATTCATCCACATGCATCCAAAATATTACCATATCCTTTTCTCCCTCCTTGGAGAAGCACCTGTTAGGCCAGACCCTGCTTTTCTGCAGCCTGCCAACGTATAGTTCCATAATGCCATAACTTAAAACACTGAGATGCCAAAACATCTTTCCCTAAGAACAATGCCAAGGACCAGATCTCTGTTTTCTATACAGCAGAACCTGACTCCCTGCACAAAATCTAAGACTCCAAAAGCGCACTTCTTCCTCTTCCCTTGAGAAAGAAGCCCCAAAGTGACCAGACTGCTCCCGTGCAGATCTGCCACTCTCTAAATGCACCATCTCTCTCCTTCCCATGGAGCAGAGCATGGCAGGTGAACCAGACTCCTCAGGTCGGCCACACTTTGAGCATTATTAGACTGAGTCTTTTATAGGAATATTCTGTTGATGTCGTCCCAAAGTTGTAAATTAATGATAGACATCTTCCATCCTGGTTTCATCCCAGTTTCCTGGCCAGATGTTGATCTTCTTGGTTGGTGTTGACAAACACAAGGCTTGTGTTGACTTCCTTCTTAACATAAGGAAGGTTGCAAACATTTCCTTTATCACTTCCCCGTACTCTTCAGATCTCATTAACAGATTTTAATCACAAAGCATCAAGCAAAGCATCAAGCAGGTAGTTAGTCATTGCAGGTCTTAATATTATACAAAAAAAATAAAATAAAAGAATGAACCCATTCCATTCTGCATACAAGAATGGTAAACTTAGTCAGCATACATATCTTGTATTGTTTTCCTGAATGTAATTTTGTTTCTCTTTGTTGTGGCGCAGGACATGCTTGGGGAGTTGTTCACTCCTGTCGAAACCCCCGAGGCACAATACAGAGGGTTTCTGAAGGGACTGTTTGGTGGGACTGGTGGGACCCTCGACAGAGAAGAGCTGTGTAAGTTCATCTTTCATGCTCACATTACAGATACAAAGAAGATAAAGATGAGACAAAGTAGCACATGAGGAGAGGGAGGGCTATCTCTAAATCTAAAAGGAGATTAATGCTCATAAGAACGTAATAACATCTATTAAACAATCATAGCTGTTCTCCTTATCCAATCAAGTGTTTGATTGATAATATGGAAAGTATGGATGGACTGTCACCTTGTCGTGGTGAGGGGGCTTGCGTGTTCCAATAAACCTGTGGGCACAATGACTGGGAGTCGTGGGGGAGGTTCCAGAACAAGCACAGTCCGAAGACCCAAAGACCTCAATGGCGGAGCAGGCGGAGGATAACATGGTACATGTTACAACGGCTGTGAAGGCAGAAGAAGGCTGCAAGAGATTTAGAAGCCACGGTCGTCTTGGTAAACTATGCCACCCGAGGAACCTCACTCTGTGAAGACTGTGTGTTGATCAGTGTGCAGTGACCTCCACACATTAAAAAAAAAATCATGGACAGGCGTCTTCCAAAAAACAAACCAAAAAGTCCCATGGCGAACAGCGAGTGGCGAAGGGGACAGGACTGTGAAATCTGGAAGTCCCTAGTCACAGACTGGCATATGGGCGGTGGATACGGACTCAGTCATTCTACCTCAAGGTCCAAGGCAGTTGAGTAGTTCGACAGCTGTATCCATGACTAAGCAGCCCTTTTGAGGATCCACTCTGCGCACCCCACACGGGGAAGGGGCTAGAAAGTGCCCTAAACATAGTCTGCCTCTCTTATCCCTGACTGGACTGCCATGTCCAGTGGTGTCACCACCCTGCAGCCAAAAAAAATGTAGCTCCAATGTGGCTGAAGAAGTTCTCTCACAAATCCCGCAACAACAAACCAGGGATGAGCTCGCAGCACTGCCTAGTTTGGAAGAAGTCAGCAATGCCATCAGCCAACAAAAAAATAACAAAACCAGCAGACCTGATGGGATCCCTGCTGAAATCTTTAAAGACCTGAGCTGACACAACAACTCCACCAGCGCATAGAAAAAGTGAGGGTGACCGAGAAAATCCCAGCAGATTTCAAGGATGCCACCATCATCACCCTCTTCAAAAAAGGGGAAAGAACAGACTGCGGAAACTATCGAGGTATCTCCCTTCTAAACTCCACTGGGAAAATCCTCACAAGAATCCTTGCAAACCGCCTTCTACCCCTCTCAGAAGACACCCCCCCAGAATCCCAGAACGGCTTTCGCCCCTCCAGAGGAACAGTGGACATGATCTTCACTGCACGACAGCTCCAAGAAAAATGCAGGGAACAAAATCAACCTCTGTACATGGCATTCATTGACCTTGCAAAGGCATTCAACACAGTGAATCGCAGCGCTCTCTGGACCATCCTCCAAAAAATCGGGTGCCCTAACAAATTTGTGAACATCCTTCGGCTCCTCCATGATGACATGATGGCAGCAGTCTTGGACAGCAATGGCTCCCAAAGTGACCCATTTAAGGTGGAATCAGGTGTCAAACAGGGATGTGTTATTGCCCCAACTTTATTCTCCATTGAAAGTATTGATGAAATATACAATTTAAATGATTCCATATTTGACACCATTAGAAATTGTTGCGTAATGCTCTGAGATGGAAATCCTGGATGGGCAGGAAAAGGAAAGGGCCTTCCTTACATTGGTTGCACAAATGTAATACACACATGAATTCAAACTGAAGTGCAAGCTGGTATCTACTTTCTGGCTTCTCATGTTGATCTCCTCTCTCTATCCTAGATTTCCTTAGGAGTTGGAGAGTTGAATGTGAAAAAATACCTTTTAGGAGTATTACAGAGCTCTGCTGGTGGAATACTCCTATGGAGAATTCCAAATTACTGGGTTGTTGTAGGTTTCTTTGGGCTATATGGCCATGTTCTAGAGGCATTCTCTCCTGATATTTCGCCTGCATCTATGGCAAGCATCCTCAGAGTTTGTGAGATGATAATTCCAAATTCCCCATCATGGTCCCTGTGAATCTTTGCTTCACAAGATTCAATCTGGGACATAGTAATGAAAAAAGAAAAGAAACTAATAAAGATATACCGAAAACTACTGGAAAGAGACACAGAAACTGAATTAATAAAAGATATGATAAAATGGGCAGTGGATTTTGGTCACAATATATTGTTTAAGGAATGGGAAAAAGTATGGAGGAAAAAACCAAAATATTCCAAATCGACTAATGTAACTGAAAATTGGCAAAAAATGTTCTATCGTTGGTATCTTGCCCCCCAAAAATTGGCAAAATTTTATAAAGGCGCAAGTAACAGCTGCTGGAAATGCGGAGACCAATTAGGTATCTATTACTACATATGGTGGCAATGCAAAAGTAAAGAGCTTCCGGAAAGAGATACATTCACATACACAAAGAATTTTGCAGACTAAATTTGAGTTGAAACCGGAGTATTACCTACTATATCTATTAGATTTTGATCCAGGGCTAAATAATGATAAGTTACTGTATTACTTGTCAGCCGCAGCAAGGAATGTTCTAGCTAGAAAATGGAAATCTAAAGAACTCCCTACATTCGAATCTTGGATTCTGAAAATTAGGGAATATATGGAAATGGACGACTTGGCGAATATGGTTTATGAAAAAAGTAACAAGAGAAGGATCGACTGGCAACCACAGAAGAAATATTTAGAGGAAAGGAAAAACATTCAGATATAACAACAGTGAAGGTGTTATATATATATATATATATAATTGTTACAAAGAAACTAGAAAGCAAGAATTTTGTTTGCTTTTTTTTTTACCCTGTGGACTCTACTGGAAGTCAACCATATGTTTAGCATGTCATCCCACCTCACTCCCCTCCCTTATTTCCCTCCCTTACCTCCCTTACCTTCCATCCCCCCACCCCTACCCCCTATCCCCCCAATTGTACTTTCCTTTATCCCTCCCTTCGTACTGTATGTCATAATTACTGAAAATCTGCATAATAAAGATGATTTATTTAAATCGCACATATGGTACTTCCTGCGCTTGCTCAGACAGTTCGGAATCTTCTAGAAAACTTATTAGACACTTTTAGGTGGTAGCCCCGCCCACACTCCCCTTGAGAGTATATATAGCCAGTGGGAGGGGCTACTGCCTCAGATCCTTTCATCCGCCGCCATTGCAGCAGCTAGGAATCTTTCTCTTAACTGTCATATAATTTCCAGTTCCTTTTGGTGAGAGAATGTGAAATCACACTGTGCTGGCTATATTGAAGAGGCATCTGGGTGGGAAATCTTTCTAGATATCATCTCTATAATACCTCAATTTCCAACATTGTTATGTTGGGCGAGTGGGGAGAGGCACTACAAAGTACAAGAAAATACTTCCCATTTCATTCTACTTTCCAATTACAGTTGGTGAGGCTACAGCGGGAAAAGCATCTCGCAGTCTCGCTCAGCATATCCCTGGATCAGGTGGTGTTGAAGGAATGAAAGGAGCTGCAGGGGGCGTTATCGGAGACCTGGCTCGTGCACGTCTTGCTCTCGATGAAAGGGGGCAGAAGCTGGGAGAACTAGATGAGAAGACAGCAAGAATGATGACGAGTGCAGAAGCTTTCTCCAAACATGCACATGAGGTGGGTGTTGGCTCCAGACAAGGAACAGAACAATAGGCAGAACTTAGAGTCAGTTGACTGGGTCACAATACCAGACAGAGTTGAAGGTCTAGAAACAGTAGAAACTGTACAAGGTGGAGGAGATGGAGGTTAATACAGAGAGACTGAACATCAATAATGTTTTTAACTTACTGTTTTATTTACTGTTTTAAATTGTTGTTATATCTGCTATAATTGTTTTGTATGTTGTGGCATTGAATTGTTATTTATTTATCGTGTCAGCAGCAACCATACCATTGTATTACATTTCTAACAGAACAAAACAAACAAGCAGATAAAAAAACACAAATTTTGCAAACTTGGTAGTTGATTAAATGTCCTTTGACCAGTATCTGGCCATTGGAGTGCCTCTGGTGTTGCCGCAAGAAGGTCCTCCATTGTGCATGTAGCAGGGCTCAGGTTGCATTGCAGCAGGTGGTCTGTGGTTTGCTCTTCTCCGCACTCGCATGTCGTGAATTCAACTTTGTAGCCCCATTTCTTAAGATTGGCTCTGCATCTCGTGGTGCCAGAGCGCAGTCTGTTCAGCGCCTTCCAAGTTGCCCCGTCTTCTGTGTGCCCAGGGGGGAGTCTCTCATCTGGTATCACCCACGGATTGAGGTGCTGGGTTTGAGCCTGCCACTTTTGGACTCTCGCTTGCTGGGGTGTTCCAGCGAGTGTCTCTGTAGATCTTAGAAAACTATTTCTTGATTTAAGTCATTGACGTGCTGGCTGATAACCAAACAGGGATGAGCTTGTGAAAGGACTCTGCCTTGGTCCTTTCACTATTGGTTGCTACTTCCCGGCGGATGTCAGGTGGTGCAATTTCTCCAGTGGTGTAGGGCGCAGACACCCCGTGATCATAGAATCATAGAATCAAAGAGTTGGAAGAGACCTCATGGGCCATCCAGTCCAACCCCCTGCCAAGAAGCAGGAATATTGCATTCAAATCACCCCTGACAAATGGCCATCCAGCCTCTGCTTAAAAGCTTCCAAAGAAGGAGCCTCCACCACACTCCGGGGCAGAGAGTTCCACTGCTGAACGGCTCTCACAGTCAGGAAGTTCTTCCTCATGTTCAGATGGAATCTCCTCTCTTGTAGTTTGAAGCCATTATTCCGTGTCCTAGTCTCCAAGGAAGCAGAAAACAAGCTTGCTCCCTCCTCCCTGTGGCTTCCTCTCACATATTTATACATGGCTATCATATCTCCTCTCAGCCTTCTCTTCTTCAGGCTAAACATGCCCAGCTCCTTAAGCCGCTCCTCATAGGGCTTGTTCTCCAGACCCTTGATTATTTAGTCGCCCTCCTCTGGACACAAGAGCTGGACACAATATTCCAGGTGTGGTCTAACCAAAGCAGAATAGAGGGGTAGCATTACTTGCCTAGATCTAGACACTATGCTCCTATTGATGCAGGCCAAAATCCCATTGGATTTTTTTGCCGCCACATCACATTGTTGGCTCATGTTTAACTTGTTGTCCACGAGGACTCCAAGATCTTTTTCACACGTACTGCTCTCAAGCCAGGCATTGTCCCACATTCACCCTGTGATAATGCGGCATGTCTCATTAAGAGCCACATCCACTGTTTAGTGTGGTGAGATGTGTTCCACACTGGGCATGCGTACTCAGCAGCAGAGTAGCATAGCGCAAGGGCAGATGTCTTCACTGTGTCTGGTTGTGATCCCCAGGTTGTGCCAGTCAACTTTCGTATGATATTGTTTCTAGCGCCCACTTTTTGCTTGATGTTCAGGCAGTGCTTCTTGTAGGTCAGAGCACGGTCCAGAGTGACTCCCAGGTTGAGAAGGGCAGGCTAGAAATGTTGGAAATAAATAAATAAATAAATAAATAATGTGGTGTAGGCAGACACCGTTGAGAAGAATAGTGCCAATAAGTAGAAGTAAAGGAGGTATCAAAGAAGATCTGGACTAGCTCTACTTTCAATATGAGGAAACCAAAAATACTGTAAGTAAGGTATTCTCTGTAGTGTTGCTTTAACTTATCTACCAGTGCTGAAGACCTACTTAGAAAAGTTAATTTCATTAGGAGATCAGTGTTCTAGTCCTGAATAACCTATGGCAACTACCAATCCACTCCAGATGTGGGTGTGTGACGGCCCATGTAGCAACATTTTAGGGTACAAAAGGAACCATAGTGTTACAACTGTTACCATTACCTTTGTTCATGGGAGGCGGCTCTAGGAATGCTTCCCTCAGTATTTTGTGGTGAGGTAACACCCCCCCCCCCCTCCAGCTATGTCACCCAAATTCTGTTATTTTTTCCTGCAGGTAATGGTGAAATACAAGGACAAGAAATGGTATCAGTTTTGATTCTTAAGCATGAAGCTGCACCTCAGAGTATGAGGACTGGAAGGAGAAAGAGGTCTTATTCTCAAAAATCAGGCCCAGGACAGAAGGAATTTTCTCCTTTAGAAGACTTTTCCTCTTTCGGGACACCAGGTGATCAAGCTAGGTTTCCAGACATCAAAACGTGGTGGTTCTTTATGAGTTAATTTACAATGAATCTTTTCCAATGAACTGTCATTGTCAACAGGAATTGTCACTGGCATTAGGGATGAACTCCGGAGAGGATCTCTCCTGGTTTAAAACATAGTGTACAAACTAGATTGTCAATGCATTTAAACCGAACAAAACTTTGCATGACTAATTGACTTCTTATATGACAAAGACAAAAGCAAAGCATGCTGTGATTGAGGGAAAGGGATTTATTTTCAAGGTCCACAGAGAATAAAAGAAAAACAGGAGAAATATGTTTTAAAAACAGGTTGGTACATCTCAAGCATGTTGCCTTCAACAAATGAGCTGCGTTTCTCACATTTGACATTCCTTTCTGTAGACAATCTTAGTTTTAAAACACTCATGCATTTCATTGGTAGAAAAATAAAAGAACATTAAAATTCTATGGCTAAATTATGATGCTTTGTTCTTGAGCGAGATAGCCAAAGGTCAGGTGGCTCCAGGTGGGAGCCCTTTAGTTTCTACTCGAGACATTTTCCAGCCAAAGGCAAAGTCAAGAGCCGCAGAAGCAAGGCCAACATCATCACAAGATAGGGAAGGAGGGTGTGGGGCGTAACATTGCACATAACTGAATATGTAATGCCACACCACATATGTAGTTTTCTGTCGCCACTTTAATACCTGAGACGTACTCTGTTTCTGTCCTGTTACAAGTACCTTTCTTCTTGACTCAGTGAGGGGAAAAATAATTTCCTTTCTAAATCCCTTTACCGCCTTGAACTGCTGCAGTTTCCTTTTTAAATTGACTGGGGCTTTCTTGTGAGCTTTGTGCTTTATATCACTTGCTTGAGACACTCCGGTAAGCAACGAAGTAACAAAGTTTATTTATAGCTTCTGGTTCCAATGCTTTATGGTTACATATGTGTTTTGTTACAGTCTCGAGTCTTAGATTCAGTATCATTCACTCAGTTGACTTTTCTTATGAAACCCTCACTATCTCACATCAACAAATACGTTACTTTCTTCATATACCCTTGGCTGAACTATTTTCTGACTTAGGCCACACTGACGCCTTCTTATTTTTCCTTAAACCTTGAGCTCTATTTTCCCGACTGCTTCTCTCTAACCGAGGTTTCTAACTCTCCCCACTTCTCTTTTTTAACTGACAAACTCTAACTGCTTCTTTCAAACTTGACTCCGCCCCTTTAGAATGTTCAGTTCTGTAACTGCCATTCTGGCTTAGCGACCTTTTCAAATCCTGGCATACTCTAATCTGCATACGACCAATCGGCTTCAAATATGCAAATTAATCCTGCCTTCACTGTTGCTACCCTATTTGAGCCAATTCTTCCCTATCAGCCATATTGTAACCTAGAGCTACACACCAAAAAAACAACATAGATCATAAAATTCACTACAGAGGGATAGACCCATAAGTTGGGAAGACCCAGGCACACTCCTAGGTGAGAGGGACGCTTCCTCTGTCTCACAGACCAAAAGGCTGGGGTCCCCAATTTATTTATTTATTTCATATATTTATATCTCGCCCTTCTCCCCACAAGTGGGACTCAATGTAGCCTCACATGAGCATCAGAGGATGCTAACAGCATAAATACCATAAACATTACAATTCACAATAAAATCATTTTAAAACATTATACAACATCATGGGTAAAATTTAACAATAAATTAATAGATTAACATGCCAGTAAAACCAAGCCGAGCTGGGAGAATCCATATCGCAAAATCCAAATTTCCTTTTCCTATTGCCGCTGGCCTCTAATTGAACGCCTGGCCCCAGAACCAGGTTTTCAGTTGTCTTCTGAAGGACAGGAGGGAGGTGCCTAACCTGCTGTCCTTAGGGAGAGAGTTCCACAGACGGGGAACTCTCCCCACCAACTGTGTTTGCGAGAGTGGTGGGATCGAGAGCAGGGCCTCTCCTGATGATCTTAAGCTTCGTGATGGTTCATAGCAGGAAATACGTTCGGACAGGTAATCTTTAAAGGTTAAAACCAGCACTTTGAATTGTGCCCGGAAGCTAATCGGCAGCCAGTGGAGCTGACGCAACAGAAGAGTGGTACGCAGCTCCAGTTAACAACCTGGCCGCTGACCGTTGGACTAATTGGAGCTTCCAAGAAGTTTTCAAAGGCAGCCCCACGTAGACAGCATTGCAGTAGTCTATTCGGGATGTAACCAAAGTGTGGGCCACTGTGGCCAAGTCAAACAAAGCTCTCCCTTCCTTTTTCTCAAAGGCAAAGCAGAGGCAACAGGGTTCAGGGGGAAACAGTCCGGCTCAGATGAGGATGCCACTTGCCTCCTTTTTGTTGGCCCTGCCCATTCAGAAATTTGTCACAACCTCAACATGAAGCCGTGGAAACCAATACTTTAAGAACGTATTTATTTATTTATTTACTTTTTTTTTATTTCCTGCATTTATAACCCGCCTTTCTCACCCCTGAAGGGGGACTCAGGGCAGCCTCACAGCAAGCACAATCGGTGCTTTCACATAAACATTCAACAAATACATTTAAAACAGTTAATTAAAAAGTAATTAATTAAACACGCCAATTAAAATCCAAAGCCGGGTTTGGGTCAATTTATTGTCGCCAGTTGCTTAAATCTTCTTCTTGCTTGTTGCTATTCAATGGTCGAAGGTTTGGTCCCATAGCCAAGTCTTGAGTTTCCTTCTGAAAGACAGGAGGGAAGTGGCCAATCTGATATCCCTGGGGAGAGAATTCCACAGGCGAGGGACCACTGCTGAGAAGGCCCTGTCCCTCGTCCCCACCAATCACGTTTGCGATGGTGATGGGATCGAGAGCAGGGCCTTTCCAGATGATCTTAGACTTTGTTTTGGTTCGTAACAGGAGATACGTTTGGGTAGGTAAACTGGGCCAGAACCATTTAGGGCTCTGACAAGAAGCTCTGACATAGGTGGTGGTGAGTGGTGGGGCACAGGAAAAGCAGCTGGCATTCCCTTCTTTAACAGGGGGTCTTGAAGGGCAGGCCCTTTCTACTCTCTGATGTTTGACCTACTAGCAGAACCACCCCTACTAGCAGAACCACATGAAGCAGGCTTCATGTAAGCAGTGAAAAAATGGGGCCCTGACTGGGAAATGAATACCTGAGGTTAAAAATGGCTCCCTCACCCCTCACAAGCCCTACTGCCCAACATGTGTTTAACTAGAACACTGAACCTATAGCACACAGATGTATGTATATTTATTTGATGTGGATTCATCTTTGATGTTCAAAGTGATAATTTAAAATATACAGCTTGATTAGATCCTCCGTTGCTCAAGACAGCACTTTTCAAAGCAAATACAGAAGTAAAATGTGACATATACTTTTATTATATACAAAGTAGTGAATTAAATTATCTTCTGACAATTCATAAAGCAAACAAATTCATTGGTTAAAAAGACAGCAGCAAATCCAACTCAGAGTTGGATTTTATTTTCTTAAAGCAAGTAAAGAGGCACTATAGACATAAAAACTTGCAGAGACTTTCAGTCCAGCATTACAAAGGCTACTACCAAGAGGCCAACCAGTGAGACCCAGCCCACCACATCCTACAACAGGTAAGGAGAACCAACAGTGGCTGCTCATGTACTGAATATTCCACTGTGTCAGTGGTATAACAAGATGAGTCATATTCCATGTATTGCTATGTAATATATTCAGGTACACACATTGTAACATTTCTCAAAGAGAAACACAATCATGATATGTCAGAAACAGGGCATCTATGGTAATATACAGAGGCCTTTTAGAGGTTAAGATTCAGTTGAGAAATAAACTGTAGTATCGGCATTTTAAAATGTTTCCAGTTGTACAGGTGCTGAATCTGGTGGCAAAGTCATGATTTTTTTCCATAGCACAAATGTCTGTGTCTGTTCATTCACAAGTCCAGCTCTTGCAGGTCTCCCCAGCTTGACCCAACTTTGACTTTCACTGAGAGTTTGACAGAAAGTTTCACAGCATGTTCCATTTCGTGTTTAACAATCTGCGCTACCTGCAAATGTGGAAGAACCAGTGTCAGAACAATAATAATAATAATAATAATAATAATAATAATAATAATAGGGTTGTTGTAGGTTTTTTCGGGCTATATAGCCATGGTCTAAAGCAGAGGTCCTCAAACTAAGGTCCGGGGGCCAGATATGGCCCTCCAAGGTCATTTACCCGGCCCTCACTCAGGGTCAACCTAAGTCTGAAACAACTTGAAAGCACATAACAATAACAACAATCCTATCTCATCAGTCAAAAGCAGGCTCACACTTTCCACTGAAATACTAATAAGTTTATATATTGTTAAAATTGTTCTTAATTTTAATTATTGTATTTTTAAGTGTTTTTTGCACTACAAATAAGATATGTGCAGTGTCCATATGAATTCATTCAAAAAAAAAAATCAAATTATAATCCGGCCCTCCAATTATAATCCGGCCCTTTGTTTAAAAAATTTGAGGAACCCTGCTCTAGAGGCGTTCTCTCTAGAGGAGAGAATGCCTCTAGACCAGTGGTTCTCAACCTTCTAAATGCCGTGACCCCTTTATATAGTTCCTCATGTTGTGATGACCCCCAACCCTAAAATTATTTTTGTGGAACAATGGCTTCAAACTACAAGAAAGGAGATTCCATCTGAACATGAGGAAGAAATTCCTGACTGCAAGAGCCGTTCAGCAGTGGAACTCTCTGCCCGGAGTGTGGTGGAGGCTCCTTCTTTGGAAGCTTTTAAACAGAGGCTGGATGGCCATCTGTCAGGGGGGTGCTTTGAATGCAATATTTCCTTCTAGGCAGTGGGTTGGACTGGATGGCCCATGAGGTCTCTTCCAACTCTATGATTCTATGAAAGTAGTTCACATTAATAATTTTAAATCTCCAGCACATAAATATAAAAATAGAATTAAGCACACAAATGGTTCAAAAGTACTTAAAACAGTGAAAACACAGCACCCTTCTTGGCAGGGGGTTGGACTGGATGGCCCATGAGGTCTCTTCCAACTCTAGGAGTCTATGAATCTAAAGTAAGAATGGGAGAACTGCATCTAAACACATTGACATACATCTAAACACACCAGGATGCTGTGGATTTCAGTGCCCCAACAAGTCCAAACAGCTGGTATCTTCCCTTTGTAGCTTTGCTACAGGAAACATTGGCGAACAAAAACACACACTACCTATAATTTAAATTTATTTCAGGAAAACTGCATTTTCCTACCTGGATCATGCTGTCCTCTGCAACCTCGTAAAGAAGTTCATCGTGGAGCTGCAGTATGAAGAACCCCCCATGCCTGGGATACGTCATCTGCCTCTTTTCTGCCCTTACTGATTTTCCTACAAAAGAGTAAAATAAGCAGTACATCTTTCAACCCATCACAAAAGTCTCAAATAGACACAGAGGGGCTTTACTGTCACACAAAAAAAGATATAGTGGGCCAGATTGCATTTGGCACATGTATTTGGATTTGGAACATTTGCTGCCAAATGTAAAGCTAGATAGGGAAAATACATACCTGACCATTTCTTTTGGATAGAGTTGCCCAAGTGTTCAAAGGATTTCACTGCTGAAGGTAAAGCTTCCAGCTGTTTCTGAATATTCACTGTGGCTGTTTTGACAATATCTGCTGCTGATCCCTGAACCACAGTGTTCACGGCCTGTCTCTCTGCCTGAAGGTTACCACAAACACAGACAAGAAAGAGTACAGACTAATTGGTTGCCAAGCAGTGGCACTATCACGTTTTTATATTATTTTGCTCCAGGATTTAGGAAATTCCTCCACTTTCTGAAAGTACCCTTCAGTATTTGAGTATAGCCTTTCTTCTGAACTTCAAAACTAGGTGAAATGACCAGTTTTGCAGTAAATCCAATGGAATATGTTAGCATGCATTTTGAAAGATCTTAGTGATAATGTAGGAGCCAACGTGGATTTGTGAAGATCAAATCCTGCCAAACGAACACCTTTCAACAAAAGATTCCCCCAGGCAGTAAAAGATTCCCCCAGGCAGTAAAGCTACACCAAAAAAACCATCAGGCCATCAAATGCTAATCAAGGTGGCCAATTAAAACATTCACACCTACCCCCAACAGTCAAGAAATTTATCATGACGAGACACCGACATACATATACAGCTCAAACAGTGTGCTTGAATGTTTCAATTGCAATTGTTGGAAGCATTTTCATCTGTTATTGTTCACAATTTGGAAATTGTGGTTGAAGCCCATGCAATACAAAAAGAATAAATGCGAAGAAGGGAAACCTCATGCAGATTTGCTGCAAACAGAGAATTAATAAGCACAGTAAAGCAATAACAAGCTCAATACACCGGGAGGGCAAAGGAACAAAGTGCTTCCATCTCAGGGTGTTTCTCTCCACCTGTATTTTAGGAATTTAACAAAATGGACCCCAACATACCTGTGCCTTCTTGTAAGGGTTTGACTCTCTAATTGTTGGCAGGTACCTACGCCGCCCCATGATGGTCTGCACAAATCCATCTTGGCTGCATTTCTTTACTGTCTCTCTCAGGAAGTTTTGAATCCCTATAAAACATGTGAAGTTGCAAAATTGTCAAATCATATTTTTCAAACAAATATGAGCTTGTAATTGTGGTTCTTTAAATGTGACCTCACACACATTGATCGCCCTGTGCCTGCACAGAAATGTCTGGAAACTTCTAAAGCTACATTTTTCGGTGTATTCCCGCCCCTACACACATATAAACAATTTATTCCCAATGAAATCCTAGTCCAAGAGTGCCATTTGGGAACCTGGAGACGTGAGGTTTCCCTGCTTATAGGGATGTGAATGGGAGGGTGGGGTTATCATCAAACCACAATTCTAGAAGCTTCCAAAGATCTTCACACAAGTACTAAATATGTGAGCCACAGATGTGTGCGTAACAGAGATCATAAAGAACCATGATTGTTACATGCATTTATTTATATTTCATATTGGATATTTGACCATTACCAGATTATATACAAGGGGTATTTTTTAAGTAAGTTTTGTTGTAGACACTAGTAGTTCACGCGCATACTGCAACGAGCGCGTGCGTCGTGTACCGGCATGCCTCGGGAACAACTGTGCTCAGTTTCCACTCTGTAGCTAACCTGTACGGTTCTGTTCTGTGCTTTAAAAATGTTTAAGACTATCAACTCACCCGCCGCATGTGAGGTTCGCTCAGTGATACGGTTTTTGTCAGCAAGGAACCTGCCTGCTGCAGAAATTCATCGACAGATTTGTGAAGTGTACGGTGATACTGTTATGAGTGAAAGTGAAGTGCGTAAGTGGGTACGACAATTCAAAGATGGCCGTGACAACGTCCATGATGAGGACCGCTCTGGTCGCCCTTCTTTGATTACAGACGATTTGGTTATCGGAGCAGGTGGCAAGTTGTTATGAAGAGGGTATTTTAAAATTGGTTCAGAAGTATGATAAGTGTTTGAACAAACTTGGCAACTATGTCAAAAAATAGAGTGAAGAATGTACTTTCTGAAAATAAATGTACTATTTTGAAACTTATGTTTCAACGGACCTTACTTAAAAAATACCCCTCGTATCACATTCTCTTAGGTTATGTCAAATGGAAACAAACTGGGTGACCTTGGGCAAATCACAAACTCATAGCCTCAGAGGAAGGCAAGGAAAAACCCTCTCTGAACCAATTTTATCAAGAAAACCCCTTGCTGGATTATCCTATGATTGCTGTAAGTCAGAGAGATCTTGAAGACACACAACAACAACCGCAATGAACCCAGGAGGTTGCTATATTTTTATCCAGAGGACAACAAATCAAACTAATGTAACATTCTCTCAAGATTAAGCCAGAGCAATTCCTGAGGGAACCATTACAAATACTACAGACACTAGAACAAATCACCTCGTCATTAATCTCTCTTGAATAAAAATATGAGTTACATACACTTTATTTCTAATGAGAAGAGAGACTGTATGTCGCCTATCTTTTGAAATTTTAACAATCTGTGGTATAGAATTGCGAAGATTTTTGTTTCTAGTACCCAAGTTTGAAAGTTGCTTCAACCAATAACTGCACAATTGTCCTATGAAATGATGATTTATAAAATAGAGGTATGTCCTTTGACTCCCTACCAATCTACCCTTTCACACACTATCAGCAGACTGAAAGCCAAAACCAAGGTTACAACAACATCTGTTATAGAACTCCAGTATGCTGATGACAACGTCGTCTGTGCGCATTCAGAAGACCTACAAGCCACTCTAAACACCTTTGCAGAAGCATATGAGAAGCTCAGACTGTCATTGAACATTGAAAAAACCAAAGTGCTCTTCCAACAGTCACCAGCCAATCCCTCTCCAATGCCAGAGATACAGCTTAATGGTGTAACATTAGAAAATGTTGATCATTTCCGCTACCTTGGCAGCCACCTCTCCACAAAGTCAACATCGACACCGAAATACAACACCGCCTAAGCTCTGCGAGCGCAGCATTTTTCCGAATGAAGCAGAGAGTGTTTGAGGACCGGGACATCCGTAGGGATACCAAGGTGCTTGTTTATAAAGCTATTGTCCTCCCAACCCTGCTCTATGCCTGTGAGACGTGGACTGTCTACAGACGTCACATGCAACTCCTGGAACAATTCCATCAGCGCTGCCTCCGGAAAATCCTGCAAATCTCTTGGGAAGACAGGCGGACAAACATCGGCGTGCTGGAAGAAGCAAAGACCACCAGCATTGAAGCGATGGTCCTCCGCCATCAACTCCACTGGACCGGCCACGTAGTCCAGATGCCCGACCACCGTCTCCCAAAGCAGTTGCTCTACTCCGAAATCAAGAACGGAAACGGAATGTTGGAGGACAGGAAAAGAGATTTAAAGATGGGCTCAAAGCCAACCTTAAAAACTCTGGCATAGACACTGAGAACTGGGAAGCCCTGGCCTGTGAGCGCTCCAGATGGAGGTCAGCTGTGACCAGCAGTGCTGCAGAATTTGAAGAGGCACGAATGGAGGGTGAAAGGGAGAAGCGTTCCAAGAGGAAGGTGTGTCAAGCCAACCCTGACCGAGACCGCCTTCCACCTGGAAACCAATGCCCTCACTGCGGAAGAAGATGCAGAGCAAGAATAGGGCTCCACAGCCACATACGGACCCACAAGAATACTGGAAGACAATCCTCCTCGGAAAACGAGGGATCGCCTAAGTAAAAGTAAGTAAGTCTGTCTAGTAGGATTTTTTTTAGCAGCAGCACCAAGAAGATGGTGAAGAAGGAATGTAGATAAGTCGCAGTAGGGTGTCTTCAGTAAACAATAAACTACAACTTGAGCAGGGAAAGAACGGAGTCCTACTCTAGCCAGCCCGACCCCAGCTGCCTGTGCTTGCATACAACAGGCAAGGTAAGCAGCAGCTGCCCAGAATCTATTACTGAATGTGTATAAACAGAAAAACACAGAGAAAGAGGGACAGCAGATACACCTGTCTGCCCAACAACCCCCCAGCATGTCCTCTGGTGTCAAATTTTCTGTTAAAGGCATAATGTCCAAGAAACTATTTACTTCGTTAATTGATATATACCTGTATCTAATTTTCAAGCACTGAAAGCACATTCTAATACATATGTGCCTTTGTTCAGTTATAATGAAATTATCTTACTGATTGCAACCACCCAGTTTCAAGGCTGAAATATGTCAAGTCAAAACAGCCCCGTATGTTTGTTTGCTTTAATTTTGTCCTTGATATAAGAGACAAAAGAACAAATATAGACATTGACGTTCTCATCACTCCTAAATAATTAGTTCTCGAAGATTTGCCTCACATTTGGATTTTGTTTTAAACGCATCACACAAGGATTGTGAAGGCGCATATGGGGTCTTAGCTAACTGACAATATAAAATTTAATTAAACCACTGAATTGTGGGGAAAGTGCCATGACATCAATAGTAATCATTTTTACCTGGATATCTTGATTTGAAAGATTCAATGTAGGAGGAAGCATCTTTTTCATCAACTCCCATCTGTTCTCCTAAGGATTTAGCTCCTATTCCATAAATCATCCCATAGCAAATCTAGCAGAACAAGGACATGGTAATTTATTATACCGAATATGGTTCAAAGACAGTTTTTAAAAATTACTGTTAATTCTTCCTGGCTGTGGTGAGCTTTCATCCAAATCATGAAATATATGTAGATGTAGGTGCATCCTAGATCTGGAACATTTGAGAGTTTTAACAGAAGCCTGGTGTTTAACCTCAACACACTCTACATGCAAAGACTGTATGTGAATATGCGGGAAGAACACAAAGCAGGTGCCTTGTGGAATTCAGTTCCTTCTCCCCAAATTCCTATGATACTATGTAACACCATTTTTGTTCCTGGGTTATAAATGTCATTTCCTATTTCGTTCTATTCTAAAAATATGGGAAAAGGTTATTAAACTGCAAAAACTTTGTTTTTGTAGGACATCCTGCAGCTCATTTTGCTCTAGTTTTTCAACCAAGATCTCATGTCTCAACCAATTCAACATATGTAGTTGTAGGTTTTTTCGAGCTATATGGCTATGTTCTAGAGGCATTCTCTCCTGACGTTTCACCTGCATCTATGGCAATCATCCTCAGAGGTAGTGAGGTCTGTTGAAACTAGGAAAAAGGGTTTATATATCTGTGGAGTGACCAGGGTGGGACAAAGAACTCTTGTTTGTTGGAGCTAGGTGTGAATGTTTCAACTGACCACCTTGATTAGCATTTGATGGCCTGGCAGTGCCTGGGGGAATCTTTTGTTAAGAGGTAATTAGATGCCCCATATTTTTTCCTCTCTGTTGTTTTGGTGTTGCAATTTTAGAAGTTCTTTTTAATACTGGTAGCCAGATTTTGTTCATTTTCATGTTTCCTCCTTTCTGTTGAAATTGTCCACATGCTTGTGGATTTCAATGGCTTCTCTGTGTATTCTGACATGGTGGTTGTTAGAGTGGTCCAGCATTTCTGTGTTCTCAAATAATATGATGTGTCCAGGTTGGTTCATCAGGTGCTCTGCTATGGCTGACTTCTCTGGTTGAAGTAGTCTGCAATGCCTTTCCTGTTCCTTGATTTGTGTTTGTGCGCTGTGTTTGGTGGTCCCTATGTAGACTTGTCCACAGCTGCATGGTATACGGTAGACTCCTGCAGAGGTGAGAGGATCCCTCTTGTCTTTGCTGAACGTAGCATTTGTTGGATTTTCTTGGTGGGTCTGTAGATTGTTTGTATGTTGTGTTTCCTCATCAGCTTCCCTATGCGGTCAGTGGTTCCCTTGATGTATGGCAAGAACACTTTTCCTCTGGGTGGATCTTCATCTTGACTCTCGTTGCTTGTTCTTGGTCTTGCAGCTCTTCTGATGTCTGAGGTGGAGTATGCATTGGCCTGTAGAGCCCAGTTGAGGTGGTTCAGTTCATCTTGACCTCTCAACAAAAGATTGCCCCAGACACTGCCAGGCCATCAAATGCTAATCAAGGTGGTCAGTTGAAACATTCACACCTAGCTCCAGCAGACAAGAGTTCTTTCTCCCACCCTGGTCATTCCACAGATATATAAACCCCTTTTCCTAGTTCCAACAGACCTCACTACCTCTGAGGATGCTTGCCATAGATGCAGGCAAAACGTCAGGAGAGAATGCCTCTAGAACATGGCCATATAGCCCGAAAAAACCTACAACTACCTTTGACAATACAATTCAACATAGTTTGTGGCAGCCACAAAAATGAAGTTTCTGGAGTATAACAACTACTTTCAAAGTAAGTACCATGCAATTAAACAGGAAATAACACTTTCAAACCAGGAACAGAAAAGGTCAGATGTCAGAAAAGGTCACTTTCAAATAAGGACACAGGAAACCATAAGAATCAGAGTTAAAAGAACCACATGGGCCACCTAGTCCAATCTTCTGATGTTAGAAATACACAAGTAAGGCAGTCCTGAAAGATGCCCATCCAGCATCTGTTAAAAAATCTCCAAAGATGGAGATTTTTATTCCACTATCAAACAGAATCTCTTTTGTAATAATGTGAATCCATTGATTTGTGTTCAAGTTTCTGGAGGAGCAGAAAACAAGTTTGCTCCATCTTCCACATGACCTCCCTTCACATATTTAAAGATCGCTACCATATCAGGCTTCTCTTCACCAAACTAAAGATATTCATAGAATCATAGAATCAAAGAGTTGGAAGAGACCTCATGGGCCATCCAGTCCAACCCCCTGCCAAGAAGCAGGAATATTGCATTCAAATCACCCCTGACCGATGGCCATCCAGCCTCTGTTTAAAAGCTTCCAAAGAAGGAGCCTCCACCACACTCCGGGGCAGAGAGTTCCACTGCTAAACGGCTCTCACAGTCAGGAAGTTCTTCCTCATGTTCAGATGGAATCTCCTCTCTTGTAGTTTGAAGCCATTGTTCCGCGTCCTAGTCTCCAAGGAAGCAGAAAACAAGCTTGCTCCCTCCTCCCTGTGGCTTCCTCTCACATGGCTATCATATCTCCTCTCGGCCTTCTCTTCTTCAGGCTAAACATGACGTGGCTTCAAACTACAAGAGAGGATACTCCATCTGAACATGAGGAAGAACTTCCTGACTGTGAGAGCCGTTCAGCATTGGAACTCTCTGCCCTGGAGTGTGGTGGAGGCTCCTTCTTTGGAAGCTTTTAAACAGAGGCTGGATGGCCATCTGTCAGGGGTGATTTGAATGCAATATTCCTGCTTCTTGGCAGGGTTGGACTGGATGGCCCATGAGGTCTCTTCCAACTCTTTGATTCTATATAATAACAACTATATTGTCGAAGGCTTTCATGGCTGGAATCACTAGGTTCTTGTGGTTTTTTCGGGCTATAGCCATGTTCTAGAGGCATTTCTCCTGACGTTTCGCCTGCATCTATGGCAAGCATCTCAGAGTAGTGAGTCACCTCACTACCTCTGAGGATGCTTGCCATAGATGCAGGCGAAACGTCAGGAGAAATGCCTCTAGAACATGGCTCTATAGCCCGAAAAAATCCACAAGAACCTAGTTCATGATAATCATTTTAAATCTCCAGCACATAAATATAAAAATAGAAATAAGCACACAAATGGGTCAACAGCACTTAAAACAGTGAAAACACAGCACCCTCCTGGCTTGCTTTTAACAACTTCTTTCAAAGCCTGCCTGGATAAAAAGGTTTTAGCCTGCCGCAGGAAGGACCTGCTTAGCTTGTTGCCTTAAATCATTTCCAACGGCTTCAGGGGCCACCATCTTCCACTCGGCTGCAATGCTTCTGAATACATCAGCACCTTCATTCAAGGCCTGGAGAAGCCGGCGATCACAACATAAATGAGCAAGGATCCTCAATTCAAGTTGGGAGTAATCAGCAGCCAAGATCAAACCACCTACAACAAATAACACAGTATTGTATTATTGTGAAATCCACAGTAAGTTAATACTTTGGTCTTTTAACAATGTCTCATCTATCGGATTAAATGCAACACATCAGGACGACCAACTGCACACAATCTAAAAACATTGGACAGTGAATGATGCCAAGGGCCCTTTCTGCTACAAAACTTTGTTTGTAATTCTAGTCCTCGGAAATTCAAATATGTTGCATGCAAGGGCTAGAAACTGTGGAAAAGGGAAAATAGACGGTAGCATTTCATGAAGCTGAAATTCCACAGATTTTATTTATTTACTAGCCATCTCCTGACACACGTTGCTGTGGCCCAGTTTGGTGATCTGGAAAACAAAGTAATGAGAAAGTGTTGGTTTTTAATATATGTAATTCCTTTATGCTTGTGGGTAAACACAGTATTTCTTGCTGTTTCTTTGTCAGTGTTGATGTGGAGATTGTCTGGTTTGCCTACTCTGGAACATGCAACATATAACTGTCCTTCTTTAGGGGTCCCTTTCAAATCTATATACTATATCTCTCTGTGTGTGAATCATTCATATATATATATATATAGAGAGAGAGAGAGAGAGAGAGAGAGCTGGAAGGCACTTTGTCAGGAAGGCTTTGATTACGTTTTCCTGCCCTGGTGAAGGGAGTTGGACTGGAAGGCCTTAAGTATTTTCTGTTGGTCATGGGGGTTCTGTGTGGGAAGTTTGCCCCAAATATGTCATTGTTGGGGTTTAGAATGCTCTTTGATTGTAGGTGAACTATAAATCCCAGTTAGAACAACTCCCAAATGTCAATTTTCTCTAAACTCCATCTGTGTTCAAACTTGGGCATAGGAAATATTCATGCCCAAATTTGGTCCAGATCCATCATTGTTTGAGTCCACAGTGCTCTCTGGATGTAGGTGAACTACAACTCCCAAACTCAAGGTCAATGCCCACCAAACCCTTCTAGTGTTTTCTGTTGGTCATGGGAGTCCAGTGTGCCACGTTTGGTTCAACTCCATCATTGGTGGAGTTCAGAATGCTCTTTGAATGTAGGTAAAATATAAATCTCAGCAACTACAACTCCCAAATGACAAAATCAATTTTTTTTAAGTGATGGTCACTCCTTGGGTTAGTAGGTGTCTTGTGGCCAAATTTGGCGGCAATTCGTCCAGTGGTTTTGAGTTATGTTAATCCCACAAACGAGCATTACATTTTTTATTTATATAAATATATAAATATAGATAGTCTCTATACCCCGAAGGGGACTCAGAGCGGCGCACATAGAGGCACAACTCATTGCCACACATTACATACAATACATATCCAGCAAATATATATATACGTTAAAACATCTGCTAAAAACATATCAACATTAAAATTATTAAAATCACATAATCTAATATCATAGTCTATTTTATTCATTTAACTCCAAATCCCAGGTTCTTGTGTCGAAATGTAAGAATTTTGCTGGCATAATTCTGTATAGCCCTCCCCTCCTTTAGCTGTGAAATAGTTTTGGGTTTTTTTGCTTTCCATACACACACTGTCCAGAGGATACACCTTCCAACAATATTTCTATGGTAAGTGACACTAACAAAACAATTCTTAAAGGTGGTACCTGGAAATGGTACAAAGGCATGTCTCATGCTAACCGCAAATGGAATTTTTATACTGGTTAATCTTTCTGCGAGACTCTTTGGCTCAGACGGCAGTGCAGAATGCCTTCGATTTCTGCGAAATAAAATACAAAATTATCCATTCAATTCATTTTTACATCCATGAATCCAGAGATAATATCTGTATGCAATATTTTCCTATTCACTACAGTTTAGAATAGGGGTCCCTAAACTAAGGCCCACGGGATGGATGTAGCCCTCCAAGGTCATTGACCTCTGCCCCCCCGCCCTAAATTTTAGACTTGGGGTTGCCCTCAATCTCAAATGTCTTGAAGGCACACAACAACAATACTCATTAAAATCCTCATTAAAAGCAAGCCCACACTTTCCCACTGAAATGCTGGTAAGTTTACTGTATATACTCGAGTATAAGCCTAGTTTTTCAGCCTTTTTTTAGGCTGAAAAAGTCCCCCTCGGCTTATACTTGAGTCAAGGTTATTTATTATTTTATTCTATTATTATTAGTATTATTTTCATTTCATTTATTATTTTATTCTATTTATTATTATTACATTTATCATTTTACTCTATTATTATACATTTATTATTTTACTGCATAATTGTTGTTACTGCTACATTCATTATTTTACTCTTTTTATTATTGTTGTTATTACATTTATTGTGGAGCCCCCGGTGGCGCAGTGGGTTAAAGCACTGAGCTGCTGAGCTTGTTGATCGAAAGGTCGCAGGTTCGATTCCGGGAGCGGCGTGAGCTTCCGCTGTCAGCCCTAGCTTCTGCCAACCTAGCAGTTCGAAAACATGCAAATGTGAGTAGATCACTAGGTACCGCTCTGGCGGGAAGGTAACGGCGCTCCATGCAGTCATGCTGGCCACATGACCTTGGAGGTGTCTACGGACAACGCTGGCTCTTCGGCTTAGAAATGGAGATGAGCACCACACCCCAGAGTCAGACATGACTGGACTTAATGTCAGGGGACTACCTTTACTATTACATTTATTATGTTACTCTATTATTATTGGAAGGATACGTAAGCACATTTACATTGAAGAAGGTAAATAATCATTTAATCAGAGTTGAACAGTCTTATCTTAAAATACCATTTTTGTAAATATTCAAAAATATATAACTTACTGATTCCTCAATTAATGTAATTTAATTGGTATCTATTTTTATTTTGCAATTTAACCGTAGCGGCTGCATTTCCCACCCTCGGCTTATACTTGAGTCAATCCATTTTCTCAGTTTTTTGTGGTAAAATTAGGTGCCTCGGCTTATATTCGGGTTGGCTTATACTCAAGTATATATGGTATGTTGGTTAAAATGGTTTTGCATTTTAAATAGTGCCTTGTACTTTCCTTATTTTTATTTTTATTTTTTGCACTACAAATGTGCGGTGTGCATAAGAATTTGTTCTTTTTTTTCAAACTATTATCCATCTTCCCAACAGACTGAGAGACCGTGAACAGTCTCTCCATTTAAAAAGTTTGAGGACCCCTGGTTTCAAGATACCTGGGTTTAAAAATTAAAGTCATCAAACTCCTTTTCCTACTAAATACAGCAGCAAGAATCTGCTACGCAAAACTCTGGAAAATGGAAGAGATTCCAGAAGTAAGCGATTGGATAGAAAAAAATTGTAGACATTAAAAATATGGACAGAACATACTTAATATCAAAAAATAAGGGGACCCCAATAAGAGAAATTGACTGGACAAAAGTGACAAATTATCTGAAACAGAAGAATGGAAATACAATAATATAAGAGGAAGAGAGAATAAGACAGAAGAAAAAACAAGATACAAGAAAGAAGAGGAGAAACCACTCTGAAGATACCTAGGAAGTCAACAAACGATATATACACTATCCCGGTTTTAACCACCTTTTTTCTCTCTCTTCTTTTTGTCTCTTGCTCATCTTGCTCTCACTCATCTTGCTACTGGAAGCACTAACATATATTGCTATATGGAACAGGGTCTTGTTCCATAGGGAAATAGGGAAAAGGCAGAACTACTTAATGCCTTCTTTGCCTCGGTCTTCTCACAAAAAGAGAGTCTTCAACCTCAGCAAGATGGAGTGGATGAGGGATTGGAGGACATCCAACCCCAAATTGGGAAAGAAGTCGTCCAGGAATACCTGGCCGCTCTTAATGAGTTCAAGTCCCCAGGGCCAGATCAACTACACCCCAGAGTATTGAAGGAACTAGCGGAAGTCATTTCGGAACCATTGGCAACCATCTTTGAGAGTTCTTGGAGAACGGGAGAAGTTCCAGCAGATTGGAGGAGGGCCAATGTGGTCCCAATCTTCAAGAAGGGAAAAAAGGATGACCCAAACAACTACCGTCCGGTCAGCCTCACGTCGATACCGGGCAAGATTCTGGAAAAGATTGTTAAGGAAGCGTCTGCAAACACTTAGAAACAAATGCAGTCATCGCTAATAGTCAACATGGATTTATCAAAAACAAGTCATGCCAGACTAATCTGATCTCTTTCTTCGATAGAGCTACAAGCTGGGTAGATGCGGGGAATGCCGTGGATGTAGCGTACCTGGATTTCAGTAAGCCCTTCGACAAGGTCCCCCATGACCTTCTGGCAAGGAAACTAGTCCAATGTGGGCTAGGCAAAACTACGGTGAGGTGGATCTGTAAGGTTAAGTGGACGAACACAGAGAGTGCTCACTAATGCTTCTCTTCATCTTGGAAAGAAGTGACAAGTGGAGTGCCGCAGGGTTCCGTCCTGGGCGCGGTCCTGTTCAACATCTTTATTAATGACTTAGATGAAGGGCTAGAAGGCATGATCATCAAGTTTGCAGACGACACCAAATTGGGAAGGATAGCCAATACTCCAGAGGACAGGAGCAGATTCAAAACGATCTTGACAGATTAGAGAGATGGGCCAAAACTAACAAAATGAAGTTCAACAGTGACAAATGCAAGATACTCCAATTAGGCAGAAAAAACGAAATGCAAAGATACAGAATGGGGGACGCCTGGCTCGAGAGCAGTATGTGTGAAAAAGATCTTGGAGTCCTCGTGGACAACAAGTTAAACATGAGCCAACAATGTGATGTGGCGGCAAAAAAGCCAATGGGATTTTGGCCTGCATCAATAGGAGCATAGTGTCTAGATCTAAGGAAGTCATGCTACCCCTCTATTCCGCTTTGGTTAGACCACACCTGGAATATTGTGTCCAATTCTGGGCACCACAATTCAAGAGAGATATTGTCAAGCTGGAATGTGTCCAGAGGAGGGCGACTAAAATGATCAGGGTCTGGAGAACAAGCCCTATGAGGAGCGGCTTAAGGAGCTGGGCATGTTTAGCCTGAAGAAGAGAAGGCTGAGAGGAGATATGATAGCCATGTATAAATATGAGAGGAAGTCATAGGGAGGAGGGAGCAAGCTTGTTTTCTGCTTCCTGGAGACTAGGACGCGGAACAATGGCTTCAAACTACAAGCAAGAAGGAGATTCCATCTGAACATTAGGAAGAACTTCCTGACTGTGAGAGCCGTTCAGCAGTGGAACTCTCTGCCCCGGAGTGTGGTGGAGGCTCCTTCTTTGGAAGCTTTTAAACAGAGGCTGGATGGCCATTTGTCAAGGGTGATTTGAATGCAATATTCCTGCTTCTTGGCAGGGGGTTGGACTGGATGGCCCATGAGGTCTCTTCCAACTCTTTGATTCTATGATTCTATGAAAATAGTCTGTTTAAATATAAAGCACTGATTTTGTGTTTCTCAATTCTGATGGCAAAACCAATATAGCAGAAAAAGATAATTTTAAGTTTCATGTCCTGTAGTTCACATACCTTTAAGAAATGTGACTACTAAAGTATAGAAAAGGAGTAATAGAAACAAACAAACAAAAATTATTAACCTGTTTCTTGGAGCACTGAACATCTTATGTTGTCTCTGAGTAGGTGGGCTTTCTTCAACCTGGGTTGGCATTTCAATCTCAAAATCTTTAGGCACATTTTGTATATTTGGTTCTCTGAAGCTTATGCGACCTAAAAACAAACATGGGATTTGGCTAATGGCAGGACACACACACACAGCATTGACCTGAATAAAAGTTAAAAGTACATTAAGTCATTTTTAAAGCAAAATAGTTAAAAACAACGCAGACATGGTCAACAAGCTTTTTTTTTCTTGAAATCTATTTCGGAGAATATTAAAATACAGCAAAATTGTTGTCTTTTTAAACTACTGTAATAATCTTATCTAAATTGTAAAAAATGCCCGATGATTGAACTCAATGGTTGCCTAACCCATTTAAACCACAGTTCAATTAATATTGTGTGTGTGTGTACACATACACATACACTTTCATTTTGGGAGCCAACACTACCCGAAGACTTAGGATGAGGTATTAATCAAAACAAGTCTTCTGGACTTCTTATTTTTACAGCTGAATATAACTATCAGTACTTGAAAAATAAAGGTAAGTATGTGCAAATCCAAGAAACAGAACTGCTGTCTGCCACAACTACAAAGATGAAATATTATGTACTTAACAAATTGGCAAATATACATTTCAGATTTTCAAAAATTGCTACCTGTTGCTGTGTTTGTCTGAGAAACAGGATAGATCCTCTCCATTCCAAGTATGGGATTTAAAACCTTCTCCCTCTGCAGTGGAAATATCACCTTGGTGATTGCATTCGTGATCTTTCTCCATTCTAAAATCAGACCTGGTAATGGATGCAATGCCTTCAATTTCTCTAGAACACCCTGTGGGAATTACCCAGAGAATAAATAAGTGAGATGTTTTTCCACATATGTTACATATGTTACTCCTGGATCCGTCTCTCCAAATGGCAGCCTCATCACAACCAAACTTTGTATTGTCCTTGTTAACCAAAATGGGGGAAAGTCCAGTCCCCCAACGTAAGGCCTGTGAGGACAGTTGAGACAGTTCAGAAACACATCGGTCCCCAATGTTATCCCCTTGCTTGCCACAATGGTCCCCACTGATATCCCACGTGTCATGAGTCCAGGGGCCTAAAGATAAGGGATGGCAGTGTGCTGCCCCCACGACGGTGCCCATCTGTTTTCAGCACCATTGGGCAGTGGGGGCACGCTTCTGCCTTCAAAGTGGCAGAGAGAGTCACTGTGTGGACCATACCTGGGGTTCATCTGGTCTTTGGAATGCTGGATCAACCAGTTTATGGGTCTGCCCATCTACACGATAGAATTAATGCAGTTTGACACCACCTTAACTGTCCTGGCTTGATGCTATGGAATCCTAGTTTGAGTCCTTGACCTTGTAAAATGCAACTCCCTTGATTTCATAGCATTAAGCCTGTGGTTCTCAACCTGTGAGTCCCCAGATGTTTTGGCCTTTAATTCCCAGAAATCCTAACAGCTGGTAAACTGGCTGGGATTTCTTGGAGTTGTCGGCCAAAACACCTGGGGACCCACAGGTTGATAACCACTGCATTAAGCAAACTGCATTAATTTTTCAGGATAGATGCAACCCAGAACTGAAAGCAATGGATTCAAATGACAGGAAACTAAATTAGGTGGGATTTCCTGAAGGTAAGAGCTCTCTCACAGTCGGATATACTATGGAGAAGCCTCTTTCTTTGGGGGCAGCTTAAAAAAGAGGGAAGCCACACATCACAGAATGAAATGTTTAAGTACCAAATAACACACAACTGAAACTCACTAAAAGTCAAGAAGGGAATATGATTTTTCATGAAAATTAGCTGTTTAAAATAGGACAACTGTGAAACGGTGTTTTTTACATGCCTTTCTTCCCAAAGTTTTGGCAGATGAAAATACTAGGTGGTAGTACTGAAGGAAACACAAACTTGTACTCTGGTGCTTCTTCTGACTGAAAGCTATTTTCACAGGTGAGATTATACCTTGGTTGTGCTGAACTGCTTGCTCAATCTGATCCGGTTTCCATTTGCCACAGCTCTTCCAGTGTAGCCTAAAGTTTTCTTGCCCCTTTGCACTTTTGATTCTCCATCAAACGGAAGCTTTTGTTCCAAAAATAAGACCTGAAAGAGTTTAAAACTTTAATTAGTTGTGTGTTATTTTACCATACAACAGAGAACTAACCTGTCAGACTTGTCTCTTTCCTAACCCCACTCATCCAAAAACAAAACAAGGTAGATCCATATCATTAAACTCTGATGGGATTTTGGCCTGCATCAATAGGAGCATAGTGTCTAGATCTAAGGAAGTAATGCTACCCCTCTATTCTGCTTTGGTTAGACCACATCTGGAATATTGTGTCCAATTCTGGGCACCACAATTCAAGAGAGATATTGACAAGCTGGAATGTGTCCAGAGGAGGGCGACTAAAATGATCAAGGGTCTGGAGAACAAGCCCTATGAGGAGTGGCTTAAAGAGCTGGGCATGTTTAGCCTGAAGAAGAGAAGGCTGAGAGGAGACATGATAGCCATGTATAAATATGTGAGAGGAAGTCATACGAAGGAGGGAGCAAGCTTGTTTTCTGCTTCCTTGGAGACTAGGACACGGAACAATGGCTTCAAACTACAAGAGAGGAGATTCCATCTGAACATGAGGAAGAACTTCCTGACTGTGAGAGCCGTTCAGCAGTGGAACTCTCTGCCCCGGAGTGTGGTGGAGGCTCCTTCTTGGGAAGCTTTTAAACAGAGGCTGGATGGCCATCTGTCAGGGGTGATTTGAATGCAATATTCCTGCTTCTTGGCAGGGGGTTGGACTGGATGGCCCATGAGGTCTCTTCCAACTCTTTGATTCTATGATTCTATGATTTAACAGCCAGCCTATTTCACATTTTATTGATCTAGAATTTTTGAGGGGAAATAAATTAAAAGCTAATTAGCAATCAAAATTTTAAAAGAGCAACAGTTAAACATTATACCTTATATATTATACATTATAGTCTACAACTATATAGAACAATCCATCAATAAAAGAATAATCTATGGAAAGGGATACTTTCCCTTTGCAGAAACCTTCAAATGTTGAGAATGCCTTGGGTTTTGACTTCCTGGCATTAAGGTAGAAGTTTTATAGAACTATAATTTTTTAAAAAACTTTATTTGTACCCCGCTAGCATCTCCCAAAGGACTCGATGCGGCTTACAAAGGTCAAGGCCTCAACAACACAATAGCATAACAATACAATTCAAAGCAAATCAAAAACATTAAAGCAATAACAATAAAAACAACAAAACAATACAGTATAACACAATAAAAACAGGGCCGGGCCAAGTAATGGGTACAGATTAAAAAGTGCTGGATGTGACAGGTGGTCTATTGGATTTCAAGGAAGTGCAGTGTGCAGAGAATCTTAAAGTTCTGATAAAGTGCTTTTGGGACTCTAATAAAGTGCTTACTGGAGTTTTCCTATTCTGGAAAGGCACATCGGAACAGTCAGGTCTTCAAATTCTTCCTAAAGACTGCCAGTGTGGGGGCCTGTCTGATGTCTTTGGGGAGGGTGTTCCAAAGTCAGGGGGCCACCACAGAAAAGGCCCTGTCCCTCGTCCCCACCAAACACGCCTGCGATGCAGGTGGGATCGTGAGCAGGGCCTCTCCGGACGAATGAAGAGAGCGCATGGGTTCATAAACGGAGATGCGGTCACGCAGGTAGGCGGATCCCAAACTGTTTAGGGCTTTGTAGGTAAGCACCTGCACCTTGAATTGGGCTCGGAAAATAAACGGCAGCCAATGGAGCTCCTTAAACAAGAGGGTTGACCTCTCTCTGTAAGGAGCCCCAGTTAACATCCTGGCCGCTGCCCGTTGGACTAATTGGAATTTCCGAGCCGTTTTCAAGGGCAGCCCTACATAGAGCGCATTACAGTAGTCCAGTCTAGAGGTGACCAAGGCATGGACCAGCCTGGCCAGATCAGCCTTTGCGAGGTACGGTCGCAGCTGGCGCACAAGTCTAAATTGTGCAAAGGCCCTCCCGGACACCGCCAACGCCTGAGCCTCAAGCGTAAGTGATGAATCCAGGAGGAGTCCCAAGCTGCGGACCTGTGACTTCAGGGGGAGTGCAACCCCGTCCAGCACAGGTTGCCACCCTTTGAGCAAGTGGTTCTCCACTTGCTCAAAGTTCCTGTTCTTATTAATAAACTTTATTGTTCCTGGTTCATCACATCTGACTCAAGTGTGCCTCTGTGCTTAAACGTTAAACAGCAGCTTTAAGCAGTAATCAAGAGTTAAATGGTGGCAGCAAATATTTCAAAGAACTAATTTTAAAAAGGTACCTCAGTAACACAAGCCTGAGGGCTACCACAATCACACTCTTTCTCAAGTTACCTCAAATAAGTCAAGGGCTTATCAGCAGTGTTAGGAGCGTGCGTGCCAGTGAGCTTTCAAAATAGGGTTTGTTTCAGCCAGCCAAAAAGTGCTCAGCTTTCTATCTTATCAACTTTTTGATTTTTGGTTTTCAAATACCAGAAGACTGTTCAAGGTCTGCATCTCACTCTCTAATTATCACATTAAAGAACCCTCTTCGCTATAATTGTTGGAACAGCGTTGGGATTTTTTTAATTATTCGGAATAAAATATTTTCCCTCTCCCACATATAAAGTTCCCTCTTTCCGCTATACTTAACCATTGCAAAATATAGGAAATTAGAAAAATTATATTTATTTTAAGCATGAGATTATCCCCCCGTCTCTTTCTTTGCTCTTTCCCTTAGCTCTATCTAGGAATTTTGCACAAATTCAGAGCCCTCTGAACTCAGGACTTTTATTACTCTGCATGGTACTGTTTTATGATGTTATGTTTTATTGTGATATGTTTCTATTTGGTTTTGATTTGATTTGATTGTGTTATGTTTTTGAGTCTGTGCTCTCTGGGCTTGTCCCTTTGGGGACATGTAGGCAGTTTATTGTTGTGTTGTGATTACTATTATTATTATTTCTACAAACATGAAGACTTGAAACAATATTAAAAATCATTTTTCTAACATGTAAAACTCTATTTACCATGTTTAGGACCATCAGATATAACCCTATTGTCATTAGAAATGTTTTTTTTTTTACCTTTGCCTGTTAAAATGGTACAAGATATGACATCCCAATCAATCTTGCTGATATGTAACATATATTGAAAAATGGAACTCCTATTTCCTATAGCAATTACAATCAGTTAACAAGATTTGCTCTGCTGAAAAGGGTTGTAAGTGTACTCTAGTACCTCAGCAATATCATCAGGACAAGTCAAGGAGAAACTGTGGCCTGCCAGCTGGTAGATCCGGTTTTCAGTCTCGCTTAGTTTTGCTTCCATAACATGTTTTTGGGTCTCACACTCTGCAGTGCTAAAACCTATACCATTGAGTTCCAACAACGCCAAACAGTATTGATTTGGCATCTCCATTCTATGAAAAATATCTGCAATAAATAAGGCAAAATTCAACATCAGTTTAATGTCACAAAATGCGAACGTATGAATGAAATTTGATTTGCTTGATTAAAAAAGTAAAGAAGATGCTGCTTAGTGCCATCCACACACCACCTGCAGACCACCCCAGCATTATTCAGATACTACACAAGAAGTTCATGTAAAGTGTTGAGTGATGAACAGGAGTTTTGGTCAATAGAATGGAAAGTAATAAACATGAAAATAAATTTCAAATAAGAAAAGATTTTAGAAGATAGTAGGTGCTTAATACCCCACCAAAGCAGGTCTAATATCTTAGCATATCTGAATGCAGCAGGAGGCATTGTGACTGAAAGAAATGGGCTTAATTACACATGAATATCTCAGCTTTGTTGCAGCAACTTGTTTGAAAACGACCATAAAGTAATATTTTAGAAAATAACATGCAGTTTGCATATGGTTTTTTCTAATGTCCATTTGAACCTGCACTTGAATTACTAATATAAACCTCCATAGCTTATATTAAATCATAAATGTAGCACAGATCTGTGAACATTTGCCGTACAAGAATTACCCACCCCTCCAACAACATTCTTCCATTAGAGGGTAATTTAACTTTAAGTTTCTTTCATCTAACTGAGTTGTGATTTGTATATATACAAGTTGTGTAGACATGCAGATAATTCAACCATGCAGCTGTGGACAAGTCTACATAGGGACCACCAAACGCAGCATTGCCCAAACACAAATCAAGGAACATGAAAGGCACTGCAGACTACTTCAACCAGAGAAGTCAGCCATAGCAGAGCACCTGATGAACCAGCCTGGACACAACATATTATTTGAGAACACAGAAATGCTGGACCACTCCAACAACCACCATGTCAGACTACACAGAGAAGCCATTGAAATCCACAGAAAGGAGGAGACCATGAAAATGAACAAAATCTGGCTACCAGTATTAAAAAACTCTAAAATTACTACAGCAAAACAGTAGAGAGGAAACAGTCAGGCACATCTTAACACATCTCAACAGAACATTTTCCCAGGCTCAGCCAGGCCTTCAAATGCTAATGAAGGTGGTCAGCTGAAACATTCACACCTAGCTTCAGCAGAGAGCTCTTTGCCCCACCCAGGTCATTCCACAGATATATAAACCCATCTTCCTATTTCCAACAGACCTCACTACCTGAGGATGCTTGCCATAGATGCAGGCGAAACGTCAGGAGAAATGCCTCTAGAACATGGCCCTATAGCCCGAAAAAACCTACAAGAACCTAATTCAACTTTGCTTTGTAATTGGTTGGAAAACATCTAAAACACGTGGTAATAATGACATCTGGTTATTCTTTGCCCCCCCCCCGGGCCACAGTTTTGATTGTGTTTTAGCCATTTTTGGATTTTAAGTCCAAGTCAGGTTTTTATCTTACAAGTTATGGAGCCTCCGGTGGCGCAGTGAATTAAACCCCTGTGCCAGCAGGACTGAAGACCGACAGGTCTCAGGTTTGAATCCGGGGAGAGGTGGATGAGCTCCCTCTGTCAGCTCCAGCTCCTAATGCGGGGACATGAGAGAAGCCTCCCACAAGGATGATAAAAACATCAAACCATCCGGGCGTCCCCTGGGCAATGTCCTTGCAGACGGCCAATTCTCTCACACCAGAAGCGACTTGCAGTTTCTCAAATTGCTCCTGACACGACAAAAAAAAAAATCTTACAAGTTACCTTTGCATTGTTACCTTGCAAGTTATCTTTTTGCAACAGAGCACTGAGTTTATCCATGAGATGGAAGACAAGAACAGACTCCACAGCAGCTCTATACCGCCCAGAATGATCTGCAATGGCATTGAGCCCTATGCTCTGATTCCCCTGGCCGGTTCCAATTTTGTCCAACAAGAATAATTCCTCAGGAAGGAAACTGGCAACCATGTTGTGAAGAGAGCGCTCATTACATCCAGGATCCAGCAACCAGCATGCCACCTGGAAAAAGGGAAATATTATTATTATTAACTTTATTTATACCCCGCTAACATCTCCCGAAGGACTCGATGTGGCTTACAAAGGCGAAGGCCTCCAACAAAACAACAACATAACAATACAGCAATAAAACTCATAAAGCAAACAATAAACATCAAGCAAAAAATAAAACACTAAAATCAATGACACCATGACGCATTTAAAACCTAAGGCCGGGCCAATGTAATGAACAAGGTTTAAAAGTGCTGGACATGACAGGTGAAATGTAGAGGTTTTGGAGGTAGGTGCAATGTGCAGACAATCGTAAAACTCTAACTAAGTGCATTTGGGACATGGTTCTAGGAGTTTCCTATTCTGGAAATGCACACTGGAACAGCCAAGTCTTCAGGCTCTTCCTAAAGACTGCCAACGTTGGGGCTTGTCTAATGTCCTTGGGGAGAGAGTTCCAGAGTCGGGGGGCCACCACAGAGAAGGCTCTGCCCCTCGTCCCCACCAAACGCGCTCGCGACGCAGGTGGGATCGTGAGCAGGGCCTCTCCAGATGATCGAAGGGATCGTGCAGGTTCGTATGTAGAGATGCTGTCACGCAGGTAGGAGGGTCCCAAACCGTTTAGGGCTTTGTAGGTGAGCACCTGCACCTTGAATTGGGACCGGAAGATGAACGGCAGCCAATGGAGCTCCTTAAACAGGAGGGTTGACTTCTCTCTGTAAGGAGCACCAGTTAACAACCTGGCAGTACACACAATAGAAACATTGGGGGGGGGGGGATACAAGAACATTCCAGAACAAGTGTCCATGAACAGAGGATTTTCCTTGTACATGTTGTGTTCTATATACCTTCATGAATCTGCTGAGCATATTGGGTTGTGGATGTACACCCTAGTACACCTATGAGTACTCCTTGAGTGAACTGAAGTCTAGTGAATCCAGAATACAGCCACATATCTGTACAGAATAAGTTTGAGTTGTACTTTGGGATACTGATATTTTTATCTGTTTTCTTGATATAGCTTGTCTATTATCATCCTGGGTAATTATGATATGGTGAAAGATAATTTAACGCAAAAATATGGAAGATTTAGTTTACAATGTATAAGTATCAGATTATTAGCACAAGATTCTTTAGGCTGTTGCCTTTTCTAAGTCCTGTATTTACTCAGTTCTAATGTGCACCTTTTTTGGCTAAATTATGTCTTCATCATCAGGGTGCGCATCAGAATTACACAAGCAACCCCCACATGTTGGTCACTCTGCTGCATCCCCCCTACCTCCCCAGACAGCCAGCCAGCGGAACCCGACAGCGGCAGCCCCCAACCACCCAACCTCTGGGCTTCCTGGTGCCTCAAGCTGCTCTCAAGACATAAAGGGTGAGGCAGCATAACTTCCTTTTTTAAAATGCGTGCCATTCAGTCGGTTGAAGACGTAGCGAAGCACTAGTGGTCTCATTCGAGAGGCAGGAGTATAAAGTTTTGTCCTGACACAGTTCAGTTGCCATCATACGTTGGAACAGTGAGGAGCGTGCTTTTGCCGTTGAGGCCTACTTTTTGAGCGGATTTGGAGTGGCTGGCCCACTCTCCAGATTTGGCCCCTTGTGATTTTTTTCTATGGGGTTTTTTGAAATCCCGTGTTTCTGTGAACCGTCGAAGGACCCTACAAGATTTGAAGACCAACATCCAGGAAGAAATTGCCAATGTAACGCCTGCTATGCTGGCAAGAGACATGACAAACGCCAGAAATCGGTTTACTCAGTGTATGGAGAATGGAGAATGGGGGACGTCACCTACCTAATTTGATATTCAAAACTACGTAAAACAAAACTTTAGGTATGCGCTTACATTATTAAAAAAATAAAAATTTCTGATTCATACAATGGGTTTTATTAAGTTTTGAAAAAAGGAAGTTATACTGCCTCACCCTGTACAAGGGACTCTACTTCCGCTGCCAACCAACCCACATGGTTCCCCTTTGCTCACTGCCAATCCAAGTCCAGACCCCACAGCCCAAAAGCAACATCACTTTGGAGAATTTGGAAGGCACTGTTCCAAGGAGAACATAATGTTCCTCTCCTTTTCCTTTTTCCCCTTCTCTGTCTTATGACTCTCTGGAAAGAGAAGGTGGCCCTGGCTAGCAACTCTATGGGCATCCCTCATTCTGCTTCATTATTGCACCTTCATGTTTGCATACAGTTCCTTGAAGAAGATTCGAGAAGGGGCGACAAAAATCTATTCAAAATCTCACCAAGCAGAGTACAAAGGCCATCTGAGTTGCAGACCATGAGAGTTGGCCATGAAATGAGTTATGTAGTTTGTGTTTAATTCATGGCAGAGAAGAAGGTGGATATTCATAATTTTTGCAATTCTTTGCATGCATTAAATACTGAGTCTATAAAAAACCTTCATACAGGTGGGGAAATATACTCTGGGGATTAAAACAAACAAACAAACAAACAATTGCAGAACAATTTTAAAAAGTTGAACCTTTGGGTCTTCAAAACTTCCTGCCAAAGAGATGCCACAGGCTTTCAGTAGAGTCTTGTAGTGCTGGATGAATTCATATGCAGCAAGTGAAAATGCTCTCTTGGAATCCTGCAGGCAAGACTTAAGGTATTCTAACCTCTCAGCTACAGTTAGGTTCTGATCCAGAGAAGGTGGTGCTAAACTGGAACTTATTTCTAAGGAGAGAGGGAGGGAGGGAAGGAAATGTGTCAGTGAGAACATGCAGGACAATATGTACAGTCTGCTTCCTTATACAGAAAAGATATTCAGCCCAGCTGTTTGAACCCACACTACATGTCCCGGTGGTTCCCTGCCTACTTAACAGCATGTCTTAACAAGGCCACTACATCATCCTTAATCACAGACTCAAGAGTCTAATCTCAAACCCACTCAGTCACTATGCTGCCTTCCCTCTCCAGGTTCCACATGGCTCTAGTTGCATTTTTGTTCCTTCTTTATCCTATCCTAAAATTTCTGGTAGTTTACAGTTCCCACTCCAGTCTGCACTTGAACTACAGCCTGTCCCCAAGCTACAAGCATCTGACTTACAAACAAACCATAGAATCAAAGAGTTGGAAGAGACCTCATGGGCCATCCAGTCCAACCCCTGCCAAGAAGCAGGAATATTGCATTCAAAAGCACCCCTGACAAATGGCCATCCAGCCTCTGTTTAAAATCTTCCAAAGAAATAGCCTCCACCACACTCCAGGGCAGAGAGTTCCACTGCTGAACAGCTCTCACAGTCAGGAAGTTCTTCCTAATGTTCAGATGGAATCTCCTTTCTTGTGGTGTGAAGTCATTGTTCCACATCCTTGTCTCCAGGGAAGCAGAAAACAAGCTTGCTCCCTCCTCCCTGTGACTTCCTCTCATATATTTATACATGGCTATCATGTCTCCTCTCAGCCTTCTCTTCTTCAGGCTAAACATGCCCAGGTGCTTAAGCTGCTCCTCATAGGGCTTGTTATCCAGACCCTTGATCATTTTAGTCGCCCTCCTCTGGACACATTCCAGTTTGTCAATATCTCTCTTCAATTGTGGTGCCCAGAATTGGACACAATATTCTAGGTGTGGTCTAACCAAGACGGAATAGAGAGGGAGCATGACTTCCCTAGATCTAGACACTATGCTCCTATTGATGCAGGCCAAAATCCCATTGGCTTTTTTTGCCGCCACATCCCATTGTTGGCTCATGTTTAACTTGCTGTCCATGAGGACCCCAAGATCTTTTTCACATGTACTGCCCTCGAGCCAGGCGTCCCCCATTCTTTATCTTTGCATTTCCTTCCTCTGGAGTATTGGCTATCCCTCCCAAATCACAATTAAGAATGGGAGTGAGACAACAGAAAATGAGAGAAATCGGGACTGTGGCGCAGCTGGCTGGGAGTCAGTTGCATTAAGATCACTACTGACTGAAAGGTCATGAGTTTGAAGCCAGCACAGGTCAGAGTGAGCTTCCAGCCAAATTTGTGTAGCTTATTGTTGATCTTTGCAACCCAAACGACAGTTGCATCTGTCAAGTAGGAAATTTAGGTACTGCCTACGCGGGTAGGCTAATTTAACTAATTTACGATGCCATAAAAATCTCCAGCAAGCCTGCAAAGAATGAGGAAGTACTTCATCAGTGTCACAAATGGACGGTGAAGCAACAGCTCCCCTGGTGGCCAGAATACCCTCATGAAAAAGTTGGAATGTTATATTGCCTCTGTGTCTGTCTATATATGTTGTGTGTCTATGGCATTGAATTTTTGCCATGTATATGTACTTTGTAATCTGCCCTGAGTCCCCTGCGGGGTGAGAAGGGCGGAATATAAATACTGTAAGTAAATAAATAATAATAAATAAATTTATTCCTAGAAGGGGAATTCACTCCCGGGAAAGTTATCATGGGAAAAAGGTGTCTCTACTGAAACTTTCTCACCAATTCTTGTTTCCACAACAAGCCAATTATTTTCAAATTCAATTATCACAGGGACAGAAAGTAAGGTGAAATCTTCTGAAGACAGCAAAACAAACACTACAGGGGTGTTAACTCTTCTCCATGCTATCCAAAGTGTGGGTGTGTGTGTATATATGACTGGAGTTACACTTAAAAATGTACCTGTTATGACTTGCATTCAAATTCAACTTAAGAACAAACCTACAGAACCTATCTTGCCCGTAACTTGGGGAGTGCCTGTAGTTTACATTTTCTGGATTCTCATACATACTTTTACATGACTTGTCACCATCCTTGACTGATCTTTTTCAGTATAACAGGAGTTTAACACTTTACCTATGTCTATTGGAAAGGCCCAGATAACGCTTGAGGATTACGTGATTAATTGTGAAGATATTGTCTTAAATGTTTTTAATGCTTTAATGTATTTTATAATTCTATTTCAATGTTTGTTTTAATTGTACATTGTTTTATGGCATTGAATAGTTGTCTATGTGTAAGCCACTTTGAGTCCCCTCCAGGGTGGAGAAAGAAGGAGTAGAAATGTTGTAAATAAAGAAAGAAATAACCTATACAAATGTTGCATTTTAATTTAGTATACTTTGTTATGAAACAGAATAATATATGCAGACCACTATGAAGCAAATTTCTTTAGCAAATCTTTCCATACCAATCTCTTCTTTGAGTTTTTGTTGCAATGAGATATAAAAAGCATCCTTTCCACCCCAACACACAGCCAGTCCAACTACCAATACGTCTTCACAGGGTTTAATAGGAAATCCGTTGATTTGGTGAGGAATTTTCTGTAATGTCCTTCCTACAAACACATGAAATTTCTCATTGTACATTCATTTTCTTTGGCATTTTATTGAACATTTGCAGTAGATTTGTAGCAAAGTAGCATTATACTATACACACCCTTCCATTCTCTATACCAGGGGTCCTCAAACTAAGGCCCTCCAACGTCATTTACCCGGCCCTTGCTCAGGGTCAACCTAAGTCTGAAACGCCTTGAAAGCACACAACAACAACAACAACAATCCTATCTCATCAGCCAAAAACAGGCCCACACTTCCCATTGAAATACTAATAAGTTTATATTTGTTAAAATTGTTCTTCATTTTAAACATTGCATTGTTTTAAGTTTTTTTTTTTTTTGCACTACAAGTAAGATATGTGCACTGTGCATAGGAATTTATTCATGGTTTTTTTTTTTCAAATTATAATCCGGCCCTCCAACAGTTTGGTGGACTGTGACCTGGCCCTCTGTTTTAAAAGTTTGAGGACCCCTGCTCTATACATTAGTGTATTCTATATGGGAAAATATAAACTTTGATAAATTGGAGTTTCGGAAAGAATCATTCAGTCACTTTTAAACACCTGCCACTACTTGTTATATTAATGCAAATCCAAAGAAAAAGGTGTATGGTTTTCATTTCTCATGCCTTTCCATATAATCTAGACCAGGGCTGCTTAAACATTTTCCATTCGTAACACCTTTCCACCCAAGAAATGTTTACTTGACCCCAGGTATATAGATATTTAAATAGGCATAAAAACCACATATTTACTGAAAACTTACTAAAGAGGCAGATTTTCCCATTTTGTGGAATACAGCTAAAGCATTTTCTGCAGAGTCCACAATAAATACTGCGTGTTCTTGCACACAGATTTGTGTAAACAGGTGGTGTTCAGAAAGCTTATACTGTTGTCAAATGTCTCGTGGCCCCAATATTGAGATGAGGGGACTCCATTTGGAGTTGAGACCCAGTGTTGAAAAAGCAGCTTTTATTTCATTTTCATTATTTTACTCTATTATATTTATTATTTTAATAATAAGTACATTTACATTGAAGGAGGTTAGAATAATGGTTTAATAAGAGTTGGACAGTCTTATCTTAAATTACAGTTTTATGTAAATATTCAGAAACATTTAGCCTATTGATGCCTCAATTAACGTAATTTTATTGTATCTATTTTTATTTTGAAATTGACCCATAGTGGATACATTTCCCATCCTCAGCTTATACTCAAGTATATATGTTTTCCCAGTTTTCGTGATAAAATTAGGTGCCTCGGCTAATATTCGGGTCGGCTTATACTCGAGTATATACGGTAAATATTAATAGTATTAATATTAATGCAATGATATTGATATTATTAATACTATCAGTAGAGATCCAGACCGACTAGTAGAGAACACAGGACACACACTTACCTTGCTTGAACTGGGCACCAATACCAGATCTGTGGGATTGGGACCCTTTGACTCGTTCACAAGCTACTGAGATAGCAAATTTTCTTTTAGTTTTCCATTCTTTGATGAAGGTTTGAAAGAGAGTCTTATCATTAGCCACATCAATTATTGTGAAATTTTCAGGACTGCAATATGGTGGCAAAACTTTATCTTGAGATAACTGCAGTGAAAAATCTTCAGAGATAATGGAGTTATCCTCCTCCTCAGGTAAAATCTCAATGTGTTCTTGATTTTCCATTTTTTGCTGCAGGTGTCCCTCAAGTGTATCGTGCTGTACACGCTGAAGACACGGCACATTGTTCATAGGATTCAATTGTCTTGCTGGTATCCCAAAGGGCTGTTTCAAACATGTTGAAGTAGCCTCGGTGAAGTTCACTGGAGAAAGAGGCCTTCTATTCCCATCTGTCAAATTAGATGGCCTATTTTGGTTGATTACCAAAGATGAGTATGCCTTATGCTGGTCGTTCATCACCATAGGCATGTAGTTGCTATCAAAATCATTGCAAAAGGATGATGCACATTGAACTTGGCCAGGCGCAGTGGCTGTACCCAAATTATTCTTCAACACTACTTCCATGGATTTTCTTGGAACTGATTCTGGTTCAACTCCTGATGGACTTGGCCATCCATCTAAAACCTCTTTCATTCCCGGACTTAAATCAAAAAGACCATCAACCTTTCCAACAAGGTTAGCATATATTTGTACACCATCTTTCAGTGGATTTTCACCTGCACTCTTTTGAATATTCTCAGTTCTGATATTAACTACGCTGTTTGGATTTTTCAGCTTGCTAGTACTTCTTTGGAGAGGAGGCACAATCATAGTATCTAACCTTTCTATGAGGGAAGCATCATTATCCAACAGAATTACAGAATCTTCATTGTTGCATCCTGCTAACCGCTCTTGGTTTACAGTGGCATTAGATCCATGCTTATCGGACACGACATCTTCTTCAACTAGGAAATTGTATTCTGAAGGAGATTTGAAAGGGGAAGGCATAACCTGCTGTGATGGAAAGGCCTCCATGGCAACACCTTCACTAGCATGAACAGCCTGGGGCTCCTTCATGTCACTAAAGCTTTCATCAAACAGCAAACTATCACTATTATTCAGATTTTGTACATTTTCATCCAAAGCAAGTGTTTTCTCTTGAAGAAAAATGGAATTCTTCTCCAGAGCAGATACTTCTTCTTCCTCTAGATTTGGAGTTTGGTAGTCTCGTAAAAAATTATCCAACTGAGAGTCCAGAACATAAAAACTGTTTTTTTCTAGGCAGCCTGGTTTTTCTTGTTTTTTCTTGGCAGGCTTCATTTGAGATTTGTTAGAATCCACCTCGTGCAATTTATTCATGCTTTCTGCTATATTTTTTGTACTTATATGTACCTTTCTGTACTCTAGCTTGTCCTTGGCATGTGAAATATCAATTCCTGACTTGCTAGCTGAACCTGTGCAAATAAAATCCATTATTTCTGATTCTGAAGTGCTGGCAGACCTTGTAGAAATAACATTTGTCCCTGCTGGCTTTGTTACCAGCTCTCTCTTGCTGATTCTTTGTTCATCAGCAATTTCCCCTCCCATCTGTTGTTGCAATATTTTATTTGTTTGAGTATCCAACTGGAAACTTTCTTCAAATTCTTCCAATTTAGTGGTGTTACAGCTTCCAGTATGTTCAAAATACTTCAGGGTATTTTCAGCATTATTATGTGCTTCACTCCTATTTGCTGCTTGTGACATCCCAGTGGGTTTTGCAATGTTGCTTTTACATCTACTCTGTTTTAAGTTAATTCCAACCTTTCTCTTACATCTAGCCCCCATGGGAAGCCTTTTAGAAATATGGCTCAGGTCTGGCTTTGTCTTCTGTCCAGTGTTTATCACGGTTCCTTGGTTCTCCAATGTTTGTTTCACAGAGACATCATTAATATCATTTCTATCTCTGTCCAGACTCAGCCGTTTACTTGCACTAGAGTACACATAGGCATTTCTTTCTTTTATGGTATTCTCATCTACTAGAGTCTTTTCTTCACGTCTAGGACTAATATCTAAGAGTCTCTTATTTTTTTCTTTTGCACATGATGCAGGTTGAGAACTGACGCACTGGCCAGAAGAAGTCACATTGTGGCCTGTTCTGAGCATTTCTTTGTGATTCAGTCCATGGATCTCTTCTTCAAGGGCACTTGCTATTATGGAACACAACTCAGATGCATCTGATAAAAGGGAAGCATTGGGTTTCCACTGCACTCCCCAAACAGCCAGGTCCTGCTTCAAGAGCGTTTGGGCTTCCTCCAGAACAAGATGAGCTGCTTCACTCTCGGTTAAGCCCTTGAGTCCAGACATCCAGATACAGTGGCTACGAAGTCGTTCCTGAGCAGCTTCTTCATCTTCATCCACTGCCTTACGAGTACTAAAACAAGGCACACAAACTAAAATCAACAATTATGCCTAATTTGGCATTCTTGCTAGCCACAAACACAGAAAATGCATATGAAAGATTTACAAATTTTTTTAGTAGTAAGCACATTGGTAGGGAGAAGAAAGAAGGAAGAGAGAAAAAAACAGAAGTGACAGTCCAAACCGGTTCAGAGGCTGTGGTAATTCTGGAGAAAAGTAAGCAATAAGAAAGGTTTTATACCCATAAGTGGGGAAAAAGAATAGGAGAAAAGTAAGCAATAGAAGAAAAGCCTCCTTTCCCAGTAAACCTTATTCAGATGTTACTTTTCACTACTTTTGCTTCCTATAATTATGTACCTCTTTAAAATGACTGGCATTCAAACATTTTTTCAAGTAGAATAAATCACAAAAAAGAAGTAAATAGGTAAAGTAATTATGGTAGTAATAAAAGAAGAGCAACAACTGAACTTAAGAGCCTCCTCTAGTTTTTGTTTTTTGTTTTTTTGTGCTCTCCGACCTATTGGTCTTCAGTCCTGCCGGCACAAGGGTTTAACCCAGGGGTCCTCAAACTTTTTAAACAGAGGGCCAGGTCACAGTCCTCAAACTGTTGGAGGGCCGGATTATAATTTGGAAAAAAATAATGAATGAATTCCTATCCACACTGCACGTATCTTATTTGTAGTGCAAAAAAACACTTTAAAACAATACAATAATTAAAATGAAGAACAATTTAACAAATATAAACTTATTAGTATTTCAGTGGGAATTGTGGGCCTGCTTTTGGCTGATGAGATAGGATTGTCGTTGTTGTTATTATTGTTGTGTGTTTTCAAGTCACTTTAGACCAGTGGTTCTCAACCTGGGGTCCCCAGATGTTTTTGGCCTTCAACTCCCAGAAATCCTAACAGCTGGTAAACTGACTGGGATTTCTGGGAGTTGTAGGCAAAAAACATCTGGGGACCCCAGGTTGAGAACCACTGCTTTAGACTTAGGTTGACCCTGAGCAAGGGCTGGTTAAATGACCTTGGAGGGCCGTATTCGGCCCCTGGGCCTTAGTTCGAAGACCCCTGGTTTAACCCATTGCGCCACCGGGGGCTCCTCTAGTACCAAAGAGCAACAAAGCCAGTTCCAGATAAACCTCCCTTGTGATGAGTTTCCTCAGAAATATAATTTATAACCAAAATGACGCTTTATCCAACCACTGATTTTCATTTGGTGAGAGAGCAACTTGGGCACAATTTCCGAACGTCTTAGTGCAGAGCCCACAAATTTGCAGATTTTTTTTCTGTGTGAGGAGTGACTTGAGAAACTGCAACTCGCTTCTGGTGTGAGAGAATTGGCAGTCTGCAAGGACGTTGCCCAGGGAATGCCCGGATGTTTGACGTTTTACCATCCTTGTGGGAGGCTTCTCTCATGCCCTTGCGTGGAGAACTGGAGTTGATAAGAGGGAACTCAACCCATTCTCCCCGGATTCCAACCGCTGACCTGTTGGTCCTACCAGCACAAGAGTTTAACCCATTGCGCCACTGGGGGCTCCAAATGTGCAGATGAGTGATCCTTAAAATTAGGGTTAAGACAGACCACCCCATTAGAGGGGCCGATCAAGGGCAAGATGAATGGATGGTATCCTGCCTTTCTCAACCTGAGAGGGGACTCAAGGAGGGACACTGAAGGAGCTGGGGGTGGTGACGGCCGACAGGAAGTCATGAAGAGTCGGAAGCAATTGTGGGGCACGAGGCGCAGTGCTTAAAGCCCGTAGTTAGAGACATTCTGAGGTAAATTAAGTATTTTTTAAAGCTTTAAAGGGAGTTCTGTCCTACAAACCTACTAAAACAATATTAGTAGGTCTAATAGATCAGTCCAACATAATAATATCAGGGCAGTTCAAGGCTAGTCATAGACAGAAAGATTCTTGAGCTGATGCTAATGGCAGATGAAGTGAACTAGAGGCTGTTAGCCCCCCACGGGCTATATATACTCTTGAGGGGAGAGTGGGCGGGGCCAACTGCCAAAGTTTTCAAGTTTATCAGAAGATTCCGAAGCTGTTCTGCGCAGACGCACAAGTACCATATGTGCGTATTCACAGTTGACCACGCTGGGAAAACCATAGGTATTCATATGTCAACACCATGGAATTATAAATGTTTTGATTACATCTTAAATCCTGGCTAGATAAATCAACGAAATGTTATGTGAATATAATATTCTGTCTTTACAACTGTAAGACTGAACCATTATTAGAATATCCAGAGAATCAGAATCTGTTTCTCAAATTCAACAACACTGTATCAGAAACATGACTTTTGTCTGTTCTAGTACGGTTCGCCAACCTTCTGAATGGTGCTGCATTCCTGAAAGCCTTTTCCACTTCCATAACTGTCCCATTAGCCACATCTGCTACTGTGGTGAAACCAGCATCGTAAAGAGCTCTTGCACACTGTGCATTTAGCAAAGATATACGGACAAGATCACAGAGCTCTCTCTGGATTCCAAAAGTAAGGCGACTCTGAAACTGAGAGAGCAGTTGTTCCATATTGTGCCACCCCAGTCGGTTACAGAAAATAGTAATCATCCCTGGAAAAGAGAGCAATGTTTAATGAGTTCTGCTGCTCAAATGGTTAAATTGTCACAAAACTATGTTTGAAAAATTATTTAACAAGAGATCAAGTGTCCTCATTTTACGTTGTCTCACACAATCCACCCACATATTATGCCACCTCACATTATGTGGCTTTAGTTCTACACAAAGAGCTATCCTAGTCAATTTCCACCCGGACACTTCTAGCACAATTCTATAGTATGTATGTTTCAACTGGAAGCCCAAGACATTGTTCATTTTAAGTAAGAAAAATAAGGTTCAATATTATATATATTAGAAAACATTTATACAGAGAACAAATCCCTTGAGATACACATATGGTTGTATCTGCTCCCATGCTTGTGTGTGTGTGTACAGAATTTAAAGAGTACACAGAAACTGGAAATATATATACCAGAGGTCCTCAAACTTTTTAAACAGAGGGCCAGGTCACAGTCCCTCCAACTGTTGGAGGGCCGGATTATAATTTGAAAAAAATATATGAATGAACTCCTATGCACACTATGCACACATTATCTTATTTGTAGTGCAAAAACACTTAAAAATGCAATAATTAAAATGAAAAACAATTTAAACAAATTTAAACTTATTAGTATCTCAATGGGAAGTGTAGGGCTGTTTTTAGCTGAGGATTGAAATGCAAAGATACAGAATGGGTGACGCCTGGCTCGAGAGCAGTACGTGTGAAAAAGATCTTGGAGTCCTCGTGGACAACAAGTTAAACATGAGCCAACAATGTGATGTGGCGGCAAAAAAAGCCAATGGGATTTTGGCCTGCATCAATAGAAGCATAGTGTCTAGATCTAAGGAAGTAATGCTACCCCTCTATTCTGCTTTGGTTAGACCACATCTGGAATATTGTGTCCAATTCTGGGCACCACAATTCAATAGAGATATTGACAAGCTGGAATGTGTCCAGAGGAGGGCGACTAAAATGATCAAGGGTCTGGAGAACAAGCCCTATGAGGAGCGGCTTAAGGAGCTGGGCATGTTTAGCCTGAAGAAGAGAAGGCTGAGAGGAGATATGATAGCCATGTATAAATATGTGAGAGGAAGCCACAGGGAGGAGGGAGCAAGCTTGTTTTCTGCTTCCTTGGAGACTAGGACGCGGAACAATGGCTTCAAACTACAAGAGAGGAGATTCCATCTGAACATTAGGAAGAACTTCCTGACTGTGAGAGCCGTTCAGCAGTGGAACTCTCTGCCCCGGAGTGTGGTGGAGGCTCCTTCTTTGGAAGCTTTTAAGCAGAGGCTGGATGGCCATCTGTCAGGGGTGATTTGAATGCAATATTCCTGCTTCTTGGAAGGGGGTTGGACTGGATGGCCCAACTCTTTGATTCTATGATTCTATGATTGTTTTTGTTGTTGTTGTTGTTGTTGTTGTTGTGTGCTTTCAAGTCATTTCAGACTTAAGTTGACCCTGAGTGAGGGCCGGGTAAATGACCTTGTAGGGCTGTATTCGGCCCATGGGCCTTAGTTTGAGGACCCCTAATATATACAATACACAGAATCATTAAAATGGTACACTGATCTTGCTTGTTAGAGGAGACAGATATTTCAATTATCATTCGCATATTATAAGCCGCACCGAGTCCCTTGGGGAAATGGTAGCGGGGTACAAATAAAGTGTTATATTATTATTATTATTATTATTATTATTTAACTCAATAGATTTACTTGGGTACAATACATTTATTACCTTAGAAAAGTATCCTCAACTGAGCTACAGTCTTACTACTGTATGGAATCAACTAGTAGTGCTTAAACCATCAATCAATAGTTTCTCACCTGCATAAGTAGCAGCAGATTGCTGTAAAGATTGAAGCTGTCCACGGTTACAACCATATTTCTTAGCAACAGAGTTTAAAGGAACCTCATTTATTAAATCCAGGAGGGCCAAACTTGTAAAAAATCTGTATAAGGAAAATAAATATAAGGTGAATATAAAGTAGCCAGGTAGTGTGGAAGAGGGAATTTGCAGTGGGCTTTCCTTGCTGCAATGTAATGCTGCAATTCCCTCCTCCATACTGGCATTTCCCAAACTTTTTTGGTCATTAAACGCTTCAGAAGACTTTTTTCTCCCTGTGGAACCCTAACTCTGTCCCTATACATCGTGACTCCACAAAGTTCTTCCTTCATTCATCTACTCCTATCGCCTGAGTGTTGGGAAATAAAATAGATTCAAATTTCATTTTTCCTTAATTTTTCTTTAAAGCCAAAAAACAAAAACAAAAAGCATGTTTATACAAATTACAAGTTTGGCACGGCTGGCGGGGACGAGAGATAGGGCCTTCTCGGTGGTGGCTCCTCGGCTGTGGAACACCCTTCCCGTAGACATCAGGCTAGCCCCCTCCCTATTGATTTTCCGCAGGAAGCTGAAGGCCTGGTTGTTTGAGAAAGCTTTTGAATAGAAGTGCAATGACTGGTAACCTGACCATAGGAATGGAATAACGGAATGGTATCGGATTGTGAACTTGACGATGAGACGACTCGGAATGGTATTGTAGTAAGGTTGATGTTTTGATGAGATGTTTTGATAATTATGTATTGTGGATTATTTTATTTGATGTTGTACCTTGCACCTGTTTTTCTGTCGTACACCGCAATGAGTCGCCAGTAGGCTGAGAATCGCGGTATATAAGCGTAGTAAATAAATAAAATAAATAAATAAGTTTTGTTTTTTTCATAAAGAACTACTAAATTCTAACAAGTACTAATACTATCCTACTACTAGGTTAGTTTTAAGCCCATCTTTAAATTACTTTTGCTGTCCACCGACATTCCGTTTTCCATTCTTGAACTGAGTAAAGTAACTGCTTTGAGAGACAGTGATCGGGCATTCAGACAACATGGCCAGTCCAGCAAAGAATCTCTTTCTTTACCTCATTATCATCTTATATAACTAAAAATGTAATGTTCGTTTGTGGGATTAACATAACTCAAAAACCACTGGACGAATTGCCGCCAAACTTGGCCACAAGACGCCTACTAAACCAAGGAGTGACCATCACTCAAAAAAGTTTTTTTGTCATTTGGGATTTGTAGTTGCTGGGATTTATAGTACACCTACAATCAAAGAGCATTCTGAACTCCAACAATGATACAATTGAACCAAATGTGGCACACAGGACTCCCACGACCAACAGAAAACACTAGAAGGGTTTGGAGGACATTGACCTTGAGTTTGCGGGTTGCAGTTCACCTACATCCAGAAAGCACTGTGGACTCAAACAATGATGGATCTGGACCAAACTTGGCATGAATATTTCATATGCCCAAATATCAACACAGATGGAGTTTGGGGAAAATAGACCTTGACATTCGGTAGCTGTAGTTACTGGGATTTATAGTTCGCCTACAATCACAGTGCATTCTGAACTCCACCAACGACAGAACTGGGCAAAATTCCCCCGCAGAACCCCTATGACCAACAGAAAATACTTAAGGCCATCCAGTCCAACTCCCTTCACCAGGGCAAGAACACATAATCAAAGCCCTCCTGAAGAGCCATCCAGTCATAGATATATATGATTCACACACAGAGATATCGTATCATAGATTTGAAAGGGGCCCCTAAAGAAGGACAATGATATGTTGCATGTTCCAGAGTAAGCAAATCTCCACATCAACACTGACAAAGAAGTAGCAAGAAATACTGTTTACCCACAAATATTAAAAAATTACATATATTAGAAACCAACACTTTCTAATTACTTTATTTTCTAGACTGGGCCACAGCAACGTGTGGCAGGGGACGGCTAGTAACTAGTAAGTTTCAAAGTCCCAATCTTGCTTGTAGTTGGACAAATATTTCTCCTTCGTCAGCCTAGTTAATTTGTCCAACTCAATAGATTCACAAATCTTTATCAGCCGTTGTCATCATCATTTATCTTCCATTCTCTGGCCGTAGTTTCCTCCTGCTTTTCTCTTTCCCTCTGTATGTCAAGCTTGTCCCCAAATCTCTTCCTCAAAAAAGTCCTTTGACAGAAAATCAAATCACCAGTTTGCCCTGTTACAGGGTTTACTTCCAAATCTCTATAAAGCTTTCTCTGACTGGCCCCAAGAAAATCCTGTTGACAGATGTCATTCTCCATATTACTAAGATCTTTGTATGGAACTTCCACAAAGTCAGCACAGTCTTCAGACAAAACAAATAACTTCCATCAACTGTTTTGCCACATCTTGTGCATCGATAATTTTCTTCTGCTCCTTAATATCTGAGAGAATAATTATTTTCATATTTTCCTCTTTACTGTACTCTCTTTAACTGAAGTTTCTATCTGTTTTTGTGTACCACATTTTAGTTTAACTAATTTCTGATTCCTCTGGGTTGGCTCTCCAGTCAACACAGCCAAAGACATATGGATCACTTTCATTTCCATTACCAGTTATTTTCTAAACAGTCTCAATTCAACAAAAATTTGGGCTAGAGCCACTGGTTCCCACTCAACCTCACAACAGCTTTATAATATGAATTATTTTGGAATTCTAATATTCATTTATTAATCCTTGCATGGGAGAATTGCTTTTGTGGATGAACACATGGTGGCACTGTGTTACCTTTCTTTCTCTGATTTCTAAGTTCCTGTATAGAGCCTGGGAAAATTCCTTCGTTTTAACCCTTTCTTTGTTGTCAGGGTCATTACTAATAAATGTTCTGCTCTTAAGGTGTAAAGATCTTGGAATCCTCATGGACAACAAGTTAAACATGAGCCAACAATGTGATGCAACAGCAAAAAAAAAAAAGCCACTGGGATTTTGGCCTGCATCAATAGGAGCCTAGTGTCTAGATCCAGGGAAGTCATGCTCCCCATGCTCTATTCCACCTTGGTTAGACCACACAAGGAATATTGTGTCCAATTATGAGCACCACAACTGAAGGGAGATATTGACAAGCTGGAATGTGTCCAGAGGAGGGCGACTAAAATGATCAAGGGTCTGGAGAACAAGCCCTATGAGGAGCGGTCTTAAAGAGCTGGGCATGTTTAGCCTGAAGAAGAGAAGGCTGAGAGGAGATATGATAGCCATGTATAAATATGTGAGAGGAAGCCACAGGGAGGAGGGAGCAAGCTTGTTTTCTGCTTCCTTGGAGGCTAGGACGCGGAACAATGGCTTCAAACTACAAGAAAGGAGATTCCATCTGGACATTAGGAAGAACTTCCTGACTGTGAGAGCCGTTCAGCAGTGGAACTCTCTGCCCCGGAGTGTGGTGGAGGCTCCTTCTTTGGAAGCTTTTAAACAGAGGCTGGATGGCCATCTGTCAGGGGTGCTTTGAATGCAATATTCCTGCTTCTTGGCAGGGTTGGACTGGATGGCCCATGAGGTCTCTTCCAACTCTATGATTCCATGATCTGATTCACTCAAATCTACTTTTCATTGAGCAACAAGTCTGGATTATTACATTTGTCAACAGTAAATAAATAAATATTTAAGAGTGTCCTAGTCACATGCAATTGCAACCTCAGGTTGCAGCCTAGAAGGCACAGGGTCCTGTTGCATCTGTGTCCATACATACAACATAGTAATGCCAAATATTCAAAGCCAACATACATTACACAAAGAAATCATAATAACTAATTACTACATATAAGTATGAACTTAAAATCAATTAAAACCATTAAGCATACGACATGCATAAAATTTAAACATTAAGACAAAGCATAAAATCATCCTAGCATAAACATTAAAATCTCCTAATAATTACTTTTATTTAAAGGTTACTCTGGCTTATTTCATTTTGGTTTGACAAAAAGGTTCTACAAAAAATATTTTATGGCAAAATGTTACAAAACATGATTCTGTAATTTGGACATAACACTCAGAGCGCAAGATACAGGTGGCACAAGCAGAGCTGATGATCAAATAGTCTATGATCATAAAGCTTACTCTTTATGAACAGTACATGTGAAAAAGATATTTGAGTCCTCATGGACAACAAGTTAAACATGAGCCAACAACGTCATGCGGCAGCTAAAAAAGCCAATGGGATTTTGGCCTGTGTAAATAGGAGTATAGCGTCTAGATCCAGGGAAGTCATGCTACCCCTCTGTTTTGCCTTGGTTAAGCCACACCTAAAATACTGTGTCCAATTCTGGGCAACAAAATTGGAGATGTTGACAAGCTGAAAAATGTTCAGAGGAGGGTGACTAAAATTTGTCATTTTAACCTGGAGAACAAGCCCTACAAGGAGTGGTGTGAAGAACCCTTACCTTTAGCAGCCAGAATGTGGGCCTAGCGAGGCCTCGCGGCCGAAACAGTTGGAAGGTGGGCCTAGCGAAGCCCTGGTGGCCATTTTGGATTAGGGAAACAGGGAGACGCCATCTTAGGTCAGGTTTTCTTAGAGGGTGCATGTCCTAGTCCAGCAAGCAAAGAGTAGATGGCCAGGATTGGTTAAGAATAGGGGGCAGAGCCTAACATTCCAATAGAGGAAAAAAGTGTACTTTTTGAATTTGAGGCTTGAGTTTTGGCAGTTGGGATTTGTCAGTTGGGAGTTTGGTAGTCGGTTGGTGTTGGATAGTGCTAGATAGGAGAATTGGGTTAATCTTTTGTAGTATTCAAGGGCAAGCGGAATTAGCCAGGAATACTGACAGTGGGAACAAGACCTTGCTTATGCTCTGTTTCTTTTATTCCTGAGGAAAGCTAGGCCAAGA